CCCATGTTCATCGCTGTCCCATTCACTTGGGTACACTTATCTTTTGTCCATCGTCTTTGCTACAGCTACACCTACCACACGCTGCCTGGGACTCACTTGTTCCAAATTGGAACTACTCCTCTCCCTCCCTCGTTTGATCAGGTGGTCCAACACAACCAGTCCATTGGTAAGGCCATGGAACTGTCGGATTTGGACTAGGTGGTGGACCGGTGGCTCCAGTTTCTTTTTTTTTCAGCAGAACATTCATTTACAGTGCGATTATTTTTGATTTTTGAATCATTTTTATGGACACATATTTTCTTAGAATGCCTGACTGACAATAAAGGAACTGTGTTGATACTGATAGTGTTTTGCCTTGCCCTTTTTTTACTGCATCTTCCCATGACATCATGATTTTCCTGCTCTCTTTTTGCTATTGGACTTTACTTTATGGCTGTACAGACCTGTGACATTACTCACAGCATTCATTGTTCTATCCCTTTCTTTTCCTTTTTTTGACAATCTTATCCTATACTACCTACGCAGGATTCGTCAGTGTACATTCCTTCCTTCATGTTCTTTCTCATTCTTTTTGCACAGCTATATTGTGCATAGCCTACTTTTCTTTTACTATATAAACCCCTGTATTTTACCTTGTAAAAAAAACAAGAACTCCAATCCAGACTTCTTCTCTAATCTCAAGTTCACTACTCTCTGCTACTTGTGATCCAGTGTGGTCACAACACTTCCCACTGCTACCACTGTTAATTGCTGTCATTGTCACTTCCCACTTTTGAAGTCATTGTTATCCCTTTCGATTAGAGTCCTTCTGAGCACTACAGTTTGTGCGTCAGGAGCGCTATCACTGGGAACCTCGTCACCTTGTCATCCTTGTCGTTCTCAAACCTACCTTGTGCTACAATGAGCAAGGTAGTGCTCATCTATACTCGTCACTAAGCCCCTATCTTCTATCAATTCAACTATCCCTCCTCCTCAAAACCCACACTCATACACCTCTGGGTTTTACTTTGAAGGATTTTTATATGTACCACCCCACGAACAACCAGACCACTCCACTGTTCTAGGAGGCAAAGCCCATAAACAAGTTCCGTGGAATCTGGGAGGATTGTGTGTTAGTTTGTTTTTGTGTGTGGTTTTCTAACAGCAGTTCTCATCATTGACAGTGCCTATAAGGTCGGTGGTGATAATTTGCCAAGGCCGATCGGGTATCGGGTTTGGATGTAGGGGGGCGTTAGGCTTGGTCTGATGTGCCTTGGTGCATTGACAACTCTCGCACCCTCGTACATATTGTCTGATATCTGTACGAAGACTCGGCCACCAGAGCTCTCGGTTTACTCGTTCAAATATTGTTCTCTCTCCTGGGTGTCCAGCCAGAGCTTTGTCATGGTGATCCTTCAATATTTGCGCCCGTAATTCGTGGTTTCGAGGAATGTATACGCGGTCAGCTAATGGGATCGGGTAGGAACTCATCGCGGATTCTCTTTTGATCCAGATGATCCTATCCTTCACCTTCCAGGTATCCAACTTATCCTTCAAGTTCCTTTTTACTACGTCGTCCTGTTCTTGGAAGCTTCGATGTATATCTGGTAGGTATCCTTCGTTGGTGTCAAGTACTTCAAAATGTACATCTGGGAGGAGTGTTTGATTCTTGTTATTGTTTGTGCCTCTAGGATGATTGATTCATCTGCTTAACAGGTCAGCCTTTGTATTTTGATCTCCTTTGATGTACTCCATTTTGAAATTATAATCTGCAAGCTGAGAGGACCATTGAGCCTGATGTCGGTTGTATTTCTGAGGTTGGCGGAAATAAAGGAGATTCTGATGATCTGTGAAGATAGTGAAGGGATGTTTCGATCCTACAAGGTGATGTTGCCATTCATCTAGTGCAGTCATGACTGCAAGCATCTCTTTGTTGTAGATTTCATAATTTCGTTTGGCGGGGGTGAGGGCTTTTGAAAGGAATGCTATGGGTCTAAACTTATTGTTCTGTTTTTATGATAGGACGGCTCCTACAGCGAAGTCAGAGGCATCAGTTTCTAATCTAAACGGGTCGTCATTGTTTGGTATAGCAAGGGTGGGGGCAGTGGTGAGTGTTCTCTTTAACATTTCAAAAGATGTTTCTTGTTCATCTTTCCAGGTCCAATCAACCTTTCCAGTGAGTGTGGTGAGTGGTTTTGCAATTTTTCCGTAGTCTCAGATGAATTGTTGATAGAAGTTGGAGAATCCTAGGAATGATTGGAGTTCTCTTTTGTTCTTTGGTGCTGGCCAGTTGGCAACTGCTGCAACCTTTAACAAATCCATACGGATAGTGTTTCTGGAAATGATCAGGCCTAGGTACTCTACTTTCTGTTTCTTGAATTTGCATTTTTCCGGTTTGAGATACAACTGATTTTGCTGCAGAATGTGAAGGACTCTGGTGACTATTCAACAATGTTCCTCGAGTGTTTCTGTGAAGATCATGATACCGTCCAGGTACATGATAACTTTTCCTTCCGTGATCAGTTCTCTGAGGAGGTGGTCCATCATTGTTTGGAAGGTTGCCGGCGAGTTGGTAAGTCTGAAGTGACAAATTATGACATTTGTTTATAGTATGAGAAAACATGCATTGGCCAGGGCTTGAACCTGGGACTCCAGCTTTCATGGTCTGGTGCTTTACCAACTAAGCTACCAAGGCGTACTTGGAAAGCATACTGATTGGTTGCATGCCCAGAAGGTCCAGAATCACTGTACACGGGTGCGGATCCCATTGTGTTGTGATATGAAGAACATGACAAGGGGTTCAAACAGGCCGTGATTGGTCCTGAATGCAGCTTTATGTTTATCTCCCTCTTGGATTTGGACATTGTTGTATCCCCATCGCACGTCTAGCTTTGTGAAGTAGTTGGCACCCTTGAGTTTATCAATGAGTTTGGATATGAGGGGGAGGGTGTAGTGATTCTTTATGGTAAGCTTGTTCAGCTTGCAATAGTCTTGGACAGGGTGTAGTGAACCATCTTTCTTCTTGATAAAGATGAACAGGGATGCGTAGGGTGATTTGGACACTCGGATTTGTCCACTTTTCAGATTTTTGTCAAGGAATTTGTCTAGATGGTGCTGTTTGTCTGGGCTAAGAGGGTACATTTTGCAGTCAAGACTGTTAGCCTCAGGTACTAATTCAATTGCGTGGTCCCAAGGACGTTTGGGGGGAAGTTTGTCGAATAATTCTTTGATAAGAACGGGTTCAAATTTGTGGTAGACTGGGGGGACAACATCTCGGAAGGTGAGTTTTGACTTCGCCTTTTTGGAGGACTCAGCTAATCTGTTGGCTTTTGGTAGCGAAGGCGTTCAACTCCAACTGCGTGATCTCTATGATTCATGTTAAGATCAACGGCTAAGATTTTATCTCCTTCTTTGGGATGATACTCCAAATTATCAGCAGGGAAAGTAATCTTGTTGGCCCGCCAATCAATTGAAGGATTAGTAAATATCAACCAGTCATGTCCCAGTAGTATGTGTGGCGGAAGTAATGATGCCACGATGACATCCATTAAGTGTTCTTTCCCTTTCACACTGATGTGAAGGGTGACATAACACATTACTTTCTGGGATTGATCATTGGCTCCTGTGGCGTCAAGAGGGACGGGGAGTGGTGTGGTGTTGAGGGTATACTTGTCAATCAGGCTTTGGTCAATAACTGAGTTGGTGCAGCCGGAGTTGATAAGGGTAGGTACGGTGAACATTTGTCTGTTGTCTGTGGTAGTAACTTGAGAAATGACATGGAGGCTGCATTTTGGCATGGGTCTATGCGGCGAGGTGTAAGCATGGATATGTTCCACAATATTTTCTTCATTGTGATTCTTCAGCATCTGTATTGCTTGCAGTGTGATATGCTCGTAATGGTCTCTATTCGCCCAGTTTTGTAGTAGAGCCCTTGCTCTTTCCGGTTTCTGGTCTTTGATTTGTCTGGCCAACCATTCCGGTGAATGTGGCTTTGCGTAGTTTTTGGGTACAGCGTAGATGTTGATCAACTCAATTCATTGCAGTTGTTGGTAGTGTACAAGAGTTAGATACAACATTACGGGTCAGAGAGTCCGTGCTTACTCCTGACCATTCCAAAAATCCTTGGGAGGTGCTTCAATTTTTTTTAACGATGACGTAGTGGGAGTGTCTTTGGTTTCCTCCATTTCCATATAATGTATTGCCACCTTTCCATATGGACAATTCCTAGAAATGTGGCCTTGCTCACCACAATTGTAACAAATAATGTTCAGGTTGGGCCAACATTGTCTCTGTGTGTCCGAACACCCAATCTCCATAGGCACACCTGATCCTCCAAATGTTCCTGCTGCGTTGGGATGGACTGCATTCTGGGGCAGTGGCATCTGAGGTGGAGTATAATACGGTCGTTGTTGAATATACTGTGGTCTTCGCATCTCTGTACACGGTACTACTTGTTGATTCTGCTGTGGCGGCGGATAGTTTTGATTCTGCTGATAACGTGGTTGATACCATTGGTACTGAGGTGGGGGTAGTCTCTGCTGTGTGGGTCTGCCTCTCCTCCTTTCCAAGTTAAGTTCTTTGTTCCGCTGCTCCCACTTCCGGGCTGCTGTCTTCCATTCTGAGTACGTGGTGGGTAGGTTTTCCTGTTGCGAGATATGGTTGCAAAGGAATTGAGAGAGGTTTTGGCAAAGGATACTGTGAATAAACGGATAACTTTCATGTGTGTCTGTTGGTAATCCCGCTTCCATAGGTTTGGACTCGAGTCCCCCAAAGTATACATCAACTGTCATATCTCATTGCTCATAGCTATGAAGCGCTATTTCTGCATTCAACTTGAGGTGGGGTCCATGAATTCATTATCTAATTCCTTGATAAACTCCAAGATAGTTCCCCAATTCCGTGGTGCGAATAAGTCTCTCAGCACCGCAGGTTTGTTGTTGAAATTTGCCTTCCAAGTGTGGCAGGCATCATTGGCTTTATCGGACGAGATTTGAGACAATGCAAAGAGGATTTTGGAGGAATCAGTTTGGAAACTTTTGGGGATATGCGATGAAGTAGTTTGCTAGCACGTTCTTCCAGTCAACATATGTTTCCTTTTTGCCGATGAATTCGAACAGAGGAGAGGCAAGGACAGCCTTGCTGCCTTGATTGGATTTGTTGGTCATTCTGGCTGCTAGATCAGGTTCAAGGTCTAAAGACTCTTGATTGTACCAATTGTCAGGTTGGTTTTCAGGTGGTGGATTCTGAGGTGGGGGGGAAAGTCTTCTGGTCCTGCAGATTGATATAAATTGTCTGGTTCTAGGGCTTCAGTGGCGGCTCCTAGAGATTGTGGAGGAGGTGTTTTGGGAGTAACAAAAGGACGGGGTTCTCGATAGGGCTCCAGTTTTAACGAGTTAGAAAAATGAGTCTTATTCAATCAAAGTCCAGGTCAAAAACAAAGTTACTAGGGAAATCTCCTCCTTCTGCTTCCTGAGGTCTCCAATATTCTATGCCTCCTGTAGACTCTTTGTTTTCCAATTCTGTCCCTTCGTCTGATTTGCCTCCTATTATATCTTCCAACAAACTTCCCATTTCTAATTCAATTATTTCTGTGCTAGGTGCAAAAAGTTGCTCGACTGATGGGATAAGTGATGCTTCTCCTCTTTGACCTTGGTAGGTGGACGAGGATTGCGAGTAGATATGAGTTTTTGGACTATAATTAGCAATGGCCCAGAAGTCACTTTGGAAACAGTAATGATGAAGTGTTCGGGGTAATCTGATCGCTGGTTAACAATGAATGGCGTGAGGATTTCTAAGACCCAGTAGTACTTCTCAACGTATTTGGAGACATATTGGATGTTGTCTATATCAGCGGTGTAGTCTTCCCCGTCACGAGCTTTCCTCTGTGCAGTTGCAATAAGCTGATCAAATTGAGCTAAACCAGCAACAACTTGTCGGATCTGATCTTTGGTAGCAGGTGTGACGATGATAACAGAGGTACTGTGTTGAAGACCAAAACATGGTCCGAATGCTTCGAGATCTTCGACTTGGGGGAGGTAGAGAGTACAGCGGAGTCGCATCAAGTAGTTGATGATGGAGAGGTTGTCGAGATGGTTGCCGATGCAAAAGTACTTGATGGGTTGATAGTGGACTGGAGAAGTGGAGTAGATGTTGTAGTAGTTGTTTGTAGAAAATGAGGAGGGGATGTTGTAGGTGGGTTCTTCTTTGGGCTTCTTCCTTAGAACAATACCACAAGGCAAGGTATGTTCAAAATTGTAAGGGAGAAGTCGACTGGGTATGCTTGGGAATGAGAGAGGGTGAATACGATAAAGTTCAAGGAGAGAGGGAATATAATCCTGCAAGATGAGATGCAGGTTTTGTTCCTGTACGTTCACTGCTCCTTTCAAGAGTTTAACCCTCTGAGTGTTCTCGTAACTCAGGCGTACTAGGCTCTCGAAGTAGTCGTTCAACAGAACCTGATCGTGGTGCAGGAATATGAAGATTAAAAGTTCTCTCTGTGCCCTATCTGAGACGCTGGAGAACCTCCTCGAGGCTCCTAGTATTTCTCCTACAGATGGTGGAATGGTAAAAGATAGATTGGGTGAGGGCGAGGGCGAGGGCATTGTTTATGTCAAGGATGATTTCCTCAATTGGATCAATTGGAGAAGACAAAGCAGATGAGTCTTGATACAATTCAGTGATCTGCTCGACTGTTCCTTCCGCGTCTGGGGTACGGGCTTTGGTAGGGACAGGGAGGACTGGGAGCGGCTTGTTGAGGGCTGCGAGGAAGTCTCTCTGGTGTCTGTGGTCCGCTTCTGAAACCCACTCTTCTGAGTGCTGTCGGGATGTAGACACGGTGAAGGTAAACAATATCGCTGATGAGCTCAGTCTGAAGATATCGAATGATGCAAAGAGTGCAAGGAATTGGACAAGAGTGATTATGGTAGATGGGACATCCAGTTTGAGAGGACTGAACAATGATAGGTGTGGTAGTATGGATAGTAAGAGGTCAATGACGGTGGTGAGGAGAGAGATAGGGATGATGGAGGTGCAGAAAAGGTGACGATGAGGGTTAAGACTGGTGCAGATGCAACAACAGTCTTTTTGAGGTATAGCAAGATAGTCTTCCAAAGGGTCTCTGGAAGAGGATTTGAAGAAGGTGAGTTCAACATTCTGTCAGGCAACGAACACGAAGCTATATAACAACAACCAATGCCTGGCCAAGTCCTTGATGAAAGGCGGTGGATCAGGGTATGAGAGCTGAAGAGTATTGGTATAGGCACAAATCCAAACTAATATTGAACTAAGGAATAATACATCAAGTATGTACTCCTTATATAGTGAACAGCGAGGGTCAGACCAAAAAAGGGAAAGAGTAAGAAAGTGGTCCGATCTATTGTATTTACTAATCGTGTGAGAGAGAGTCTTGGTAAGAGATGTACAATTGGCTGTATCAGTAAGCCCATGATAAGGCGCTGAGTCACAGCCTACATTGCTGATCAATATCCCTCCAAAGTATTCCCAGACATAGCATTGGATCAATGCTATGTCATCTGGATATCTTCTCGAGGGTCTACAACGGTTCTCCTTTGTTGTAAGTACGATAGGACATGAGTATGAATGGAAAATAAGAAGAAGAAAGATAAGAGTAACAAGATACCAGCTGTGATCTCTAGTCCAAGGGCAAGAGGAGTGATGGGGAATGAATCGGATAACCATGACATGATGGGAATGCAATGAGAAAAATTGATTCCTCAAAATAGTGATGCTGATGGCAGCATGAACAAGAATTGCATGGTGATCTTGGGTTACACCATCATGCTGAATGGAGATATTCCAAACAGCAGGAGCTTGTGGCCTTATCAACCACAGAGGCCTAGTACGTCGCCACGACACATGCAACCAAAGAAATCCTGTGGGAAAAAATATTTGTTGATGAAGTGTTTATAAGCAACTCACCTGCGACCATACTCTATTGCAATAACCAGTCAGCCATAGCCCTATCCAAGGACAGCCAGTACCATGCACATATGAAGCACATCGATATACAATTGCACTTCATACACCACGCTGTTGAACTGGTGTATTGTCCCACAAACAATATGATCGCCGATACACTGACTAAAGCATTGCCATCATCAAAAGTGAAGCATTTTGCACAAGAACTTGGGCTCCGTGCAGCTTGAGGGGGAGTGTTAGACGTTGAGGATTGAAGCATGAAACAAGCAGTCACAAAACATCTAGAAAGGAGTATAAGTTGAGGTGGTCTGTGCACCAATATATCCCATCAGTAAATATTTTGGTTCTGTCTTACTTATAAACTGGCCTGGTCACCATGTAGCACCTCAGACTCATCTACGAGTTCTGAGGTGAGACCCTTTATCCCCCCCCCTTTTGGATACCTAGCTAATCATTAGTATAGCTCTTATCTTATCTAGGTACTTGAATATATCCTGAGACTCATCTACGAGTTCTAAGCTCTTATCTTATCTAGATCAAACCCAAATAATTTCATTGGACTGCAGTACTGTCCGAAGTTTTGTAAACAAAGGTAAACAAATGAGCCACAGAGGCAAAATAATAAGCAACACGATCAATACTGAATGGAATGAAAATATGTAGGTAGCAGAAAGGTGCAGAATTACCAAAACTAACGCTATATGTTGTCACTGCTGAGTAAGTAAAGTATCTGATGTCATAGCATGTGACCAATTACGTGTTGAGTCTAGACACCAGTCAGGTGATGTGTCATGTGATCAGTCATGTGACTTTCAAAAGTGAGAGTCTGGAAATAAAAGAAAGAAAAAGTAAAATAATAGTGAAAATAGATGCCAAAAATACCGCTATAACAAACAGAGACCAGTAGAATGAGTGATTTGATGGATTGAATGACCCTATTCCAAGAGAGAGATAATATGATGAGTTTGCTCAACAGAGAAGAATTTCATGATGACAGCTGTGAAAAAATAATGATGTGTGTGTGTGTTTGTACCATGTTGAACTTATTATACATCATATGATCAATTGCTTATATAATAATCACTTGCAAACATGTAGTTTAAATACTTTGTAGTATCAGCAACAAAACTGATGCAATAAGTACCCCTCATTAATTTGGAATATCTCCTGATATAGTAAGTGTAGGAGTATGATGCAGCTACAATGCTGCAACGAGGAGCTCTCACCAACATGAACCATGAGAAACAACTACCATACTAGTTTTCTATTTTCTTGGATTTCTCCAATAGTCTTATTTTTCTTTCAGACTAGTTTTTCGTACCTCAGTTCATTGCATATTGAACTGAGGTGAACATATCCATTTAGACTTACAGTAGAATAATTCTTTCTGAACATCCTCCATAGACTTCTACTCATTTACTACAGTGAGAACATCATAATCTATGTCAGAAAGAATTACATAGGAAACCCAAATATCTTCTGAAAGCCCTGATCAAGGGCTTTCTAATGATACCTGTGAGCTGTCAAACTAGGCAGAATAATGTAATGTTAACTGGCTTGCTAAAGCTCATATATTGGTATTATATACCTAGACAGAATAATGTACTAGAAGGCTATTAATGATATGTCTCTATAATGTCTGCATAATTATTACTCACATGTTAACTGGCTTGCTAAAGCTAAGGCAGTTAAACATGTGGTGCGACATTTCTATGTGAGTGGCTGTGCAGATTTGTAATCAAGGAATTGGAAATCCGGTGAAGTTCTATGTATGGTTGTTGTATTCTAACAATACCTTGGGAGTCTAACATCAGTATATCTCAAGATATTTGCACTTCAGAAAAGTAGTGCAAACATTGCATTGGTTCTGTTGCTCACTGTATATCACATGCAATTGAGCTTATTCCTGTATGTTTATGGTGTGCAGGTCAACCACACACTTACTCCAAATCACTCTCTGGAGTACTCCTCTGCATCTTATATCAACAATTTTTCAGATAAAGACATGCATCACACTTTTTTGATGGATTTTGTGTAACCCCTGTATTTAGTTCTTGTTACCTACTTTCATGTTGTATAGTAATCTGCAAACTATTTATCTACCAATTTATGTCTGATCCACTGTCACAATAACTGTTATCTATTATCATTATCAACCATTATCAATTGATAAAAGTCTCAAGATATGAAGGCTGACGGTCCAACAACCATAGACAATTCCAAGTGTTCACATGAAACACTTTAGCATTTGGCAACTGCTTAATCAACAGTGCAGTTTTTCTCCATTGCAGATGGTGTTTCTTTGATGACAACCTTTGTCATCATACATTGACTGTGACATCATTACCTACATAGGAATACTCATAGGAATACTATAGATAGTATATAAGTACAACTACAAAACCTGTATTTACTTAGTTGTTCCCATCATGCCCTAGTCATAACCAAATTCATACATTCTCGAATCCCAACAGGAACGCCAGTAAGGGAGAGTATAAGTATATGGCCTTACTGACAGTGTACTCTGAAAGGGCCTAATAATCGCTAACATTACATCAAAAACGAAAAACAAACTCCTTTTGACCACCCAAGGGCAAGACTTCTATTGCATTGCCTCTTCCACAAAAATTGTACCTACTTCAACTCAGGAGTGTCCCCGAACAGAGTCTTCACAGAGGCAGGAGGATAGCGATCTCCCTGGGCCCAATCTGCTTTCTCCGCAATAGCACGTACTTTCTGGATATCTTCAGGACTAAGCTTAACATAGGCAGCACTGAGGTTTTCTTCCAAATACTGCATATATCATTGCGTCAAAGTTGACGCAACATAAGTATAATATAAGAATGTACTTTACCTTGATTTTCTTGGTACCTGGAATGGGAATAACATCGTCGCCTTGAGCAAGAAGCCAGGCAAGGGCAACTTGACCGGCAGTAGCATTATAAGCAGCACCGACTTCCTTCAGACTGTCGGCGAGTTTGAGAATATTGGGGAAGTTCTCCTTCGAATAACTGTGAATTTGAGATACCCGATCACAAGTCAGCGGTCGACATGCCTGGAAACGAGTAATACGCATACCGTGGAACAAGTCTTCGGAAGTCATCTTTCTCAAAGTCATCTGGAGACCTCTATTGAAACATAGATAACGTCAGACTTTTTCTCGTGATATCAAATTGGGAAATATCACTCACATATTGACCGGTGATCAAACCACGGCCCAAAGGTGAATATGCTATGATCTTGATGCCAAGTTCGCGAGCGGTCTTGAGCACAGCAAGTTTTTCGTCTTCAATATCAAGCGTGAAAGGCGAATACTCGAGTTGCACCGCAGCAATTGGATGCACCGCATGGGCACGACGAAGAGTGGCAGACGAGCATTCAGAGAGACCAAGGTACTTTACCTGGCCAGCTCTGGAAATCACAAAACATCAGATAATTATGGATCAAACAAAAAGGGTTATTTTCTCACTTTACCAGTTCAGCCATAGCGCCGACAGTTAGCTACGTAGCTTCTTAAGATATATCATAAGCTAAGAAAGTCATGGAATTACCTCGATGGGAACGTCAGGGTCAGGTCTATCAAAAGAGGTCATCAATGACATATAACGAGGTGGATTTGACATGAAAGGTACCTATGGAGGTAGTACAGTTCTACAAAGTCCACACCCAGCCGCGAAATAGACTTTTCAAACTGGATTTTTGCCTGTTCAGGCTCTCCATTGACACCAGCAGGTCTTCCTGAATTACGATCAACACCAAACTTAGTGGCCAGGAAGATTTCGTTCCGTTTTCCCGTCCGCTTGAACCTGAAAGCGATAGGTGAGAACAGGGGTAAAGGATCCTGACTGTCATTAATCGACAGACCATTTTCCAAGGAGCACTTCGCTATCTCCATATATATTTGCAGAGTCCCAGAAGGTGCAACCTTTCGCATAAGCTGCATCCAGGACCTATTCACGCCATCAGAGAATGTGAGAATGACAAACTGTTGACATACTTTGAAGCGCTCTTCATCAGATTCGACGGCGCCATAAAAAGCAGAGATACCCATGGCACCAAAGCCTATGGCTGAAACATCGCTATTGCCAATTTTACGTGTGGGATAAGACATTATTACTACTGTGGGGGAGGTGTTGAAGGCGGAGGAAAAAACAATGAATGGATAGTCACTCACCGGTCTGCTGTCTTTATATATATTGTGTGGAACCCATTGCTTCCCGATCAGAACGAGAGGGACTTCTTGAATTGCTGCTGAATAAGAGTGTGCCATCGTGATTGGTGATACTGCTATCGTGGAATCATGTTCCATCTACAGCCGCGCCGAAAGGACAGGTTGCGTCATCCGGCAAGTTGCTTTTAGCTTTACTCGAACGTTAGTTGTACACAACAATCATGACCAGGCGAGTTCACGAACCACCAATATTGTTTGTGATCTTGGGAGACTTTACTCTACTGATCTAAAAATGTATAACTGTCAGACATATCTGTCGGGTCCCAGATCTCAAGTCCTGCCAAAGTAGAAAGATTTGCTGTTACAAACGGAGTTCATGATCATTGAATGGATGTCACGGTGTAAACGCAAACATCCGATTTCGAAATCATGGAAATTGCCGACCGAGCTGGCACGTCCGTTTCTGCATGAATACACGAATTGATGTTACCCGCTCTGGCTTCGTATATCGAAAACTACGCTACAGGCCACACACTAACACACTAACGAGAAGTTTAAATTTGCGTTATTGTCAGGCTATTGTATGACCATTACATCGTAGAAATGTGGACACCATACAAGACAACGAACAGGTAGCATACTACGTCAGTTGACTACCATGGCATTTCCAGACGCAGTAGAGCAATTAACGTAGGGCCACTTCTTTCTAACCCATTCTGCTAGAGCATTACTTACAATCAGGGAAGCCGATGCTACCCCAACCAGTCCAGGCGGGATGACAGGCGCGGAAGTGATGTGTTTCATCGATTTTGTGTAGGTCGCTAATTTCTTCATCAGTAAGGTCTACGATCGTGAAGTTGTCTGTGATTTTTCACAAGATTGTCAGCAGCCGAGAAGTTCAACGCATTCTTGACGAAGACTCACTCAGGATACGATGGTTGGTCACAGATTTGGGCAAAACTGGACAAGGACAAAACTTAATATATATACATGTTATGATCTAGCACGAAGTGCCATACCTGTATGTCCTGGCTTGTTCGCCTGTAGCGAAATCAAGATATTGGCGGGCTGTACTTTGTACTTTTGCGCAATAGAATTGACGACAGTGTTCTTGAGTAAAGGTGAATTGTCAGAGCCTAATGGCGAGTACGCAGTCAAGGTTATCCCTTTTGATTGACAGTACTCGACCACATCATCTTGAGGACAGGATCTATATTAATGATTGAGCAAACCTGCCATTCCAGCGACGACATACATACGGGTGAAGCTCGATTTGATTAACAGCAGGTGTGACCCGAGCAGACTTAGTGAGCCTTTCGAGATACTCCACTGAGAAATTGGATACACCTGATATAATATGAGAATGCGCAACCCAGGTGAAACCGCGACGAAATTAATCTTACCAATAGCCCTCAGCTTCTGCGGGTGAGCAAGATGGATGTCTTCCATATCCTTCCAGGTATCAAGCCAATCGTACGCCTTGTCAGCTTTACCATCTCGGGTCATAGGAGCAGGCCAATGCATGAGCCCTGGATATCATACATACATGAGAATGCCAGAGTCTACCTGCCACACGTAAGCACTTACAGAGATCAATGTATGGCGTATCCAGTTTAGAAAGAGATGTTTCAAGAGCCTGTGCAACGTTCCTATGATCGGGGTTGTCGAGCTTCGTTGTGACAAAAATCTCTTCTCTTGGTACACCGGATGCTTTCAAGCCCTGACCAACTTCTTTCTCGTTTTGATAGCCAGCTGCGGTATCGATGTGTCTATAGCCATTCTTCAAGGCAAACTCGACTGCAATCTCTACTTCTCCGGGTTTAGACTTCCAGGTCCCTTAAACCAGGGCAAAAATATCAGTGTATGATAAGATAAGGGGCCCCGAGTCTGTGTATCACACACCTAGACCGACTGTGGGCATAATAGCACCGGTGTTAAGCTTGACCGACGTTGTAGCAGGCATAGCGATGGACGAAAGAGCAAAAGACTAGGGAAAAACCGAATCCTTTGAGATTGGGGTAAAACAATCCTCGTGATTTTCAGACTTTATAGCAATTACCTACCTTTCATTGTAAAATTATTAGCCAATGAATCGGTGAGCGCATGAAAGTATTAACGAACTATCAACGGAACACCGCACCGCACCAAGAACGTGAGTGGTTTAGTTGATAGACGTTTTCTCTCGATCCTGTGCGCCGGGAAAAGTTCGGATAACTAGTGAAAACGTCATCGGAGAAAAGTAATAGTAGTTTCCCGATCTAATAAGGCGATTGGCAATAATCGAAGGTAACCCCCAGCTCGATAAGATTCCTGCCACAGAGTCATCACAGCAGCGAGAATGACCTGACATTGCTTGACTGTCCGTTCCCAGATATCCTTGTAAAAAGGTGGGAAACATTTATCTTTCGTTGTGACACTCGTCATGTACGATGGGCTCACGTGAACTTGACAGTGGGACCAAGTGGGGACTGTAGTAGGATCCATCAAGGGATCCATGTGCAGGAATGCTTCGGGCCGACAGAATCCGACTCCAAGTGGTGCACAATTTATTTTGACACCCTTGTTCGGGCCTAAATACCGATATGCAAGCCGACCTCTTCGAAATCAGGTCCAATGCGTAGCACTAACACACTCAGGTGCTTGGATAAGTATAATATGATCCATTGCTTGATCGTTCTGAATAGATAGGGTGCGTCTACGTGCTAGTTTCATCATTCGTTCATCCAGGAGCTGCGCAGGATTTTAGATACTATAGTTCGATAACATCGTCGACGTCAGCTCAAATAATATGCCACAAAAAGAGCAAGTAATAGTATGCCAAAGTGTGCCCATACGCGATGGTCCACGCCTATCCACACCCACATCCTGATCACAGCATCTACTCCGTCCATATCCATGCTGCAGTCCACTGCTGTCGTCTCATGGTGGGATTGCTTCACGCTGACTTCAGCAACGTTTCCATATTTCTGTATGCGAGCGATCGCCAGCCTCCTCATCGCTACGATATACCAGGCCATACCCATTCCTGCACCAACAAGTCTAATGTTTGAGGTCCAAGAGTAAATGCAGCGTTTGAATATTGATCGTCCAGACTGTATTCGAGGTTCTGGTGCGAAGGATTGATGTTCAAAATCATCGTCCGACTTATGAAAGGCGTTTTCTTGACTTTGTTGCAACAGCTGTGGCAGATGAGGACATAATATCGATCCTCTTGCAATGCCTAGTAGTTGTGCATGTCTATATGCAAGTGCATTACGTAGATGAGATGGTGTACGTAATCCACCTGTAAGAAGTACCAAAGGATGAGACCCAGGAGGAAGAGGCAAAGACTGGATTGCTTTCAGTGCCTGATAAGAAAATCGCGCAAACAAGGCTTGACGCCTCGATTCAGGAAAGGGTCTGACAGACATGAAGTCTTCATACCAGGGGTCGCCGTGAGTAACGTGAATATATACCGCAGAAGAGTATATGCACCTGGATTCTCATAATCACCTCCACTGATCTCAATAAAATCAACGAGTCCCCAGCGGGCGATAGTCATGACGTGATCCAGGATACGCCGTTCTTCATCTATCCCGTGATCAGAAGTACTTGACCGCCCGATCTTTGACTGAGCATAATCGGCAGCATTGATCTTGAGCCCAACGATAAAATTTGGGGGAACCGCTTCACGAATTGAAAATACAATGCGACGAAGGAGATGAAGTGCATGTTCTGGAGCGCAGGAGAATTCATCTTGGCGCAAGTTACTCTAGAAAGAATAGGTTTGCGTTATATATCTACGCAGCCTGCACCCGGAAAAAACAGAAATACCTCAGGAGATAGAAACTGTGCAAGCAGGTCTGAAAACAGTCCTAGGTTCTAATCAGTACACCCGCAGCCCACGAGAGCACAAAAGGGCGGTGGACAAAGCCATTACTCACACCCATGTGCAGCATGTAGCTGAATACCATCGAATCCGGACTTTACAGCAAAGTGTGCTCCATGAACGAATTCCTGGATTGTTGCTTCGATGTCAAGAGGGGTCATCTCTCGAGGTCTTTGAAACAAAAGGCGATAAAAAATATTTGATATTACACTCCGCTTGACCTTACTGGTCTCCGAAGAACCACCAATGGCGTGCAAGCTAGAACCCAGTCGGATAGCACTAGCAGAGAGTGGTGGGACAAAGGGAAAGCGACCCCCGAGCATATTGGGTGACTGGCGTCCTGCATGAGATAGTTGCATGATAGCCAAGGTTGGATGCTCATGTGCAGATTGTGAAGGAGGTGGAGACAACACAGAATCGCCATAAACCGGGGATGTATGTCGCGCCGCGCTGAAATTGTGAATTACACCTGACAATCTTTTGAAAGCCTTCAATGTCTCCTGCGTAATTGTTCGCGGCACAATCATGTCATATCCCAGTGAGAGATGGGTTGGTGAAACTTGCACATTTCCCGTGATAATCATTCCCCAGTCATTCTGAGCCCATTCAGAATAAAGAGCGAAGTGATATGGGTTAGGAGTATTTCCAAGATGCTCGTATGTAGCAACCTAACCCAGACCAGAAACCACCCAATTAGTACCACGTTGTGCTTATTCAAAAGCATAGCAAAGAACCTTTACGAGCCTATTCCGAACACTACGACCGCATGGGAGTGAAATACGAGAAAATATATCAGCAGATTCCTTAGCAATTGATGTCCCACTGATAGCCGGGCAAGAGGCAGACATAAGAGACAAGGCGGACTCGAGAGTCGGATTTTGGAGACATGACATGTTCAACAAAATAAGCGCCCATGCACGAAGGCTTCATGACCAATTCAATTATGCTCTTGGCTATAATTCCAAAATTCATAACATTGTACGTTGTATAATACTCTACAAAATAATGCTAGCACGTACACTACTCACGTTAACAGCTATACGGTTAGGCGCAGATACCATGATAACGTCGGTGCTTGCGCCAAAACAAAGATTTTATACCATAATGGTATTAGTACGAACTAGCGTGCTGCAATAGAGTCTATGTAACATCCTCAGCAGAGATGAAAGGTGAAAGACTGAAAATGTTTACTTACGCCACCATCAATTAATACTGTTTCCCCATTCACAAACCAGTTGGCCACCAAGAATAGAGCTAATGAACCAATGTCCCGGTTACTGCCAGTCTTAAAGCCAGCAGGCACCTGGAACTCGACTTGATCTTCCATACCATCCGGCACATGGGACAGACCTGCTTCATCTGCTGTACCAGGAGCCGATAACTGAACGGAAGCGGTGAGTGCGTGAGTCTGAAAGCCAATATAGTCTCGATACTATTTGATGCAGCTCACTTCAGTTTGAAAAAAACCTAGAATGATGCATGATGACAAGAACCAAGAATCATCCGATGAGCTTACCTGGAGCAATCCCGTTCACCCTTATTCCAAGGGGTAAAAGTTCGTGCGCCAGACTAGATGTAGCTTGACCTAAAGCACTCTTCGAAAACAAGTAAGGGTAAGAGCGCCCTGCTGTCCTTGAGTCCTGATGTCAATCGTAATTGAGAAAACTATCGAATGATAAAGCAGAGTAGATGCATCGTTGCCTTACTTTCGTCCAGGCATTCATACTAGAGGTCATAATGATTTGTGGAACGAACCTCTGCGCTACAGCATTTTCTGGGGCAGAAGTTTTCCAACGTTCTAGTAGAGACAGGAACGCGAAGGTAAGCCAATATGGGCCCACAGTATTGGTATCGAAAACATTATGAAAATCCTCCTGTTGAATAGAATCAAAGTATTGGGACCTGTAGGCCTCGGCAGTAGGAGCTGGAGCTGAAAAGGCGGAATTCGAACTTGTGCCAGCGTTGTTGAATAGGACAGTGACATATTTCTCACGTCTTCCAATTTCTTCTGCTAAGCGGGCTGCCTCGGACTGAATCATATCTTCGTTTAGCTTGGGCCTGACTGCGATACAGTGATTGATATAGTATGCACCTTTAGTCTGACATCGCCTTTAATACCAAACATTCGTCCCTTCCTAGGGTCCTTTGCCGCAGCTGCATTATAGGTTTCTGCGATACTGTTGAAGCCATAATGTTAGGTGCTCTAAAAAAACCATATTCACGACTCACTTATCTAACTTATCTTGCTCAAGACCTATGATATATACTGTAGCACCGTTAGCAACCAAGGTAGAACCGATCATAAGACCGATTCCCTTAAAGTGAGGGCTCAGAAATCATACAATGCAACGACAAGTTACTCACAGATCCACCACCAGTAATTACCGCGACAATACCTCGGAGATCGAAAATGGTACTGGCAGACAGATTATTGAGGACAGTATCTGCCATGTTAATTTGAGAAGTGATATGTCGGGTTGGGGGAGGAATCGAAACCCATCTTCATCTGCGTCCTTTTATAAGTCATGATGTTCGCGGAGAGTAATAGAACCGTGTATTCGAAAACGCTAGAATCATTCTCGTAAATATTGTTGACGCCGCCATCAAAAAAGTAGATGCTATAGATTACTCAGGCCTAAAGTGATATGCCAGTGATTCAGAATCTTTCCCACTGTTGATTCCCGACCATGGTGGCTTACTGACATATATATCACCATTTTCAGTCCTGCGCAGGTCATCAGATACGATCACTGCCACCATTCAAAATACCACTAACACTGCCACCATTGGCGTCAGAACTCATCTCAAGCCATCAGTGTGGCCCGAATCTGGCACATGCCTGATTTGGTTGGCGTCCCTGGAAAGCAGATTTAATACACCCATGTAGAGTGATACGATCGAGCCTTGGAATGATTTTGACAAACCAAGTTATCTGGCAAGGAACGAAATGTTGCTCTTCGGCTAATAGCGTAGTACTCGGGCCATGGATCCAGGTGCAGATCATCACATGGTCACACGTCCACCAAAATGTTATGTGCTGACTGACAGATAAGCAAGGAGAACGGTATTTGGCAGAGTTGGGGGACAGTACTTGACCAAAACTCAATATTCTGATCTCGTTCAATGAACATGGGGCTCTCGAGTATGAAATATATTGGGATAAGTACAGTTGGACATGACCTAGCGCAAGAAAGGAGTGAGATATGACAGGGATTCAGTAACATGTGCCAAGACGGCCCAAGTATATGTCATATGAAGGAAAGTAAAACCATACAAGTTCGAAGTTCGCGCATAATATAGAGCAGTCCGCATACTAATATGATGACGGATGCTTGAGTAAGGTCTGTATTCACGATTTTCTTTAGTCACTGGGGGAAAAAATTCTTCGGATGCAGCGAGACATGCACGTACCCCACCATCAATGAGGACAGTCTCTCCGTTGACAAACCAGTTAGCAACCAAGAATAGAGCGAGGGAGCCCATGTCGCGATTAGAACCGAGCACAGCGGGAACCTCAAGAGGAAAGGTTGCCCCTTGAGGTAGGTGCGAAGCCCCAGTAACGGGGTCAACCATCCCCGGGGCACTCATCTAGTGCATAATCATGAACAGGATTTGATGTATAAGAAGTAAATAAAGTATACCTGGGAGACGAACAGTCCTATCACGGATTATATTAGCAGAATATAGAGAAAACTATAGGTATACAATTTGATTTTCACCAGGAGCAATTCCATTGACTCTGATACCGAGTGGAAGAAGTTCGTGAGCCAAAGAGGACGTGAAATGCCCTATTGCACTTTTGGAAAACATATAGGGGTATGAACGGCCAGCTGTGTTAGAATCCTAGAGGGGAGGAATCACAATGAGACGATGTTGAAAAAATAGTAATACCCGTCAAATACCTTGGTCCACCCATTCATACTGCTTGTCATGATGATTTGTGGTAAGAATTTTTTGGTGGCTGGATCTTCCGACTTTTTCCACTTCTCGAGAAGAGGCAGAAATGCAAAAGAAAGCCAATACGGTCCAATAGAATTTGTGTTGATAACATTGTTGAAGTTTTCCTGAGTGACGCGATCAAAGTGACTTGCGACATAGGAGGCAGCAGTGGCTTCAGTAGGAGGTTCATATGATCCCTGAAGAACTCCCGCGTTATTGAACAAGACAGTGAGATATTTTTCGCGTTTTCCAATCTCTTCAGCTAAGCGGGTTGCTTCCGACTGAAACATGAACTAAATATCAAAACTGGTGAAAAGCACGAGCCATCTGACCTTTAGCCTGATATCTCCCTCGATACCATGCATACGTCCTTTTCGTGGGTCTTGGGATGCAGCCTCGTTATATGTATGAGCAAATCTATAATATAAACACCGGACTCATCAGAGACTAGTGGGCACAATGTACGCGATAATAGGTCACCTGTCCAAATCAGCCTGTTTCGGTCCCACAATATACACAGTTGCACCGTTGGCAACAAGAGTTGAGCTGATCATCAACCCGATACCCTGCAAATAGTGAGGTAAGGTAAAATCCATATGAAGAAAAACCGTGACATACTGAACCACCACCAGTGACAACGGCGACAACGCCACGAAGATCAAAGATATTGCTTGCAGTCAGATGGTTTAAAACAGCGTCCGTCATATTGACCTTTTGGTTATCTGTAATGAATCAAAGCAATGAGCCCAGGTTAAGGGATATATGAAGAAAGACCCATGATTCTATGCACTTTTGAAAGCTTCACACTGAATATCTCTGGATGAATCTAGAAGGGTTTTAAGGGACTCATCTGACTAAAATACAAACACTTTATCAAGTCAGCATATGTACTGTAAACCGAGTCATTCACACAATTTCACAGCGGTAGCGAAGCTTAGAATTCTCCGACAGGCCAGACATTGACGTGCGCGTTCGGCAGACAACTGCTAACAGGAGAAAGAACAGAATGACTGAGCACGCTCCGACAGGCCAGACGTTGACGTGTGCGTTCGGCAGAGAGCTGCTGATAAGTAGGAGAAAAGAAAAATAAGGGTGCGGCGGGCCGCGGAAGCTCCCAGGTCTGAGACACCTGAAACCTCTCCTAATCTCAGAAGCCCAGATCCTCCGCTTGAACCTTCAAAAAAGCCAGATAGACACGCTTTGTTGTTTGCCGCACTGGTGAGGAAAGAGGAAAATAATGTGATTCACTTTGTTGTGCGAAGGATTATTTTCTCTAAGATACAGAACGGAGAGAGAACATGTAATTCCTGGACCCGTAGGATCCAGGTTTCCATTGCGCAATTACGCCGTGATTTTTGCGGACCTTTTATAAATTACTCATCTCATCTTGGTCATCTTCTTATTTGTCACTAAGCTCTTCCTCCCCACCATGGGCAATCAGCAGTCTGCCAACTTTTGATATGCTTGTGTTGGAGCATTAGACAACGCTCATAGAAGTTGAGCCTCCGCTTAGAAACAATTACCTTACTTACAACTTTTGTAACCGCGGGAAGTTCTTTCCTCTTTCTATCTTCAGACTTTCCCGCAAGGTCTATTTCCTGGTTTTCGGAACACTTGACACCTCAGTCTGTTATTACAGTACTGAGGTGAGTTAACATAGGATTACAATCTCCTCTGCTCTAGCCTATGTAAAAATTATTCTATTAACAGGTACCAAATTCCATATCAGTCTGTTATTACAGTACTGAGAAATTATTCTACTGACAGTTAAATACATAACCACTTCAGCTTAATGATGGCAGTCTGTTTTTGACTTTCAAATGTTTGGACCTGTACAGAGAGTAACATGTTCACCCACACAATGTATGGCCCCACGGCAAAATCATACATGTTATCTTGTAACAACCAAGAGTTAGTTACTCTGGCGTGCAACTCAGACAGGCAAAAGAGTAAAGAGAGGGAGTGGTTACCCCTTAAGATGGGACCGAGTTAGTTGTGGGTAAACAACAGGAGGACTCGCTGAGGAGTCTCCTGGATCTATTGAGGTTTATATGCTAATACAGCGTGTTTGTACTTATGTACTATACAGTTGATGGAAGCAGTGGCTGATGATGTCAGAGGGCGCAGCCCGTGTGACCAGCTCCACTGCGTGAGAGACTTTTGTAGCTAAAGTAAGAAAGGCAGCACGGCACGAGAAAGTGGAAGTCTGAACAAAGGGAAGTGCCACGTGGCCCGAGTGCGTGAGAACTCTTTGAGAAAGGTAAGTTAGAACGGAGAAAGAAGTTTGAAAGTCCAAAAATTGTGTATTGTAACACTACCCCCCCCTCTAAGGCTTGACTTCCAGGCTCGACCAAGTACCAGAGGTAGTAGTTAAATTTTCGGGCATAGGTTGAAAAAGGGAAATAAAAAGTTTTGAATCCATGCCTCTAAGCTTCCTAGGAGCCGAGGGATTCTTAGAATAAAATTCACAAACAGCGTTGCAGGAATTGTCCAGATGGACTTCTGGTTCCCACATTTTGTCCTCGTCTCCATAGCCCTTCCATATGACTAGGAACTCTAACTTTCCACACTTCAAGCGTGTATCTACCACCCGTTCCACTTCGAATTCTTCCTCACCTTCCTGGGTGACTACAACTGGTCCGAACCGGTGTCATGCACCAAAGTTGATTGGTAGCATGGACAGGTGTCAATAACAAAGCGAATATTCAAAAAAACTCGCCTTTGCGCCACACAGGCACAGTGCCACGTGGAATAGTAATTAATATTGCCTTTTTTGAACTTGTGGCTGATCAGCACCACCTCTATTAGGCAATTCAGTCACGCTCACCTTTGCTTTTCCATTCGGTACTTTCCACATTTTGGCATTTTGGCAAATTTTCGTGTTGCCACTGGCTACACATTGCATTGCGTTGCGCCCTTGCTTTTGTCATTTCCTTCACTTGCCTAGCCCCACCATGGGTCCCTTACTCTTGTTTTTATTCTCACCCGACGGTCGTTTCCTGGATCCCCATTTTATTTCACCTCCTCGTCACCTCCACCCTCCTCCTCCTCATCTTATTTGCACCCCCACCATTTCTGATGTCACCACTTCCTATCCGTTTCTGTCACCAATCCGTCAACTACCATGTGCCACTGCTGATATCAGCAAAGGCCCGGCGGCCGGTCCAAATAGGGCAACAGGTCCATCTTCATGACGTCGATCTACCATCATATACTATCAAAACATTGGTCGCTCGTCTTGCCTGGTTGGAGCGTGGGTGGGTATTTTTTGAGCTGGAGAAGGTTCATCCCCTTGCGTCGCCCATGTTCATTGCTGTCCCATTCACTTGGGTACACTTATCTTTTGTCCATCGTCTTCGCTACAGCTACACCTACCACACGCTGCCTGGGACTCACTTGTTCCAAATTGGAACTACTCCTCTCTCTCCCTCGTTTGATCAGGTGGTCCAACACAACCAGTCCATTGGTAAGGCCATGGAACTGTTGGATTTGGACTAGGTGGTGGACCGGTGGCTCCAGTTTCTTTTTCTTCAGCAGAACATTCATTTACAGTGCAATTATTTTTGATTTTTGAATCATTTTTATGGACACATATTTTTTTAGAATGTCTGACTGACAATAAAGGAACTGTGTTGATACTGATAGTGTTTTGCCTTGCCCTTTTTTTACTGCATCTTCCCATGACATCATAATTTTCCTGCTCTCTTTTTGCTATTGGACTTTACTTTATGGCTGTACAAACCTGTGACATTACTCACAGCATTTATTGTTCTATCCCTTTCTTTTCCTTTTTTTGACAATCTTATCCTGTACTACCTACGCAGGATTTGTCAGCGTACATTCCTTCCTTCATATTCTTTCTCATTCTTTTTGCACAGCTATACTGTGCATAGCCTACTTTTCTTTCACTATATAAACCCCTGTATTTTACCTTGTAAAAAAAAACAAGAACTCAAATCCAGACTTCTTCTCTAATCTCAAGTTTACTACTCACTACTACTTGTGATCCAGTGTGGTCACAACACTTCCCACTGCTACCACTGTTAACTGCTGTCATCGTTACTCGTCACTTTTGAAAGTGATTGTCATCCCTTTTGATTAGAGTCCTTCTGAGCACTACAGTCTGTGCGTCAGGAGCCTGCTATCACTGGGAACTTTGTCACCTCATCATATTGGCATTCCCAAACCTACCTTGTGCTACTATTAGCAAGGTAGTGCTCATCTATACTCGCCACAAAGCCCCTATCTTTCTATATTCCAACTATCCCTCCTCCTCAAAACCCACACCCATACATCTCTGGGTTTTACTTTGAAGGATTGTTATACGTACCACCCCACGAACAACCAGACCACTCCACTGTTCTAGAAGGCAAAGCCCATAAACAAGTTCCGTGGAATCTGGGAGGATTGTGTGTTAGTTTGTTTTTGTGTGTGGTTTTTCTAACAATAGTTCTCATCATCGACACCGTATGCACCAATGCGAGAAATATTCTCGCCCAACAAGGATATCTCACCTCCCCTCCCCCCGATTTGCTGAGCCTTTCCGCGACAACAGGGCACCCCTTCCCAGGTTGTCACCCCCCAGTCTTGCCACAGGCGCATCTACCAGCATCTTCCCCATCTCCGCCAGATCTTGTTCCACCCATGCCCATTCCATCATCCCCAGCATGTTCCTTCATAACTGACTCAATAGTCCCCGCAGCCAATGCAGTGGAAGAATCACAAGTCATATTGATCCCTACATGTCCCACAACACCCCTCCTCCAACTCCCTCCGCCTCATCACAATCACCAATTACGCTGTCAGCGCCCAGAGCCGGTACTCCTTATCCCTTCGGGTCGCATACCCGCTCGCACGAATTGCCCTCTGGAGTCAAACAAGAGGTTGACACCCACATTGAGCAACAACTTGTCCCAGGCTGGAAGGCCGTCAAGGATCAATGAAGGTGCTACCCCTTCCTCTCAGCGTGGGAGCAAAAGGCCCTCACCCATTTCTGATTACTCTAATTTGACCCATTCACAATCCTCTTCTGAACAACAATGTCGCCCTCACATTCGACATTGCTATGCCTGTCAAGAATATGGCCATTGTGCCATTTATTGCCGATACCATACCTGCTCTATATGCGGTTTAGACGAGCCTGGACACTGAGCTAATGAATGCAACTGGCAGTGCAACTTACCCTTTGTTGCAGATACTTGGGGATTGGATGACAAGCACAACCTTGACAAAGATGCATGATACAATGTAGATGGAGAACTAGGTGACTTCAGAGCAGTCTGAACCTAAAAAGGGGGTAATGTTATGAACTGTATTCCCCGTGGACTTTATTTCTTTTCTCAAGTAGCTACACTCCGCTACCTACCAACACTTTCCCACATGCTATTGCCTGTTACTGTACCACCTGTCATTGTTTGTTCAACACAAACGCCTACCCTAAAGTAGGCACTATATATATACACCTGTATTGTAGTTACTATCTCCAACACAATTGTACGCTTCAACAGTGTAACTTGGTATTCATCAGTCTAAACCTCACCATCAGAATATGTCTCAAACCTGTTCACAAACGGGCTTATCAGAAACCATTTGCACATCCAGAAACTCTGTGTTACCAGGCATGCACATTCCAAGCGTAACACATGATGTCATAGGAACATGCAAAAAAAGACAAAGCAAAAATATCATCAGTATCAACACAGTTCCTTTGTTGTCAGTCAGGCATTCTAAAAAAATGTGTCCATAAAAATGATTCAAAAATCAAGAATAATTGCACTGAAAATGAATGTTCTGCTGAAAAAAAAGAAACTGGAGCCACTGGTCCACCACCTAGTCCAAATCCAATGGTTCCATGGCGTTACCAATGGTCTGGTTGTTGTCAGAACTGTGATCTTTTGGAAGGACAGAGTTTGGAGTGCAGAGGTGGAGTGAAGGGTGGAACAGAGCATAAGGTTGGGAGTTGACTTAGCTCATGCGCTAGGCCCTTCCGCAGACCTTGGTCCCTAACTCGTTGGAGTGAAAACAGATGAGAATAGAGGATGAAAGATGGAGTAGAGTAAAGGTCATTCGGAGAAGGACCGGAAAACTTAGAAAGGGACTTGAGTAAGGTAAGGGAATCTAGTTGATATTTGAACTGCAGGAACGGAGTACAGGAGCTACAACTTATATACTGCTGGAGGAGTGGGAAGCTTGTAAGGAGTAAGGAGTAATGTAGGTACAGAGTTCCATGCAGACAATTATCTAGTGAAGGGAAATCATATGTGGGAGGAGTGTACCATAAGGTCTAAACTACAGAGTCCATGAGGAGTATGAAAATGTGCATAGGAAAATGTATGGCGGACTAGAAGTCTGGCGCAGGAGTATCGGAGCAGATGGCTGGAATACTATGGAGGTGGGGTATAGGGTTATGCTGATTGGCAGGACACAAGGAGTGTAATCCCAAGAGTACCAAAGATTTGGGGGGGTTCGGACTTGAGAAATGACCTCTTTGGAAATTCCGGAGTTCTGCCTTCTGGCATGGATATGACAGTTGTATTGGACCACCTGGTCAAATGAGGGAGGGAGAGGAGTAGTTCCAATCTGGAACAGATGTGTCCCAGGCAGTGTGTGATAAGTGTAGCTGTAGTGAAGACGATGATGCATGAAGGATAAATGTACCCAAGCAAATGGGACGGCAATGTACACGGACAACGCAAGAGGATGGACCTTTTCCAACTCAAAAACTACCCACCCGCATTCCAGCCAGGCAAGACAAGTGACCAATGATTTGATAGTATATGATGGAAGATCAATGTCATGAAGATGGACCAATTGCCCAATTTGGACTGGCCGCTGGGGCTTTGCTGAAATTAGCAGTGGCACATGGTGGTTGACGGATCAGCAATGGAAGTGAATGGAGAGCGGTGACATCAGATGTGGTGGAGGTGCAAGGAGGACAAGTAGGAGGAGGGTGGAGGTGACAAGGGAGTGGAATAAGATAGGGATCCAAAAACGACCGTCTGGTGAGAAGATAAAGGAGAGGAGAGGGCCCATGGTGGGACTAAGTAATGGAAGGGGAGTAAGGGAAACGACGAAAGCGAGGGCACAATGTGTAGCCAGTGGCGACACAAAAAATTGCCAAAATGCCAAAAGTACCAAATGGAAAATAAAGGTGAGTGCGACTTGATTACCTAATAGAGGTAGGTGCACAAGTTTGAAAAAGGCAATATTAATTACTATTCCATGTGGCACTGTGCCTGTGTGGCACAAAGGCAAGTCTTTTGAATATTTGCTTTGTTATTAACACCTGTCCATGCTACCAATCAACTTTGGTGGTGCATGACAATGACTCAGAACATGCCACCAAATCAGCTCCGCACAAGAATTTGAAGTGCACAACCTTATATCACAGTCTAAAATATCATCCTTATATTTTTTGGGTTGGGCCCTGTAGTTAACAATTGCCACTAATCGGGGTTCCAAAAGGCTCAGACCAGCCTATGTACCACACATACCAGCAGTGTCAGGCCTTCATCTTGTATGTGTGCTGTTGTGACCAGTGTGACCAGAAATTGCAGATTCCAAAACGTGTGGTGTCTTTGTGGTTTCGTTCCACTGCCCCAATGCTTCAAGTCCTTGCTTATTTTTCTACACAGGCAGCTAAAACACTAAAAAGTATATCTACTGGTCAAGTTCCGACGGCCTCTGGTTCAACGACTCGTGAGTTATTCAACTTCTCCCAAGGCCAATTGCACCTATTATCCAACGATAGTACACTGAGAACATATTGAAATGACTCTCAAAAAAAGTATTATATGTAGTACGAAATCATAAGCCTATTGTAACCTAAATAAACGAGTTTCGCGCACGTACGTCAAAATCCACTTGCTCTACTCTTCGTTCAGGATCTAGTTTGGAAGACCTCAAAGTACGCCGTGTACTCCTCTGGAGTCATTAGGTCTTGATCTTCTTCCGTAACATGTGAAAATGGTTTAGGCTGCCCGTTAACTACACACATAACCATATAAATAGAATCAGTATTGATGACGATAAAGTTATGGATGGTGACGCACCGTATACCGTGGGGTCGTCCTGAAGCCCGTTTCCTACGTTGATGTCGTCTACTTCAGCTTCGTCATGTATAATCCCGTTTTGTACTGGCTCAACTGCGGGCCAGTCCGTTTTAGCTAGTTTCTTTGTCGACGCGCCTTCATCTTCTCGCGATCGAGATCGCTTTCTATAGTCGTTCAAAGAATCAAGATATTGAACAGATGGCTTCTGCTCCTCCTCTTCCCCGAAATCACCGAAATCATCGCTAACCAGACCAGAGGGAGTTGCCTGGGTTGACGCTGCCAAAGAAGCGTAATATTGATCGTAGTCTGAGTAAGAATAAATCGTCAGCACCGCCGCACAACAAATGAAGTTCTCACTCAATATTAAGAGGGTTGGCGTGATAAAATGCTCACAGTCAGATTCATGGTCTATCGTTGGTTTTACGTCTTCTGTTATCGTGATTAACTGTGGCGTTCTCGAAGATCCTACTGTTCCCAGGCCTTTGAGAATATCGTCGTTGGAACTAACTCCTTCCCCAGACACCGTTGCTCGGGCACTTTCCTTCACTCCAAGTGCTGTCAACTCTCCCGAAATTGTACTCTTCAGATGCCACGCCGGCAAAGCGTTCTGCTGCCTCTTGGCGGCAGCCTCTGCATCTCGTTCTTGCCGCCTCGTTGCCTCGTCTTTATCCATTGACATGACAATACCAACACCATCATCTTGATTTCTATCTCCCGGCGTAGATCCTGCAACTTTAAGCCCTGATGATTGGGAGGATTTCTGTTTATCAGACTCGCTGACGTTGTTCTTCACCCATAATGCAACGTCGAACCTTCAATGAAGATAAGCTTACAATTATTTGGATAAAAGACAGATAACGTACGCGGGTATCACCATTGACTCTGTCTTTCTCAGACCTTCTCTGATAAACTGCATCTGCTTATTGAAGCGTTGCATTCGGTCCTGGCTACCTTTTACGCTCTCTGCATTCTCGTTGTCCACAAGCTCGGCATGGCAGATTTCACACAAGAAGACACCTCGTTCAAAATCGATAAGTTTATCGGCCTCCAGCGGCGAGTACGATTTGGTACATTGAGGGCATATATACCCCTTGTTATCCAGCTCCTATTCAGTGCCAGCGCAAATATTCACGGTTTTAATTGGTCAAGTCAAAGAGAAATAGATGAATAAAAAAAACTGACATTTCGCAGGCCAGAGTCAATAATTCTCCGCATTTCTGCAATGCGCCATTTGACCACGTTACAGAAATCCTGGTGATTGATGTAATAGTACTGCCTTCCTACGGATCTTTGGGCACCTTCTTTCAGCTCGTTTTGACGATATCTGTGGAGTAGCAAGGAGCCAGATAAACGAATAACACAATATCGAGAAAATGTTTCTCACTGACACGGTAACCAGACGATCATTCGCCAGAACGGCCATTAACTTATTCAACTCCTTAGCCTGCCAACCCATCCTTCCAGCCAAGTCATCATCCTTCAGACTAAAATGGATGGTCAGAATGACATGGTATGAAGAGTTCATTCAAAGCCATATGAAAGCATTCGCAAGTAGACCTGAATCGCTTGCATAGATGCCTTTTGCACTGTAAATACTTACACCGGATGCCGGGCAAGTTGGTCCATGATGATTGTGAATTTGGGTTCATAAAAAGCTCGAGAGACATGTTGGATGAGGAGACGTAGAGTCTCTTGTTCCTCTTTTGTTGCCATTCAAGGCCGCAGAGGCCAACAAGAAATACAGGCAGGAGTACCACTGTGATATCCACCAGACCCAATAGCAAAGATTTTTTAGAGGAAAAGACAGATGCTGACGCCACGAAGGGCAGTGGCGAAGGAAAAGTTTCGGGAAAAGCACTTGCCTTACTACAGCGACAAGCGATTATGTCAGCGTTCTATGGCTGTACCGTTGGACTCGGCCGCCAATGACTGTACTATAGTACTACTTGTGATATCGATTCTAGCATGCATGTCAAGTTGCTATCAAATGACATAGGATATCCTGAGCATTGGTTATCGCAAGCACATCAGGTGTGTGGTCCTGAATCATACAAGCAGACGCGGTTTCCGATTCAGATCGTTCCTCTATAACTCTGGATTTCGGCCTGCCACGTATGCTACTACGACACAGCAGAGCCTTTATCTAAGATTTAGGTTTCTCCAATTATAATGTAACTCTCTTAGAACTCTACTGGTATGCTGGGAAGTCGGCTTTTAGTGCGGTGCTTCGAAGGTGCTGGAAGAACCTGCTTGTCAAAACTCTTGAAGCATGAAGCTTGACAAGAAGCTTGAAGTCCATGGCCGCCCCCGGCGATAATAGGTGATACACCAAATCCCCGCAAAGAGGATTCAGGGGGAACATGGAGTATTCTTGATCAATTTCCAACTTTGCTTCCTTGCAACATTTGCTGGCTTTTCTACTCACAAGTTCTCCGCCGTTACACTTTGCGAGCGCCGACGGTGCTTGACGCTTGATGGATGTTTTCGAAACTCGTGTGTTAGATTCTTCCCTTATCAGAAAACTCGGCCTCCGCTCTTTACTACGTACATTGAAAGAAGGCCGAGATGCGTCTTTACCGGATCTCTCACATGGATTGTCACTAGCATTTTTCGGGAGTGAGTTGCTCATGTTGACGATAAAGTATGAATTCTAAAAGCAAGCCCCGCGTCTGGTGAGTAATTATAAACACTGGCTGATCTCACTAACTAAAATGCCCCATGTCTAATTGTTGCATATTGTGTAGAACAAGGCGCTCGGGGTAATCCTACATCTCCCGGCTCAGGATCCGACCTACTCGTGATCGGCATTGTGCTGCGACTGTCCCCTGTGGCCAAAGACCTGAATGAGCCTACTTCCCTAAGATTGTCCATCGCCCTGAAGGTGCCTTTTACACTGCTGCCGCGAACTGCGAGGAGTCAACTCCATGATCATGCTGACGGGTGGTGCTGAGGGTTAACTCACTGCACCCTGTATTCCCCATTGTTTTGGAGTTTGCACTCGGATAAAAGCTAATCCTAGCGTGAACGCATTATATCTCTCCCTGACGAGACAAGTCTAGATCAGTGAATGTCATACCCAGCCTTAACGTCGCTTTCGTACCTTGGCAGGCACTGTGCATTTGTACCATTCAGTTGTTGTTGTTAATCTCCAAATGTAGCCTTGTAATGCGTAAACATTCTCGATGACAAGCAGACAAGATCAAGGTCGACAGTCTCGACCGCTAAACCAGTGTGACCAACTTGATTTATCGGTATAATGCCTCGGCGAAGATGTTGTGCACAGAGGGGGTCATGCATTCCAATTCAACCATCATTATACATACTCTCGCGCGAAACGTTCGGACATTCGCCATAAAGAAAATCACTGTAAACCAAAACGGACGAAGGAATTATGTCACCGACATAAAATTAGCAGTGGGAGACGCAACAGTGTCACAGAACATACGCACATACAGTTAATATTTAGGAGCAACAGCACAAACACATTGAATTGACATAAATACCACGATGCCCTGGAAACACCGACTCGTCACCTGCGTCCACAAGAACTGACAACGGAAGTGATCGGTATCCTTTGCTTATACCGATGACAGCGAAATTGTTACGAAAGACAGGAAGAGTATGGGCGCAAAGACTGGTTAAGCGCAAACCTCCGTGACACCCCCTGAAAACTACCCAGCGGAGACATTGATATATGATGATTGTGTTCGCGTTCTGTACAAGGCTCATAAACTTTATGGGGGTGGTTCAAGGCGTATCATATGACATTAGCAACACAGCTTCACTGGGACATCTGTCAACATCCAGTCATAGTATCCAATATATGCAGCCTTACCTGTCTTTGAAGTACCGTAATCACCGGAAATGACAACGTGCTAAGAATATCATGGTTCATCGAATCATTATTTATCCTGTCGAATACTTTGGCGGTCCTTGATGATGAGCAGCGTTAGTCCCCGCACAGTCCAGATCGTACACATCGATGTGCGCTGTTCTTGCCAAGGAGATTGATGCACGTAAATAAAATCTCCCGTAATATCGTACCCCACCACATTACAATGAACTGTAGATGTCAACTTCTGCTGTACCGTAGAACGGATGACGCGTGACGATATCAGTCTCGTAAGAAGTTTCACTGGATAACAAAATTTCACATACAATGCTGACGTTGATGGCTGTTCGACCTGGGCTCACCGGTGGCTCTTGGTCGATAAATTTCTCCAGTTCTAGTGGAGCAGGTAAGACGAACTTGTTATATCACAAAATTCCTAATGATTGCATACCTAGGTCACAAATGTCCTCGCGCCTCAACTTAGATAATCCGACTCCAAGTTATCACAATAATAACCGTGGATATGATCACATAAGGAAGAAGTGCCGATTCATGCGTATAGTATGTGTTGAGTTATCCACGACTTAACACGGATGTGCACTGGATTCAAAACGTTGACACGGAAAGAGAATGAATTCGAAAAACCGACTGCCGACTATAGCTAGTAGGCCTAAAACCCAGCGGCAAGCGCATTACGTGATACCCGGCCCCCACCAGCCACTGGCACCCAAGGCTTTTTCTTGCAACAACCATGAAGTAGAATTTGAAAAGCCTCCAGCAGATCTCTAGCATTGACAGCAATCATTTTCACAGAAGTGTGGTTATCTTGTTGGTTTCAGTGAGTCACTCACTATAGTGATTATATGTGTGCTTTAACGTTCAACCACTTTGTTCAGCTATCTGGTGTCGTTGTTTCTTACTTTTATCAAGCTGCTACGGCCGCGGTGACCAAGGCCACGTAGACGTTGTTTACACTGTCAATGTCTCGTCACAAAATCATCTATCATTGATCTTGTTTATTTTTTTTACTACCAAGTTTGACCAATACTCCTCTGGGGCCCGACTGGTATCCTAACCACGAGCTGCAACCACGAACTCCACCACCCTACTCGAGGACGTATCACATGGACCTCATTTGAAGCTCCTACTGTATCCTGTATTACAAGTAACACATGATAAGCTAAGATGGTCCGGAACCAAATCATTTCAGTGTTTGCTTGCCAATATAGCTAAACCGAACTTGTTCCAGTTGGAAGGTTCGTCCTTTTTAACGTATACTAAACAAATCGATATTGGAGATCTTGACGAGTATGGCTTGTCGTATGCAGCCTTAATAAATTCAAATGGGTGGTTTACTCTGAACTGAAATGGGTTGAATGATATTATGGTATGTAGTCATAAGATCCATCTTATGACGTCTGAGATCATATGGTATTACATGTACATGCGCTCACCCCAGGAGCTTTCCCTGGCCTCCGTGTCAACACCATCATCAATGTCCAAAGGAGTCAGACAGTCAGTATCAGGACGAGCGTACTTCAGCAGGTGATGTGAGAAGTGTTTGCCAACAAAAACTGTCCTCACCTTTCTGTCATGATTTTCAGTTGCTGGGGATGATGTAGCTTACCACGGCGTCTCCTTAAAGTTTTGTCTATCTTGCTATAGCTTCAGGATTGGGATATCGTGTGACATGAACAGTGCCCAGCCCGATAAAGCGTTTCGGGCCAACAAGGTGCATATTTCTGGAAGGCTTAGCTAGCGCTTTTTGATGGACCAATGGATAGATGCTCCGATACGACGCTCTATCAAACCAAGGACGCCGAACTTGTACGTGACTAGAATCTTTCCGATTCCCGACTTTACCGTTGGCGGGCCTAATTAAGAAATTGCTGTAATGAGAAAACGGAATGCCACGGCAACTGTATCATACATGTCATGGATCCGGCATCACCTACTCCTCAGAAGAAGTTCCGGATGACCAAAAAACTACAGTATCGTGGTGGTGGAAACTCCCTTTGACGAAAAGCACAAATCAGTGGATAGAACCTATATGACCCAACAGGCACGTTCAATTCAGTTTCGTAAACAGGGTGCAGTCCAAGCTCACCTTCATTTCACATAAGGAGCAATACCGAATACCGTGAATGGTACTGCATCAGCTAATTGAGCTCGTCATGAGAGCTTTTATTGCATAATAGCCTCACCGAGGTGGTTCCTTTGAGACCCTTTTGAGGCTTTTGGTTCTGGCTATCGGTTCAGTCCCGTTTCTTCAACATTATTCATTCAATCTCCGGACAAGCCAGTGTTCTATGTGCACTTACAACGGCCATCAATGAACTAGATAGATAGTGTGTTCTCGGGGCCCGCATTGCAATGCAACGATTCGCTCACGATAACCGGAACGGATGAATGTTTTTGGAATGTTCCTCACCCTAGGGCACCCAGAATATGTACACCCATGTACGCGGATAACCTGAGGTCAATACTAGTGTGTGGACAAAAATATGCTTCTACTCCAAGAGTACTTAAAGGGCAACACATAACGGTTCGAAAGCACCCAAGTTCAAACCCTTCGTCCCCAATCCTCTCCAATCTATCTCTCTCTATAACATTATGTCATCTCGTGTAGTCGCTGTCTTCGGAGCCACCGGTACCCAAGGTACGCTCGGATGATGTGACTATAACCTGCGTCGCTCAAAGTTCCTACTCCTTATAGGCTCCTCTGTTGTCCACGAACTACTCAAAGACGGTACTTTTGTACCCCGGGCAGTCACTCGCAATCCTACCTCCGAAAGAGCGCAGAAGCTCAAGGCTCTCGGTGCTGATGTTGTTCAAGCCGACCTTTGGGATATCAACTCGCTTAAGAACGCCCTTGCTGGGTGCGAGGCTGTGTTCGCTGTAGGTTACTCTTCGTCAATAACGTTGATCAAGTCGAATGAGCCCCTTGATCACAGCTTACCGATTATTACGACCCGAAAAGTTTGGCACAAGGTCACAACAGTGAGATGATTCTTGGAAAGAACCTGGTCGATGCTGCAGTGGAAGCAAATATCAAGTTCTTTATATGGAGGTATGTAGGTTTGTAACCGGTATCCCAGTAATCCGTTTACTTATGTGACCGAAAAAAGCTCACTGCCTAGTGCTACGAAAGTCTCAAATGGGAAATATCGTAATGTTCACCACTTTGACAGTAAGTGCCTCGCTCGGCTGACTGGCAATTATTAGCGCTGAATATTCAATTTTTTTAGACAAGGCAGCAGTGGAAGACTATTTGCAGAGCGTAGAACTACCCAGTGCTATCTTACACACCGGTTAATTCACTCCTTTCTTCCTTATAATTGTAGTCTGATAAAACGACTCGTAGGCTGGTTCTCTGAAAACCTATGGAAGTAAGGTTGAATCCACTGACAGATCGGCTTTAACGATGTTCACTACTTTTGCATTCTCTGACAGTTATCAGAATCTTGTTCAATCTCAAGACTCGTCATCTTTTGAAGTGGTGGTTCCACGATATGACGCTCACTCTCCTCAATACATTACTTGGATTGAGCGAGACTTGGGCCAGTGTGCTCTTGCTCTGCTGAAGAACTATGACAGCCGAAAGGATGAAATTCTGGACAACACCTTTTACGCTGTGAGCGAAAAGATGACCTATACTCAACTAGCAGATATACTCCAGAATGGTAAGCATTTCACGTCTTGCTACCGCCCAGCATGCTCATAACCCAATTACTATAGCATTCGGCAAGCCAGTCAAATTTACTTCATCGGAGACATGTGGGATGCAGGTTTGTCGTTCAACACTCTCGGGCAAGACAATCACTAACGGTGTTTTATTTTTATGTTATAGGAACTGGATGACATGGTGAGCTCTGTATCTCTGTATATCACATTTTGTCCCTATTGTGGTGGACTCATTATTTCGTCTTTCAGTATGCCTTCCAATCCGAATTCGGGCTTTATCCGCATTCCGCCATTCCGGATCCCCGTCTTGTGAATCTTGGAGTACAGTTTCACACCATGAAGACATTTGCCGAGTTTGCGAAGACTAGGTATGTGTGAGAGGCAGAACAATAATTCCAAGGACAGAGGCTTGATGTACATCGGTAACAATATGATCCCAGTATCTACTTTTCTTCTCATCTGTCGAACCATTCGTAACTGTTCATTGTCTGTAAGCATACGAGAAACGAAGTGGGTTTTGTTTTTGTAATATATACTTTAATTTTACGATGTTTCAATTTAACCTGACATGTAGAACTTGAGCCTCGGTTTAAGTAAGTGTCTTGCTCCTTATTCGGCTTTTCCCGCTGTCGCTGCTTTGTGAACTTCGAAAACTGCTCAGGCCTCAGGCTTCATTCACCTACCGTCTGTCAAAATGCCGGATCATGTAAAGCGTCATGCAGATTTTTACCAGCCCTGTTTACTGCGGAGTACCAGGTTGGGCATATGAATACAGTGGTCGTTAACTCTAGGGATATTTCAAGAAGTTCTTGTCCCAAGGTCTGTCCCAAGACACCGTCGGAATGGTCAAGAATACCTTTGGACCTTCCTACTTTACAGGTCTGGGAATCCCGATGAATCTTTATGTGCACCCAATGATGTCCGTGACAGTTGGACTGATGCTAGCGGCTATGGTGCTGAATTTGAGCGAGCCGCTGCCCCGGCGTGAAGAAGCTGGAGAAGCACACCAGGTGGTTGGAACAAGGTTCAGGTCATATGGACATGACGCACTCTCAATATATTTCGCATCGAATTCCTGCCATGCGATGTCAGATGGAGACCGCTGCCTGATTATTCGATGCTACAGTCCGTTTGGGCTCAGGGCTCTGTCTTATTCTTAGGCCTACCTATCTTCAGGCGAGCCCGAGATCAACACTTCCGATCATTTGAACCGGCACCATCCACTATTGACAGTTTGATCGGGGTGTTCAAGCATTCAATGTACCCAGTATCAACCCGCGGGCGGGGCTGCACCAAGGTACGCCGCACGAGTCACATTACACTATTGCCCTCGGGGAGCATTAAACATGTACCGTCGGACCAGATGACATCTTGAGTGGCTTCTGCGCTCATTGTCACTCTCATACTGTGATGAGCGGGACCAATCTCAGCCGAGTCCCATTGTCGAGTTGTTCCTGCGATATGTCCGGAAGGCATGATTTTATCTCATGCATATGGAGGACATACAGGCTATTTCTGGAAGCAGCATCCACACCCACCGCACAATGCATGGATGATAATTGGACTTCAAATGTGTTCATGATCAAGTGATCCTCAGCCGTCGATGTTGCTTTTTGATTCCTCTATGCTTACATGTGGATGCTAAGCATGTTCCGGGACCATCCCAGCTCGGGGGATGTTTTCTCTCGATGCGCTTTCCGTTCGTTCGCAATTCAAAAGTTGGACGGTCCGACTTGACTGCAATGCTTTGAATTTCCAGTTTTATGGATAACTTATGTTCTGCTGGCATTGATCAACGTTCATAGAAGCCACGCTGACCCCAGAAGTATACCTTGAAGTATCAAAAGGTGATTCAGCCATCGCATCATTTTGACTTTGAGACCATTGGGTTGCACGACGGAATATCTGGTTTACGGCAATTTATGTCTTCAACGCGACCAGCCCTTGATCCATTTTGTTCCACTTTAGACTCTCAGGATCCAAAACGAATACCACATCTTTGTCCCTTATTGACTGTCATACTTCTGCAGAAGTACCGATGAACCGGTTACAAGGCTCTCCATCGACCTTGTGCAGCATGAGGTATATTCTGGCCATTGCTGCCTATGATAGTCCCATTACATTTCTAAAAACGTTTTGCCGCGCAGTCGTATTGTATCACCGTGAACCGAACTCTGTAGTGGAGAGATATCGTGTTAGAGCCAATCCATCCTGGGCCAATCGAGATTGAGCTATTTCGTGGTGCGCGTTTATGCTGTTCCCCTGTTGCTGATTCTCGTTCCGCGCACCCGTTTCTGGCCCGAACGTTCCCCGAGTAGTTCCCTCATCGGCGTTGGTTTAATTGTACGGTCGCTGTTAATTATCCTTCCAAAGCATTCGGTAAAATTTCCTTCTTATTCATCGGACGTGATCGAAACTTCTGCATGACGTAGAACGGGTAAAGCATAGTTCGCTTGCGCTCAGACAGCAATCAAATTAATCACTCTACTAGAACCTCCTGATTGCGTTCACACTTCTTCATGCTCTGGAGTTTACAGAGCCCCAGAACGTGAGATCACCACTACAGCAGTCTCAATCAAGTCTCTCACAACGGCCTGGAGTTCCTGGAAGTGAAAAACATATCTTCTGATTCGACCATAAATTTGAGATATGACATAGTGATCACCATTGCTCCCTGTTACCAACATTCCTGTCCGAAGATCTTATAAGCCGATTCAGCCAAAAAAAAAAAAAAAAGGTATGATTCCTAGAATTCCTAGAATTCCTAGCATTACATGTGAATGAGACCAGATGTGATCGAATTATTACAAAGCTGCCATATTCATATCCCTAGGTTCACACAATGCATAGCACTATTCTTCTGTATCTGGATCGTAAGTACTGCATCCCACTACCTCTAACCACTTCACTCGTTCTTCCTCTCTTCTGCATAACAAACTGTTCCCTACTCCCATGCACTTGCCCTCTGCACATCTTCCACTGCCACCGCCAAGGACTTCAAATCCCACATCTACCCCGAGGAAGCTTGTAGGATCCGCTAGGCAACTTTTACCCGTCCCACGCCGGAGAGATGGCAGGAGGGGTGGAAGTGTGGATACATCGGCGGCATAGTTGTACACTCGACTGCGCTGAGCGGCTGAGAGCGTTGGAGCAAAGAGGGCGATAATATGAAGTTGGAGCTCCATAGGCAAGGTTTGGAAGGAAACTGGAGTCGGGCCCCTTGGAGTAGGTTGAGGTGTCTTGGTGCGCAGAAGAAGAGCTCTGGAATACCTTAAGAGACTCAGCGCTTCCTTTTCTGTTTGCCGCTTCCAATGCGTATTCCGTAGGAGCACTCTGCGAAGAGCGACCTCTGTTTCCTTCCACGCAGCGTCGATGCGAGCTGATCTATTTGACATCGGTGTTTCTGGTACGATATCGTTTTCATCGGTTTCCTCAAGTTCTCCAAGTTGGTTCGCATACATCTCCACCTTCGTGAGACCCCAATTTCCCTTCTCAATGGCTTGCACAATCTGCCTCACGCCCTTCAGCCCTAAGCTGTTGCCGTTGCACTTGAAGGTTTCTAGCATACACCTCCGATCTCCCCCTGCCTTCCTTGAGGTGATCCATTCCGCAATGACAGGCGCGCTATCCTGTGTAATTCTCAACGTATTTAGGTGCAATTCTTTTAGATAAGGTGTGTGAAGCAACGGAAGGAACTGTTCAATAAACATGTCCCCTAGATCCTTGTTTCCAGTGAGTGAGAAGAGATTCACTCGAGAATTGTTCAGAGCATTGGCAAGGATGGTAAGAGTCTCCGTGTCGGAAGTCAGTTCATTCTGTTAGCAGTTAGTATATTACTCACACTAAACGCCTAACATGGCAGACTTACGTTCTGCGCCCATATTGTTCTCAAGGCGTCACTACTGCGTATGTATTCCGCAAGATAGCGAAAGCCTTCATTCCCAATGCTATTACTGTTGAGGCTGAGCTCGGATATCGATCTGCGGTGCCTGAGGCCATCTGGAGAGGAAAGAAAAACGAAGAGGTGCGCAATACCGGCATCGCCCAAGCAATTGTGAGAAAGGTTGAGTTTGGTAACAGCCGAACGATGCGCGTTGAGGTCTAATACTAGATCCTGCGCTCCTACGATGTGACTCAGTAAAAACACGCATCTCTAGTGAAAATGAAAAGTTATACCCTGCACACCAATGAGCCCAACGTCAAAACGATCGATATGTGAACGGCTCGATAGCAGAACGTGTTTTGCGGGAGAAAGAGAGGTCATATTCAATGTCTGAGCAGAATTGGGTGGCGGTATAGGGATGGTTGCGTTGACGGGTGTATCCTGATGCAAAGGAGAGACTGGCAGCTGGCCGTTCTGAACTAAAAATGATGGACTGGTTTCTGCGTAAGACTTCGAGTCCAAGCTGGTGGACACCGGTTGGGCAGACGACGAGGGCGTAAATGAATGCAAGCCTGCAGGATCGGACGACAGCCCGGTACCAGTTGAGCAGCTAGATTCTGGTACCAAAGCTTCGGATGAATCCATTCACAACTAGAGATTTGCCAAAGGAAAGATCAATAACAAGACCGTGGCGGGGGCCAAGTTACAGATAGGACTGCTTACTCAAAAGTTGGAGCAAATGTCTCGTGCCCAACGTTGCTTATATACAGCGACCACGCCGTTTCAGACCTTTGATTCAATACAGTGTCAGACTGACAGGTTGTTCAGGGTAAGCAGTCTGGGTGGTGGTGGCAATATGATACGAGGAGTACACAGATACGTATTAGCACAGAATTGCTAAGACGATTTTTGTCACAGTAATCTGATAAGATGCACCCTGACCGGGTTCACCGTATCGTGTGCGTTATGCCGCGGCACCACGCATAATATATATAGCAGCGGCTTGTTTTTTTATGTAATTACATATGTACGTGGGGATGTTATAATAGCCTGAGAGCCGTAAGGACATTGCAGTACAGCACATTTCACATGTCCAATCCAAACATCGACATCGACTCTCTTGCTTCACCCGTACTAGTTACCAGGAGAGTGTCCTAGTGAATGTAGAGTTCCACATCAAAGCCACCCGATACCGTCGACGAACCCAGAAGAGTAACAAAAAATGGGATTGATGAGCGAATTGATTGGCATCTAGAAAGCTATGTACATACCGCGCAACCTGAGCCCAAAGCCGCATTCCCAATCCAACCAGGCTCCCAGTACACGATGCCTATGGCCTTGTCGGGATATAGCAAGTTGATGCCATCTAACACATCGTTGATGTCTTGAACCCAGTATTCCTGTCCTGCAACGCTGACAGGAATAGTCGGTTCGCTCAATGGTGTTGCAGTAGTGTTGCAGACAGCGGGCCAGTCAGTCTCAACAACCATAACGTTCTGCAAAACGTGAGAGAAAGACGAGCATGAGCGGAACCATTTGGGAGTAAAGGGTCATTTATTATCACCATACCTTGCTATAATTTCCTATCACGCTTTCCATCGACGATGTCAAAGCCGTCAAAGTTGCATCAGTGCCATAGAATGGATAGTAAGAAAAGCCCATAGCGTCCACATCAGATTCTTGGAGGCCACCACCGAGGCCCTCTTCACCAGAGCTGACATTGAATATCCCGCCATAGAAGTAGGCGACATCGGCCTCATCCCAACCGTTTGCGAGGTGGATAACAGTTTTGGTAGTGGGAGAGACAGATCGCACAGCGAGGACTCCGGCATGCAAAAGTTCCGAAGCAGGACCAAAGCCGTTTACAGATATTTGCCCAGTTGGCCAGAGGAGGCCGTCGTTGATTTCATTGCCAATCTGAAATGATTCAATGTGAGTCTCCATTGTTCCTCATTTTTCCGCATGAACTATGTGTTCAATGACATCAAGAATCAGAACAACGGTACAACTCCTTGGCGGTAGCATACATGATTCGAGAGTCCAAAAGATTGAATTCAAATAGCTAAAAGAATAATGCAGGATAAGAAGGATAACATACCTGAATGAATTGAATGGGAGTTCCTTGTTCGTTGAATGAAGTGACAAGACCTTTCGTATAGCTTTATAAGCCAACAACAGAAAGACATAAAATAATAAAAAGGATCAGATACACAACAGAACTTATGACGTATGGAGGGCCTCACTTGTAAACTTGCGCTGTCAATCCTTCCAGGTCTGTGGGCCACCCAGAAGGTATTGCCTGATGACCTGCATCCGCCCCTATTTTTACGCGTTAGTGTCGTGTTGTGTCGGTACCACAGCAGCAGCTGTTGACTGGAACAAAATTTGTGGAATCTCACAGGTATCGTCATAATGGAGGTCTATGAGAAGATCCATTCCAGCCGCTTGTGCCCGCTTAGCCAAAGCTAGCCCGTAAGGAAGATCATAGGTACTAGCTGTCCAGATGCGAATACGAGCAAGATTTGTGCCATAGTCCGCGAGTATGGTCTCAAACGGCTGCGGAGGAGAAGATGGAGAACTATAGGTAACGTTGGTGGTTGACTCGAGAAGTAACAGAGAAGAGAAGTCTGCGCCGTGGTAAGGCAAGGCAAAAGCCTGCAGTACAAATCCAAGGCTCCAGATCAACGTTAAGAGAACGGGAGAGAGCATACTGAATGTTAAGTTGCACTATCCAGGAATCTTTGGCACCTATATGTTTGCCTGTCTATGGTGTGACATTTGAAGGATCATTATATTTTCCACAAAGTTTGGAGAAGTTGGAGAGGCAATTCTGGGCTGCGTGTTATTCTTCGCAAGAACCAAATGAAGCGCTGAATATAACCCAGAGAGTCATGCACATGCCGAATAGACATGTGATGCAGTATCTTAGGTGGGCGTGAGGACAACACAAAGGACCACTGCCGCGCGGACCGGGCGAAGTCGGACGACGATGGAACTATACTTTACTGTATGTCGTATCCAGAAAACACCAGGTCGCAGATAAGTATTATCCATAACCCATTATTGGCCTATGATACAGTCAGGTAGCTAACGATACAGTGAAATATCATTATTCAACAACCATAGATTCGTCTTACAACACCCAGCCCATCCTCAAACCAGCCTAAACTTGCGAGGGTCCATTCGCTGAATTATCAATGTCTGGCCGCAGGGTAGCTTGTCGTAGAACTATGGCAGGCGGCCCTTGAGCAGAATTTGCAGGTTGCAGCTCGACCACTGCTTCTGGTTCTTGCCTGGTCTGAGCATTAGATACTGTGCACATCTTCAAAAAACGTGACCACAAGCTTGATCGGAATCCAATCTCAGAACCATTGACCATAGATAAATTGGTCATGGACGGCGATGACGCGTGTTCCGTCTGCTCTACAGCAAGTATTTTCTTCAACCACCACTTTTGTCGTCCATTTTGTTCAGTATTCAAAACGTAAATGCACCCAGACGTGAGTGCAAATACCGCCAGTGAAGCTACTCCTACAATTAGGCTGGGGGCAAGAGCTCTAGGGTAGTAGCACTCTATCAGAAATGCAGCAAGGAAAAGAAGCATCCTGGAATAATGGTCAGGGCCAGACTGTAGTATGCGTGGTCAATCATAACTCACCCCCACATAAGCAAGGCATAGGGAAGACTGTAGATCAGGGCAAGCGCCTCCTGGCCATACTTTTTGTGACCCATGTTGTGCAGAAATTTTGCCTGTGCATGACAGTTTTTGAGATCAGGATGCAGATCAAAACCAGTGAAATCGATAATGTAGAAACTCACGGCTTCCTCGGCAGTCTCGCGCGCTTTTGTACGATTGTGACGAAGGAGTACCAAGCCAAGGATGATACTCCCAGCACTGGCAACAAGCGACAAATAACTAGCAACCTGTGTGGGTGACCTGGTGACATCATTGTTGGTACCGATGTTGCTGCCATTGTCGACGGTTTGGATAGCTAAGAAGCCCACGTTGGCATTGAGCAACACAGTTGCCTACAAGTATCTCACTTAGCCACATAGTAAATGGAAACTCTCATATCTGATCCTTACCAACAAATTCTGCTCTTGCAGCTCACTATTAACTTTATCTACGAACTTGTTCCATGTGAAAGAACTTGCGATGTTGTCTACAAAGATCTTATGAAGCGCTGTTCTGTGGACATCTGGGGTGTAAAAGAACATAGGAGATAAAATGGACATCAAAGTTGACCGGGTAAACTTTTGATCATGGATTGACTGCTCAAAATTAAGCCGAGAACCCTGAAGGCCGTGGAAGTTGATAAACTGGTTTCGTGCTAGATTTATGATGTTAGGAAGATTGCAACATGAACAAGGGGCAAGCAATATGTACCGAACTCATACATCATTCTACCTGTAGACACGTTTTAGAGAGGAATGACCACATTATGTGGATGAACAACATACCAACAATCCATACTGAATGCTCGCATTTTAGAGGGCTGACAGAATGGGCTGGTAGAGATGTGTTAGAAAAGATAGGTACCTCGAGAATTAAACTTACAACTGATTTTAATTTCTCCGACTACGGAGTATAACTTCTCCAGCTGGTCGGCATCATATGGTGCCGCAGACTGGTGTGATGTCAGATGATCTTCACAGGCAACTTTGAGGTTAATAGGGTATAGGCGAAACACATACGACCCACACTACTCACCACACCGAGCCTGCAGCATTAGTTCTTTGAGGTAGTCGAGGATATTTTGTGACAGGTGACATAGGTTTGGAAACAATTCCCAATGCCTCCTAAGCTCTTGTTCAGAGAGCCTTGACAAAGTGCCAGAAGAGTCATCAGCTCACCAGTATTCAGCATGCACAGCAAACCCTGAAATAGGAAGCAATAATGTTAACCTCGAATTTCGACAAAGAAACATCTGGCTCACTTTTATGTGCCATTAATTCAACCCCTCTGCAATTGTGCAGAATTGGTGTCGCATCATAGTCGGTTAGCCAGAAGAGATATTGATTTCGTGGGTCCACAAAGTAATACCGGCCAACAATCTCATAGTTGTCATTCTGTTGCGGCTCAATCACGAGTTCCACTTCTTGAAGATTCAACGGTAGTTTGTGTAGATCTATCAAACGACGGAGCTCGCTCTGCAAATGGTCTGCAAATCCAGAGATATCGGTAAAGATATCAGGAACCCGAATGTCAGCCTCGGTAAAAATTCTCTGGCAAGGTCCTTGAATTCTAATCATCATCTAAAATTGAAGAAAGTGGCGATAGCTTACCCTTTTCTCGTTCAAGAAATAAAATGCGCCTTCTGGATGAAATGGTACAGTCCACCCATTAAGAAGTAGTTCCGAATCACTGAAAGACACATTTATTCGGTGGGCTGGGCATGCTTGGCTAATATAGATGACTCACTCGTGAACAGGATATTCAATAGTAAGCGCAGGTATCATGTGGGAATATTTATCCGTCGGTCTGGCAATTTCCAGAATGAAAGTTATGAGGAAAAGCCACACAAAAACCAAACTTATGTACGTACATGACCTCTTTTTTGTCGTATCTCAGCACCCCAAGGGTCGACATCGGGAAAACCTGAGTATAATCTACGAAAAAGGTCTCTTGTCCGGGTTCATTATTGATCGTTGGCAATGCAGTAATGTGACCTGGTGAAAATGTCAAGGCATGAGAACTACCTGCCGCAAGCTGCGGCATAGAATGTGCAGCGAATGTTGGCCTCATGCCAGAGGATAAGGAGGAAGGAGGCATCGGTCCATTATATTTCCTGTAGGACGCACGTGAGCGGACACTGCTTCTACTCATACGGCTATAGCTTGATGCAGCACTTGTAGGGCGGACGTGAGGGTCAACTACATATCCTTGTGCTTGCTGAGCATGCATCGAGACAGTTACCACTTCTTCGCCTGGTATAGCTAAGTGAGGGACGGACGATACAGGCGAAACAGCCGCAGAAGCCATCTTGACTTCTGGTTGACCCTCATGTAATGGTGGTTCTGTGGCCAAGCCGTGACTGTGCCTCGACACATTCGTCTTTCGTGAAATATCATCGTTCGAATCATCTCCAGGTCCATCTGTCACGCCCGTACTGCGTTCATTAACAGAGTCTTTGGAAGAGGTAGCGACTGGAAATTCGTAAAGCTGAGTGTACTTTCGATTGTGCCTAGTAGAGTGCAGTGTAGGTGGATGGCTGGATGATCTGGCGTCGTCGGCAGCCCCGCTTGTATTGGGCTGTGGAGAGTGGCTAGTAAGAGAGCTGCCCTGTGCCAGTTGATCTGAGGGCTGCAGACTTGGACAGATGGTCCACCGAGGAACACCAGGAGATAAAAATGATACCGAATCCACTGGAGAAGGTATGATTTGGCTAGACTCCTTATCATCATTAGGTCGAGGCGAAATATGGCCTGCGCAGTTGAAACGTCTCCAGAAAAAAACCCATATTCTCGATAGACGATAAATGAAGCGTTGTGGAGACAAACCAATATTAGGCCTTAGCTTCTTCAGCATCAATTTCCATAGGCGAGAAAGTACTGCAAGTGTCGCATTGATACGCATAGATACGAGCTGGGTCAGACCAGTGGATGGAGGAAGCGTAAAACTTGCAGGCACAGGTTACTTGCTGTATTGCGAAGCCTCGTTGGCTGTTTATGGAAAACAATATAAGTACATCCCTTGATGTAGAGATAGCCGCAGCTGCAGAGCGCTAACTTGAACTTCGACTTGAATCCCGTGGCCACATCCATGTGCACTTATTCCATAACTGTATCGTAAAGCGGTGACCACGAGACCAAATTCTTGAAAGAGTGCCAGTGTTCGTGAGCTTGGGCTCAATGGTGCGGAGCCAATGTTTGGATATTGGAAGAGGGAGAAAAGAGTATTCCGTCGAAGCTTTGTTGATGAATGCAGAACATTGCGGAAGCTTAGCATGATAGGCGGTTGTCGCAGTGAGCTCAGTGTGACAGCAGTAATGACTCCGCCAAGCCGCGCAGTTGCACAACGGCATGAACCTGTCAGTCTTGGTAGGTATAATGCAGACTGCAGGCTAAAGTACATATAGTCTGGTTTTATTTCATTCATTACTTTCGGTAAAGGGATTATACTAATATTCTTGGATAGAGAAATCAGTGAACATGTGTCTTGAGAGTGTTGTACTGCGCAGAGTTGTGACAAGAATGTTAATGCTTGCTTGACCGCCCTTCAATCAACCGTCTGAGCGTTCAAGTACTTGTGCTTCCGTGGATTTTAAATCAAATTTTCCACAGGCTCGTCGTATTCATCGTCCTTCGAAAGAAATATCAGCTATGCCATATATATGGGACACATCAACACCACTACAACATACCAATGGAAAGTCAACAGCGACCTTGTAGGGAAAACAGAGCAAAAAGATCAACTATTGACGGACTTAAACTGGTAAATAGTGCTTACTTGTATATCTTGGCCCCCCTGATCCTGATCTTCATCTTCATCCTGAAAACACAAATATCAGCTCTCGACGGTCTTCAGTTGAATCAATTCTACTTGCAAGGATATTCTGCTCCCTCTGCTCCTGATCCTGATCCTGAATATAAGAAGGGTCAGCTGAAGGAGGTTTAATTTGAATATATGTTTTCCTTACCTGAATATTCTGCCCCCCTTGATCCTGGCCTCGACTCCGATACTGGCCCTCATCTTGGCCCTCATCTTGACTCTCATCTGAATCAGAGTCAGAGTCATTGCGGCTCGGATGACGGGTATTTGAGCTAGCTCTATTGATATATCCTCGTGACTTCGAGGCAGCGTGTCGATCAGCAGTCATGTCCTTCATATTTGAACTGCCACACTGTGATGAGTGATGCTACACGAGGAGAAAAGAGGTTACCTCACTCCAGTTCCATCAAGAGCTTTCTTAACGATTGGTGAGGGTGTTTCTCTAGTTATTGTCATCATTGTGAGTCGCTATTTTGAGATACCTTTGCTCATCGTACTCACGCATAGCCTTCACAAAAAACTGGAGACTGTTGCATTACCAATTACAGTAGACCACAGCTGTAATTTGGCGGACTTACTTCAGTAAACGACCCTTTGGGACCCTCCCAAGCGCTCTGGTCGTCTCTGCAGGCGGAGATTGAGATCTGCAGACAAATCACTATCAGTGATATTACAACGGGGTCTGGGACACGTACTACGGAGGCTCTACGCAAGAACGTAGGCTGGTAGCTTTTACTTGGGCTACCAACAACCGATTCTTCCCTAGGAGATAGATGTTCTTGCACAGAAGAGTCCTGTGATCTGGGCTGGCCATTAAGAAATTCCGCTTGGGAGATAACTGAATAGTAGGCCGTTAGGATTTTGCAAAGGAGAGAGTTGACAGCAAGTACTTACGGGCTTCGTGTGAGTAGCCATGTGGCGCCTCAGACTTGATACGATGCTCTGCATCTTCAAGCATAAATTTAGGCACTGTGGCAACTTGAGGCTCGTTGAATGCAAGGTCTATGTTAATATAATATGAGCGCTATCCAAAGAGTTTAAATATGCTCAGAAATCACCAAGCATTGTCCCTGAATGACATGTATCCCAGAGCACCTATCAAGATATGTCGTCAACGAATGGATATGTTTTTACGGGGGTTACTAAATACCATAAGGTGACTACCGATCGGACGAGGTCCAGCCAGTGTTCTTTTCAGTTCCTGTAGAGTATACCAATCAGACAGGTAGAGGGGTGGATGATTGATAACAATCACGTTGTCCAGAATTATCTCGTTATCACATCCAACAATTGCTACGAATAGTTAAACATAGCCTGCCTAGTTAGAGCACTGTTAGAAATGCTAACCTTCATCTTTTCCGTCTGCTTCTTGCTTATCGTCTACGGCATCCCGTTGCTCACCGTGGCCAGAATCTTAGATATAGACTCAACGCTGAGTATAAAGGCTGCATCATGAACATGAAGGGTTGATACCCACAAGAAAAGAATAGATAATCTCCCTCCCTGGTTCCTTCTACTAGGCGCGCGATCTCGCGCCGCTTCGTAAAGCAAAAGGTTTTCAGTATCGATCAAGAGAACCAGAAGGAGCGTATTTACAATGTTGGCCTGAGTTGGCATGAGGTCATCGGTAAAGGAACTTTTATCGCACATCATGACGATATTTTCCTCGAGAAAGCCAAGCGTTGCTAATGTCCTTTTAGAAAATAGTTGAAAAGAGGAGTGATTAAATATACCGATTAGCAGCTTCTTAACATGTCTAGCGTTCTTGTGAGCCTCATGGAGAATTTCGCCAGGCTCTCGGCCGACTGGCTTCTCCTTATATTTTCTGTTGAGTTCCTTGTAACTGATACCAATAAGAAGAGCCTTTTTCTTCGGTGTCATTTCAAGCGTGATACTCATAGCTGAGCAGATCAAGGAAGGTAATCAGGGGTAAGTTGAAGAACAAGTTGCAAAGTGCCATCGGTTATATAACTGCAAAGGCTGTGTCAGATTGTCAACGTCAGGAATTGATAACGTAGGGCCAATAGAAAGGCACGGACCTTCAGTGCTATGCAGGCGCCATGAAGCCCACAACAGTGATCATCGAGATGGCATCGACGAAGCGTACGTATCGAAGACTGGCATAAGGGTGATTTGGACACGAGAGCATAGGTCGAGCGCTCGGGAGAAGCACGAAATTCACGCGCAAGGGTGCTGTGGGTAAACACGGTTATGGTGATTCGACGAAAACTGTTCTGTTCTCTACATCAGAGCTATATACACCTTCACATAGGAAAAGCGCGTGAAGTTACCTTCGCGCTAAGATCCTATAATAAACTGACAGACGTATAAATGATAGCGGTACCTGGATTTTCCGGGCGCTCGTCAGCAATTGAAACGACCCCTTAAAGAGATACAACATACGTACAGTCGAGCCGCCTTAGCAGCCAAGAGATGGAGAATCCCTTCCCTTACTTTGTCCCGAAGATGTACGGACGGAACGAAATCCCTAGCAGATAATCTTCACACGCAACCTACAGTCCATAGACTAGCCAAATCTGCGTTCGCATAGAACCACACTGTACGGCTCAACGAATTCTATGATTTCACCAGCCTGTGCGAACTTCAGACAACCTCGTTGCTCTCGATATACGCCTTGAGACCACCCGATAAGCACCCCACTTACTCTTCCTGCCGAGAACAATGTGTCAAAGAAGCGCCGGAGCTTATGAGATGATACGCACGTTTCCACTATATTATCTTCCAGTTGTACCCAGTGTGGTGCAAGAACTCTATCCTTATGGATAGTGAACACGGCTGCGGAGAAGCACTGTCGACCACTTTAGCATTGATTGGTAGATTTATTTTTACCAACTGGTACATATGTGTTTGACACGTTTAACCATAAAATCCATAAGGAAAGCTTTTCTATTCGGCCTCCTTTCAACGTCAGAACAGGTGGACTTAAAACTGGATTTATCGATGGAGCGACGTACAGAAAGCTGGACTGCCGCGGCAGGATAAGTTCACCCTTCACATTTTCTTGTAAGAATATCAGCCGAGCGTTGGAGGCGAACACCAGATCTGTATAGTAAGAGAGCACATACAAAAAAGGAATCCTCGTTAGGAGGTAATGAGAAGCCGAAGAATCTTATTTCTACCAGGGTCGCACATATACAACTTCATACCCGCGGCTTCAAGCATTTGATTAACATAGACGCACATGTAGACGCACAAGTGATGACGGTATCTGATCAGAACTTCCCAGCGCTCGTCAACAAATCAAAGAAACCATTTTCCTTAATAAAAAAAGATAGTACAGCACACGTAGATTTGGAGTACGCAGTCACCAAATAAGCAAACAGTGTAGTATTCGATTCCAGCTGGGAGAGATAGCCCATGGAACAATGAACCCAATAATTATAACTCGTCACGAGTTGATCTGTAGTAAGGTCTGTATCAGAAATGCCATGGTCTGAGGGGTATAGATTCTGAACAGCCAAGTGTCTCCCCACTGGCAAGCCGGATATCGAGGAGGATAATTGCTAGAGGCGAGTGAAAAGAGATCTCGCTTGGGTCGGCCCGAAAGATGGCAGCCAATCCACTGATGCCCGTTGAAGTCTTTTACAAAATGTATTGAGGTCACAGGCCCTTAAGTTTTGCAAATAGCCCTCTCCCTGAGCAATATAACAGCCTGCACACATCTACTCGTCATTCATTGACTAAGATATTCATCTATATTCTTGTTCAATATTGAGTCCTTGGGGGAAAGTATATGCTGAGTCAACTCGTTAAGATGATCGTAAAGACATACCATTGGGTCATAACTCGAGATCTTTAGAATGAACCAAAAAAACAGTCAGCTTATGGTCTCTACAACAAACAAATATGTATCCCACCTCAACATCCTGCTCATCTGAGTCAGTGTCGGAGCGAGAGCTTAAATGGCAAGTGCATGGGCCAGCTTTGCCAGTGTCGTAATTTCCTCGAGCCTCCCGGTGTCGGTCCTCCGACAATTTATGCACATCTTTACTAATACATGTTCTCATGGTTGAATGATGCTGTATACGGGGGAGAGATTCCTTACTTTACTTCTGCTACTAGTTCTTTGAATGTTAAATGAGCTTTTGATTCTGCATCATAATTGTTAGCCACTGTCTTGATATATGTTAGCCAAGTACATTCACTTATTGCATTTATGAAAAACTGGAGATCGTTGCATCAGCATTGGCAACCACAACTGGACCTTGCCAGACTTACTTCAGTCAACGAGTCCCCATTTGGATACTCAAACGCACTCTGACTATCTGTACAGGCCGAAATTGAAATCTACAAATAACCATGAGGAAAATAGTGCAGCAAGGTTCAGAACACACATACCACAGAGGCTCTACTCAAGAACATAGACTTGCGGCAATTTCCTGCACAGCCCCAAACCGCTGTGTAGTTTGAACTGGGTTCCCGGGAAAAAGGTAATGAAGTAGAAGTAGATGGTGATTCGGCCACAGGAGAGAGACATTCTTGAGCAGAAAAGTTGCGCTTCTCTGATTCTCCTTTTGGTTTGTAAGAAGCCGATAGTGTCGAGCAGTGGCGTAATTCAGGAGATTGCCCATATGGAACACTAAGAGACATAGCTCGGGAGATAACTGAAATGGTAAGTCATTAGAACACGGAAGGAGAATGATAGGAAGTAAACACGTATACAGGTTTGGCGCACGTATCCAGAAGCCACCGTGGAGGTAGAGAGATGATGAGATACCACATGCTCGATCATAAACGTGGGCACTTTAGCAATCTTTGTATAAGGAAGATCTGCACCACCACGTGAGCATGAGCAGGAGACCAAAAATGCTAAAGAAATTTACCAAGCATGGTCCCCGAGTGACAAGTATCCCAGATGACCTGTCGAGAAAATGTTGTCAATGAATAGTCGCAAATGTTACAAAAACTTTCTAATTACCATTAAATGACTGCGGAAGGGAAGTGCATCTGGAAGCATCTTCTTCAAATCCTGTGAAGCACATTGAAGTCAGGTAGGCCGAAAGCATACATTGGTGACAACAAATTACATTGTCAAGGATTATTTCGCCATCAGACCCAACGATTGCTATGAAAGCAGCCATATTCAAACTACGCAAAATGACGTTATTGAGAGCACTGACCTTCATCCAACCCGTCTTCCTCGTGCCCGTCTGGTATGGCAGTCCGTTGCTCACCATGTCCAGAATCTGAAACGCACAATCACTGTTGAACAAAAGCCCACATCATGAAAGAATGCCCGATACGCACAAGATAAAAAGAACTGATCTCCCGCCCTGGCTCCATCTACCAAGTTCTGAATTTCACGTTGCTTTCCCGAAAAGAAAAATCAGTATCAACTGCGAGAAACAAAAACATTATCCTACTATGTTGGCTTGAGTTGGTACTATCTTGTCATCGTCATGGCGCGGCTTATCGAGCATGACAACGATGTCTTGTTTAAGAAAGTGGAACGTCTCTGTTATCACCTCAGCATAGTTAAATGACAAAGTTGGTGGAATAAATTTACCAATAAGCAATCGTTTTATATGTCTAGCATTGTTATGAGATCCTTTAAGAATCTGAGTAGGCTCTTGGCTAGGTCGTTTCTCGCGATCCAATTTGTGCAGTGCCTTGTAGTTGATACCGATAACAAGTGCCTTTTTCTTTGGTTTCCTTTCTGTGCCAGGATGCGTTATAGCCATGTGTTGCAAAGATCAGAGGCGATAATCGAGTTGATAGTTAAAGAACGAGCTGATCTTGACTATTTATTATTACAGAGGCAGTGTCAGCACTGCTAGCATATTGACTCTGACTCGGATAACGCGGGAAATATAGAAAGGTGAGGACCTTCGATGCTAGGAAGGCATCATGGAACCACAGCAATGAGGATCAATGCGATACAGTGTCGTGTTGCAGGGAGCGCCATTCACTATGTTAATCGATAAAACGCGTGTATCGGAGCTGAACTGCAGGGCGCTTGTACCCATTTGTACACGAGGGTACATTGCTTGAGGGAAGCACGAGATCTATGTAGAAGAGCACAGGTGAGAATTCAAGCACAGAATACGCGTGAGTAAACGAGGCGATGGCGATTTCGGAGGCTGTTACCTTTAGAGCCTCGGGAAATTCACATGAAAAGAACACAAGAAGGAAGTTTCACGCTATTCCATCTATGATAATTTGAGATATAGATGCACAAGTGATATTGATACCTGATATTTCCGAGCGCTCATCTAGAAGACGCCTTGAAAATAGATACAGCAGACGTACATTCCAGCAGATTATGCGGCCATTGAACAAGGAAAAAGTTCCCCCGTTCCGAAGACGCGCAAAAGATACAACACCCCTAGCCAATGAGCTCCACACTCAACCTGACGTGGGCTCTACTGCAGTCCATACACTAGCCCAATCTGATCCCGCATGAAGTCACATTGTTCTTCCCTGTACGGCTCGATAGTTTCCGTGATCCCACCAGCTTCTGTGAAATTCAATACAACCTCGTTGCTTCCGATGTAAGAAGGCCATTCGACAAGCGCCCCTTCGTAATTTGGAGTCCCACTCCAAGCCAAAGACGTCCACCTATCAATGACTTCCCGCGTCATCGCCACCTGAGCTTCTGAAAGTGGTTGGTACAGATTATCGGTTTCAGCCGTCGCAAATACCCAATACAACTCATCCGCATGGCACACCTGGCCTGGGCAGGTTGCAGGGTTCGGAGTCATGGGGGAACCAAGTCCAACACCATGTACAATCTTGTAAGAGTTGCCTGGGTTGGTAGTATTCGTCTCGAGCTGGGAAAGATAGCCCATGGAACAATGAACCCAATAATCCGTCATGAGCTGACCTAAAGTAAGGACTGCACCAGAAATGCCATGGTCTGATGGTTCAGTCTGATAGGGGTATAAATTTTGAACAGCCAAGATTTTCTGTGCCTGCGTTGCATTGAAAAAAAGAGGCAGTGACTCTGGGAATATTGATGGGGGAGAATCCGGCGCAATGCTTGTTGGTAGGAAATAACAGTATTCGCATTGATTACTGGACCAAATAGTTGGGACGCGTGCATACATGCCATCTTTGATGCTGGAAGCAATGTCGGTAAGAACGAGATCTCCATCAACAACGATATCCCAAGATAGGCCATAATTGTAGGATGCGAGTACGATGTCGGTAACAGGGAGACTTTTCACGCATAAAGCCATTGTTTCGTCAAAAACGGTGGATGAATTTGACGCACAGCCCACGTCTTTTGCGAGCGTCAATGATGTATTTAGTGATTCAGTGGGAGAAAAATACGGGGAGCTGTCACTGAAATCGGATTCGAGTACAGCAGCGCCTGAAAGTTGATCAATAACGGCACGTCTCGTAAAGATATGACTGACTGAAAAGGCCATCTGTATAAGCCGGATTTGTTCCTAACAGATATCTGGTCATTGTGCCACCCGCGGACTCGCCGTAAATGAGGACCTTCGTTTTCTGCCACGACCAGCATGTCAACTAAGCGAGCTGGAGCTTATCCGGTAGTACGTACGTCTCCACCAAAAGCTTCAATGTTATCTTGTACCCAGTGCAATGCAAGAATGCTATCCTTTAAGGCAACATTGGAAGCATTGAACCAACCCATAGCATTCAATCGGTAATTGATGGAAACGAGAACAACGCCACCATACGATACCACATTGGTACCATCGTATACATTAGATATCGAGTTCCCGACGTAACCATCAGTGGTCATATTGAAAGGGAATGGTCCGCTATCACCAGTGTTGAGAGCGCCCCCGTGTACTATAGATGTCAAGTGTGTTCAACGTGTGACAAATGACACATCCAAAACGTATCAACTCACTGAAGAACATAACGGGTAACTTGGGTGCGGTATTGACGTCTTTTCCTGTGTTCACAACAGGAGAGTAAACGTTCAAAGAAAGACAGTCTTCTCCGCTGTATACCAAATGTCCATTGTCTGGATCCGGCGGCTTGTAACCCATATTCAAAAAATAGTCAGATCATGGTCAACGGTTTGTCCAAAAGAGTATCACCTGGGCACATTGTGGACCATATTCGAGCGCTGATCTGAGGGTGTTGGGTGTCACTGTGATCGGGACTGGAGGTTGAAACCTGGCCTCCCCTGCCGTGGATTCAGCATACTTGATCCCCAAAAATCGCCAAGTAAACTTGTCTCTGTATCCACGAAGGATGCCAGCGGAAGTAGTCGACACATCAATCTGGCGCGATGTATCATGATAAGTCACGTTCGATCGCGTGAGGGGAGCAGAGTTTGTACAAAGCACAGGTAAACGACTTCCTATGTCGATTGAATCATCCGCAAAGATGGAGTAAGAGGAGTTTGGAACAAAAACGGAACATCCAGCTAATAGCTCTGAGTTAGTGTAGTCACTTGCCACGAAAAAGTCCCTAAATCACCTGATTGTCCACCGATCCAGATATTTTGGGAGGAATCAAGAGCAGCACCGTGTTTTTCAGATGTGAGTACTGTAGAGAGGTTGGCTGCAGTCAAACCAGTGTCACCAGGAGGCGGTAACAAGGATTCCTGGAGTTGAGTGCAAGCTTCTGCTGCCTCTGCGCAAGTAAGTGCGCTCTTTAGAAGGAGCGCGCCAGCACGGTTCGGATTCGATGGATTCAAATCATTGTTTGACACAATCACAACATCTGTAAGAGGTTGACCTGTGTCATAAGCGCGAGAAAAGGACGTGAGATATCCAGCATAAACGAAAAATCGCACAAGATGAGCTGCATACATCTTCGATCTCCACGACAAAAAGACTGTGGGGCACTCCTTAAATGTGTTCTCTGAAAATCAGCCTCTGGTGACACGAACACATATCCTCCTGCAATGGTTCAAGCAGCTGACTTCTCGGAACACCGTACAACGAGTTGGGAAGATGAAAAGCGAGTCAACAGGTGTATGTCATATGGCCTATATTCCTGTAAGGCGGTGCTTGGTGTTTTTATCCTTTGAAGTTCGTGTCCTCCTGATCATGTCAGGTGTGCTAAAAGCTTCCTAGTCATAACGTTAGAGCATCAAGTTCGAAGCAAAGAGGTCAAAGCCGCTGCAAAGAGAACGGATTCCCAGTCCCGATTCCGACTGAACTTCCAGATGCAAATGCACCGCGAAATTTCTCATAGCTGAATTGCCTGAAATTTAAATGTTACTAGTAGATACCAAGTACAATACACAGCTCATTTAAGATTATAATGTCCCAATCAGTAGTCAAGAAAGAAAACAAGATATCTCAAGCATCAAGCCAAGCGTAGTAAAAAAAAAAAAAAGCACTGCAACAGAATGTTAATACCTTTCCAAGGTCCCGCTAAGCTCACAATGACAGTCTTCACAGTGCAGGCTCGTACACAACGCATCCAACCTGCGTTAACCAAATGTCTCGCATCTCTCTCTGCCATCGTCGTAGCGTCGCACACTCACGCCGCGCCGGTCCTCTGCATGCACACTCCCACGATGCGCAAGGTCTCCACGTACCTTCCAGAACGACCACACTACCTTCGTCAACAGCATCGCGGGCCTGTATAATCGCCACATGTGTCTGCGGACTGCGCGTAAAGCCATAACGCGCCAAACTCGAAAGACGCGTCGAGAATCCTACTTTCGCACCAGTCAAGTCTAACCGAGGGAGTGTCCTGTAATCTGCGGCATATTCACATATTCTTGCACGCTGTCTAGATGAGAGTGTTGGCGCTAGTAGTGACATGATCACAGATTGAAGTTCTGGTGGTAGATCAAAAAAGGGGGATAACGGTTTGGAACGTCGTTTGAAGGTCCCAGAAATGACTCCCGATGGCATACTGTGAGAGCCAGAGCGAAGGAAAAGAGCTCGAGCAGAACAAAGCAGCATTAGTGCCTCTGCTCTTATTTTTTTCTTCATCTGCGAGTTCCTACGGCATACGCTATCGAGCGTTCCTTGCCAAGCTTGCATCCGCTCTTCGCCATCATGATCAGTATCAATATGAAGGTCATCGAGGGTGACCTTCCACAAGCTATAGTTGTGCTCCTCGATTGCACTCACGATATCCCGCGCACCCGGAAGAGTGAGACTATTCGCATTACACTGCAACCCTTCCAGTCTGCACACGGCAGAACTCACATATTTGATGATAACAGGAACTGACATGCGAGTCATTCCTATGGCCGACATATTCAATTGACGCAGATAAGGCGTGGTTAGCTGCGGAAGAAAGAGGGAAACGAAGTCATCTGAGAGTTCTCCGTTGTGAATGAGGTGAAGAGTGCAGAGACGTGAAGTGTTAAGAGCAGCGGCAAAAGCGATGACAGTATCTGGATCTGTTGCAAGGGGATTCTGCACAACCCCGTAATAAATAAGAGCAGCGCCAGTGGTAAGACATACGCGGATAGATACGCACCCCTGACAAGCACAATTCTCTCAGAACCTCATTTCCACTGAGATAAGCGGAAAGCGCCTGTAAGCCCTTTGCCCCGATCTCATTTGATGTCAAGTACAGTTCTGTGATGCTATTCCGGTATTTCTGGCCAGCAGGTGAAGTAAGGAACCGAAAGAGATGCACGCATCCATTGTCACCGAGACAGCTGTTACCCGCATCCAGTCTGTGGACATGGTCGCGATGCTGGAGCGAGTATGTGATGGTGGTTGCGGCTACATTAAGTCAGCAGGATCACATCGAGGGAAGCGCACAGGCTCACATATGGTAGACGCGAGACGCGCGCTGAAGTTGCGAACTTTGGGGTGAGGAGAACACCGTATTGTCGCGCGGTCGCCCCCATAAGGGCGACGGTTGCTGGTTGACGATGTGAATCTGATTTGCATCAGCCTGGCCATTATGAGGTGAGGGTGAAGGGAGGCAACAGGCGCATACTCCACGCCTCACTGGTTGTTTTATACACCGGGGACAGTCACCGTCAGGACCAGTGTACTAACCGTGACCCAAACACATATCGGTCACACGTCACAAGCTAGGGTCATGACGTTTGCAGGAAAATCTCTACAACCACCACGTCGAATACTGTCGTTGTACAACTCTGTGACACTCAATAATATTACAGTGTAATGAAATTCTACCCCTGGGAATAAACATATTGATCTACTTCCTTTCAGGTCACCCTAACCTATCGCTTTCCAGGAAAATCATGCATGACGCCCCGCACCTCTGAGGACTTGTAGTGCGCATCACTTTTACCCCCCTGTACATTCGAAGGTGTATCCTCCGTACTCCCTGTGACACGTCCATCATTAGCTATTGTGTTGGTGCTTCAGCAAATCATTGACGCACTGTACACCGAATCTGGCCCTTCATTTCGCTTCGAGTTCTTCCCTGCATAGTACATGGAACCAAGGGCAATTGTAATAGCCCCAACACATGTGATAGCCTGTCAAGGGAAAGAGGTGAGTGAGCGGTTATCAAATGCATTATTTCTCATATATCAACGGACCAACGAACGACTATGTGGGCTTGAGCTCATCGTGCACGTCGTAGATCTGTTAGGCTTATTTTTACTAATAAGACGGGTGAGTGGAAAACTCGATGGAAAAATAAATGAGATTATGACCGCTGTCTACATCATACACTGACTGCGCCGTATTTTCAAAGTGACATCATCGTGATGTCATGCTTGTATCTAACCACACTACCAGATACCCGGAGCACTCTTCTATGAATATAAGCGTAAACTCATCCTCGCAAGCCTCCAGATTGTGCAGGAAGCTTCGTTGGCTGATCCGCGCCTTTTCTGTCTTTTCCTGTTGACGCGAAAGGGGCACATTAGCGATGAAGAAACAGAATGTACGGCAAAACATACGATGAGGTCCTACCGGTCCATATTCTTGATTTGCCGCTTTCGTCTTGTTGCTATTCATAAAATACAGCAGTACCGCCGTGACTGTCATACCTGCCATAACACTGCTCGCCTATTGCAAAGGGCTATGAACAAGATGCCAAATCATAAATGCAAGATACGTACAAATCTTTTGTTGTGTACATTTTTTGTGATGGGATCTGACATAGTGGCAATAATTTGTAGGCAGGAAGTAGTGGCTAAACTCTTGAAGTATCTTGTTGAGCAGCCACTTATAAAGCTGCGATCGCAGAGGATAGATTCAGTGATGTCACAGAAATGTCATAATATTCCCGAGCGATCGACGCCGATCAACAAAATGACGCACCAAAATGGGAACTTCTTAGGGAAACCTCACAGAACACACATTCATGTTTACTGCGATAGCTACACGGATTCGTAATTTCGTTGGTAGCGAGGAGACTAATATCTCGGAGACGACTTCAGCGGTTTCACAAAGCGTTGTGGTTGAATTCAATGATACAGTGACTGAGGAATGTATTATACAGATTCTCATAAGCGATTTTATCCTGCACTATACCTGAAAGCGACGATAACAACATTGTTTTAATTTCCTTCTAGCCCACCTCCAAAAAAACATAGCGCAATGAACTAGAAGAATTTTTGAGACTGCCCAAGATTTCGCCCCTATCAAGGTGCGATGCGCGCTGAGGTTTCCTCCCCCTCTTCAGGCCAGAATGCTTCCTCCAACTCCACAACGCGAGCCCATATTTCCTCTGCCCGTGCCCAAGCCTCGTTTCTTGAATCCCCCGATAGACCAACGAAACATGCATCCATGACCTTTGCAAGCTCGTCTACAAAGTCGACAAAGTCAGGCGTCGTCCAGTTGTTGGTCAGTGCCCTTATAGCACCCGCTGTTTGTCCATCAGTCGTTTCAGACGTTGAGCTCAAAGAAAGCTGCGATTTAACATAACGCCATGCATCTAGATATGCCTGTTGTGTATATCAGTCATGGATTTACCGCGATATCGTTCGGATCTGATGACTCACCCTTTCCATTGCCCACAGAAATACTAAGCCGTCTTCGAGTGAGCCAAGGGAGGCAACGCGAGCCATCTCAGCCGTGTAATCCCTAGTCGCCTTACGCTCCACCCAGACTCGCCCTTCACCTCCCACTGTTCCTATCTCAAGGTTCCATTGCTTAGCAATGTCATCGAAGAAGCCAACTTCGCGCACAACATTTTCGAGCGATGCGACGAGGAGCTTGAGGATATGACGATTTTGTCCTTCTATTTTGTCTCCAGCGCCTACATGGGCGGCAGAATCAAAGGGTATTTTTGCGATTAGGAGGCCAATGAATCGCGGGTAGGCGTGTGCAGCGTAAATCCTGTCCTGAGCAAGCCAGAGGGCCAATCTGGAGCGAGGAAGAGAAAGATCACCTGCAGCCGTGAGGAATGCATGTTCTGTGGCTGCAGAATAAGGGCGGGGTGTAGACAGCGAAGAAAGGTGGGATGCAAGGGATGTAGAGGTAGACATGGAAGTAATGGTATAAGATGCAGTTATGAAGTCATGTCTTGTATAGCGCTAATCTTATCTTATCTTCAAGCCCCTATTCTCGGAACTTGCCGGGACACTCGTTTTCCCAACCGCGATCAAGACAGTGGCATAAAACATTTATTTTTCTTCCTCGTTGCAGTGTTTGTTATTTTCGAGTTGAATGTTCGTTGAACACGGTGCAAATACAGACAGACGTTCACAGCTATTTTCACGTGGCCCATATAGAATCTCACGAAGGCACTGCTTTTGAAATAAACAGCTCGCACACAAGTATACCCCCTCGTATACTCACACAGGTATACAGCAACGCCTCGGGTACCTTGCTGTGGATGTTTTTGGGATTCTCCACGACCCACGACAACACCATGTATGCTAGCCGAATCATATCGCACTCATTCAAATTCCTAAATTAGTGGTATGGGTATTTTCACTTGATGAAAAGTGGTGACTTCGGGATAGCATGATGTTCCACACTTCACTAACTTCACTTCTCAGAGGAACCGCTACGACTGCTCGCCGAAAAAAGCTTTACTCGTTCGAGGAGCTTCAATTCGGGCAGTTCGAGCTCCATGCGAATTCGGGATTTGGTACCACTTCCACCTGGCTTGGAGGTCGCAGGTCAATGTGCGACCAAATCTTCCTCCCATACCGCAGTCTGTCTTATTTGTGTACAACCATCGCGTCCTATCAAGACTTGGATCATCGCTGGGCATGCCACGCAATTAAATCAAAGGAACAAAGCGCTATGTTTTCCATCCTGCTAATCGTGCACTCCTTTATCATACAATCCGAGTCGGGTGTACCATTAAACCCACATTATACTCGACTTTTAACCCTTTCTATCATCCGGGTATCGAAACGTACGGAGAACACTTGTGCCGTGATAGATCTGTTAGATTCTGGTATTCACTCCATCCGAGAACTCCTATCAAAGTCACGGACCCCTGCCTTTTCCTGTCTTGCTCAGTATCACACGTGCATACACACAAGTTAGCGCACGAGTTTATATCATCGATGCATCATGGGCAAGACATGTGCATATAGATCAGTCGAAACATATTCGCTCTCTCCCTTATCGAGTATCCTGTCAAGGTATTGATACAAACTCGTGAACTATATCAAAGTTCGACTTCGAAGGCAAGATATGTTTGTATTTTAAATAAGATAGGCCTGTCGCAACTACAAACATAAATCTACAGACCGAGAGGTACTGCTCAATATAATACGATATGCACTGCATATTGGATAGTGTGTCAATGAAATACAACTGTAATAATAATATCGGTACAGTCCTGTTGCTGATATACAATTGCAAGTGCCCAACTTATCTATCTTCACACAAAGGAATCACACAAAGGAATCTCCGTCGTGCCTATACAGCATTCTACAAAGTCTGCCTCAAGCTCTGATTCGGATGATGAAGGCCGTTGGGTGGGCATCGAGGGCATGGCTATGGATACTGCGACCTGCATCCATGGATCTGACATAGTTGGCTTGGGTGGTGATTCCTCTCGCTCCTCTTGAGAGGGCTCTTGTACACGTGTAGTATGAAGGTATCTCTGGAGAGTCGCGAAGTTGTAACGCCTACGTGGCTCGCTGTGGTCGTTGGTATCTTTTGGTTCTATTGAATTTGAAGACAAAGAATAGTGCAACGTAGCGGATATAGGCTTGCAACGGCACAAATGTGAATAAAAGAGAACGAAAGGTGGTAGTTGGCGTGTTAGTACTTGGCTCCTTGTGGACGTAAGGAAACAATTACCATGACATTGTCCCAATCCAACCCTGAATCGTCCAACTCGCCTTTCACCGCTCTTCGTGTCCACAACTCCCACAGCTCTGGTTTATCGCCCAGCACCACCTCCTTTCGCCTCCGCGCAGGCCTGACCTGGCGCACCACAAGACCTCGACCTCCATTAACCCTCCTCCACCCAAAGACCGCTATCAGCGCAACAGTGAACAACCCAATGGCCAGAAAAGCAATGATGAGAGGGGGCGACCCGTTGCTCGCGAAGAGTTGGAAGTTGTTTCCGTCGGTGTCGGAAGAGCTGGGAGTCGGCGAGCTCGACGGGGAACTGGAGCTGCTTGCTTGACTGGTTGAGGCCATGATGCTGGCTCCCTTCACATGTTACACACCCTTGGCGCGTAGGTGCAACAGATTGGCAACGCGAGGCGGGCTAAGCAAACTAAGGGTCGTCCCAGTTATATAAGCAGTAGTAGAGTCCTTGGACATGGTACGACCTCCGAGCCAGCCATGTTCTCTCACAAATATGCAAGGATCCTGAGAACAACTTGAATGAAGGAGCAAGGGAAAAGCTTCCGGGAGAACTGACTCCCTATTTAGCCGGGCGTAGCTTACAGATCTGGTACTAACCTGAGCATGACCCTTGTGGATATCAGACATGGATAAACGCACTTAGTATCATGTGGAGAATGTAAGGGTAGAAACCCCGACTCTCGTACTTCTGACATTGAATGGAAGGGAGTAGATACACAAGATAACAATGTAACAACGTTGATATGACGCATATTGTATCGGCAAAACTTCACATAGGGAAAGCCCACGGATATATCCATCTGATAAGAGCCACAATAAAAGCTAGGTTTGTCTACGTTTGATTCCCACCCGGCACTCTTGTGGCTTTCTCAGGAATCCCTCCCGAGTATCAAACTAATGACAGATGTGAGGAAATAAAGATATTCGTGGACAGTGTGTGCACATACCGGTTTTTCGGGATCAGCAAGTACGAAATGGTAGCGACGAAGGATGGAAGAAATGATAATCAATAACTCCATAGAGGCAAGGTTGCGACCAACGCACGCTCTATGAATGGTGGGATCAGCATGAAGAAGTAATGTTGGCTGCTCAACCAGTACCTTGGCCCAAATGAGAATGGGTTGAACGTCTTCTGGATTGCAGCGTGATCACATTCGAACCACCTCTCAGGCCTGAATTGATCAGGATCCGCACCCCAAACAGTGGTGTCCCGGTGAATCGTGTAGCTTGGGACGCTGAGAACCGCGCCCTGGGGGAAATGTTGACCCTGAACGATTAATCCACCTTCTGGAACGATGCGGGGGAGACCTATGGACGATGTGGAATGAACACGCAAAGCCTCGTTGATGACAGCTTCCAGGTAAGGAAGCCGCTTGACTTGTTCGAATGTTGAAACTGGATGATCGTCGTCGCCTAATGCTTCGTCTAATTCCTTTTGCAGTTTCTCTTGCGCATCAGGGTTTTGCGCAAGGTAGTATGTAATGGCACAAGACGAGCTGGAAAGCAAGTTAAATACAGGCCTTCTCAGAATATGGCACTAATTCTTGACTTACTTGGAAGTAGTGTCGGAACCCGCAATGAGCTGAGTCAAAGCCTCGGCGGTCAACTCTTCTCGACCCATAAGCTTACCTTCGTCATCTCTTCCTTCCTGTAATTTGCTTAACAGATCCACTCTGTCCGTTGGAGTCGTTAGGCGTTTTGCCACAGCAGCTACAGCAAGTCCAGCGAGATTCTTCACAGCCTTGCCTCCTTTGCGATACCATGGCAGTAATCGAACAAGAGGCCTCCAATGCGGAGGAAGTACTCCCATGGAAGCAGAAAATTCACCTCGATCGTTGAGAATTTGTACAGCAGGGATCTCAATAACTTCATAAGTCGATTCAGAGCCATAGGATTTCATGGCATCTTTTTGCGAGACAGCAACAGGGGCCGAGTCTTTTGCATTGAGTATCATTCCGAAAGGAGACCCAAAAGCTAGGTCACCTGTTCTCAAATCCTGTTTAGCGACAAAAGGACGGAGAACAAAACAAGATGTACCAATGATGTCAAATGCCAAATAATTGTACCCTGCCAAATGTGAGACGTAATACTCGCCATATACGACTGAGCTTACAAGGGAGAGAATCGAGCCATAGGCGACCATCCTTGCCAAACCAACCACCTTCGCCTTCTGTACCAGATGCACCTTTGGCAGCAGAATCGTAGAGGCGGTCCCACTGTGAAATCAGCTGACCGACGTATAAGCGGACGTTTGGTTCGAATTCCAAGACGTTTTTCTGTGAGAAGATGTGGGAAACAATCTTGCGCTTGCGTGCATGCTCGTTACGGTTCCGGGTGTTGAAGAGACCGCGTTGAATGGAGACAAAGGCGTCGTAGAAGTTAGCTTTGAGGCTGCCATTCCCATGAGCGTATACGACCTGAAGGGCGTCAGGGTCCGCAACGGAGACGTGGTTTGGCGCGATGCGAACAAAAGTTCCTAGATTAAGTGACGTGGAAATGATCAAATTGACACTCTATACTTAGCAACAACAAGTGTACCGTATTTCAGGTGCATTTTATGTACCACCTCAGAACGATGGCCTTGGCTGCTCACCCAGCCTAACCAGGCATCGGAAAACTTGGCAAGTAAAGGACCTGGGATGGCGCGCTGTTTGAACGGATCTGCGAGGTACGGAAAGACATGAACCAAGATGAAAATAATGGGTACACCAGCGAGGGCAGTGGTGAAGCTGAAGTGGAAGTCTTGGAAAGGGTTTAGTTGGAGGATGGTGTTCATGGTAGACGTCGAGGAGGTAAAACCGAGGTAAGAGTTTAGCAAGAACACCCCCTTATTTAAGTTTAAGTACCTTTCGCCCGACATGCAGCGGATCTTATTTGCACCGGTTGGAATTAGACTTCCTGTGAGTACGTACACATGATATGGCAATGACACCAAGTGGTGTGTCTTGGCTCTGTGCATAAAGTCCCCCTATAGGTAAGCGTAAAGTCAGGTCTCTGACGTGATGCCACATCGGCGATATGATCCAACTCTGTTGATATCCAAGGCCGTTACAGGTTCAAAGAGAAATACCACTTTGTATTATAGTAAAAGGTGTAATGCTCAGGTTAGCCGAGTGGCGTTGTGCATCAGAACCATGACTGTAATCGTGTCACACATATACACATATTCCACATCTGGTCACCGTCACAGTTCTCCAGTGTCGGACGTCTCTTCCTCTCCAAGTTCAAGTTTTTACTGACGTGCCCATCGTGAAGTAGGCTACTCACTGACATCGACAGCATCTCTCAAGAGAGAGGGATGGTCGTCACAGCTTGGAAGCAACGAAAGTTATTCCCCATATGTGTTCTTGTTCCGTTCTGAGAGTGCGATTGCGATGCTCTCGGATCGGGGGCCAATAGAAGTTCTTCGCAGCCGTGTTCCTATAACGTTCGAAACCAATATCTTCCAGGAACCTCGTCATTTGCGTGCAAAGCGGGATGAGGGATTCGTGGATTTATCTGTCCAAGGAGGTTTCATCAGTGTTCAAAGGACCCGGCATCAGTGTACTCAGTATGTAGCCTGGGAAAGATGCCACTGAGAAACGATTGGTTGGATGGAGCAGGGCTTGTATTGAGACTGGTAAGTTCGCAACACTTCCATTAGTAATACGAGTTCAAGATATGAGACCCACTCAAGTGCAGTAGCATATACCCGAGTCAAGTCAAGTCTGGTTATATGCCCGAAGTTGGTACATCCCTGTGACTAATGGCAGGACGTGAGGTAATGGCAAGCTTTTACCATGATGATCTCGTCCGTTCGCGGTCCGATAAGATCATGATTACTATATTGTGTAGTCGCCGAGGCACTTCGAGCTCACTGTAACCTGAAACCTCCCACAACTTGCAAAAATGTTAAAGTGAGTGAATTTAGAAGATATTTCCCAAAACTAATTCGGAATGCATAGCTTTAACCTGTCACTCGTGGATATATTTATCGCGTCAGGTGCTCAGAAAGTATAGATAAAGTAAGCAAAAAAAATCATGAAGCACGTTAATGCCAAAAATACTGACCTACCCTGGCTAGATCAGAAAACGTGTCGTACGGCCGGGCGCTGCGCATGCAAAAATAACGACAGTCGCTAAGATTGACAGAAAAAAGTAGTAGGTGTCCTAGATATGTTGTGAAATAACTGGCAGCATTGCTTGCCACCCCGGTCGACGCAATGCCACTTCATGGACTCATCGTCCCCGATACTTTCGCGCTGACGATGTATTTTGACCTTGTAGATCGAGTCCTAGCGATTGCCTATTAATTCATCTAGTCGAGGTTATCGGTGTTCTGTCACCGGAAGCGGTCAACCTTCCCCCTTAGCCCCTTATCGGGGTCATTATGATACAGGATTCACTTAGCTCATGACTTCAGGTCCAGCCATTGTTGACCACCAGACTATATAAATCCTGGGCCCGGCAAATATGGAACGCTGAACCCTTGTCCTTTCCCAATTGTCAAACCCCTTTCTCAAAAAGCTCTCCTGTGTTGCGGAGATGGTCCAATCTAAGCTTTTCGCTATTCTTCCTCTCCTTCTCGTGGCACACGCTCAGTCACCCACGTATACTGCTACTTATGTGCCTTCTGATGCACCCTATCAGAGTGAGCAGGGTCAGACAGGGACGAACCAATGTGGAACTGGGTACAACCAGACTTCTGAATGCCAAAATACTTATAGTACGTCCATAATCTTTATCTCTACGCGCTTGCATTCAATCATTCATTCGCGTTCTCCTTTCAATCTAGTGAATGATGTGCAAGACTGGTGTGTTTGGAGCCCTCCTGAGCCTGGTCCAAACTCTGTCATTGGTGACACTGAGGTGAGCAAATAACCTTCTCCAAGCTCCAACGCATGTCATTGAGGAGAACGCGGAAACCTCGCAGCAAATAGAAGTGGCGTGGTGCATGAAGGCAAGTTGGGGCTATATTTATCTTTCCAGAACCTCCCAAATTTATATAATGGCCAGAGTGGCTATGGAACACGTCTGATTCCTGATGGGACGATCACGGGAGCACACTTTGTTGTAACGCCCGACTACGTTCAGGTCACTGGTATGTCCCCTCTCTTCGTCTTTAAGAAATACCCCTCAATTATCGGGATGTAGGTGTCGGTAATCTAACTTATCTCAACATACCCAATGGCGACGAGGGAGGAGAGCTGGATCCTCACGGTGCCACTGGCAATGGTCTGTCGAGCTATCTGCGGTTTGACCTCGCATAATAATTCCTCAGTGCAGGTAATCCCATCGGCGGACTTGTCTTTTCCAGTGCCTTTGGACAGATAGAACAGATGCACGAATGGACGGCGAGTTCTGACCTCTCATTCCCTCCCCCAAAGCCATTAACTCCAGTCACAGAATTTCGTTTCATATAATCAATTCTGCTTCCGCGCCTGCAAGCCCGCCGTCGATGCACCGACCCTATGCGAGCACATATACGACGTGATGGGATGCGATTGGAACATGCCCGCAAATTACTCGGAAGGTGTTTTTGAGCAATGTTTGGGTGATTCTGCACAAGTGCGTCGGTCGGCATGCCATTGTGATATTGAACTGAACGTCTTTCCCCCCCCCCCCCCTCTTCTTCTTCTTCTTCTTCCCCTCTGCTTGTAGCCAATGGGCGTTTATGGCACGTCGACGTTTTATCAAGGAGAACCTTCGACCCCATCCGCTCATCCTATCCCATCCTCTTCGAGTTGCACTCAGTATACCAGCATCAGTAATGGTGAGGGCGTCTTAATCGGAGGAGCCACGTCGACCTCTAGCGTTCCTGCTTCCACCACTGTAGGTGTCTCCTCCTCATCAGCTGCTATCAGTTTTTTGTCTGTCACCGCGACCAATGTGCACCTGATCCGATCCTCACACTCCGAGTCCACTTTACTAATTTGTATCTTTTCCACAGGGTGTATCCTCAACGTCCAGTGGCGGCAGCACATCGCAAAGTTCGACAACTGGGAGCTCTTCGGCCATGCATTCAGCAAATTTGCCAAGCTGGGAGCGTATGGTGTTGACCTCGGCCTTTATGGTGATCGGTTCTACCGTTGGCGCTCTTATGATACTTTAAAACACGGAATACAAGTGCGATATATATCCACCTACTGCCGTCTATTCTGTGATACTTATGATTTGATGTTCTTCTGATGACGCTTTTGGATCTTTCAACAGACTTTTCATTTGAACCTTAATACCCTATACCTTCGTGTTCGCTTGGTTGGAAGGTATCAAAGATAATAGTAGATAATAAGTGATTTTAGGACATCTTGAATTCACATGTGACAATTTGGTGATAATACAGCTAAGGTCGTAAAGTTATTTGAATGGGTCATGGTGGAGGAACATCGTTGAGACATTCATGCCTACAACGGTTCAATATTGGGGATAGGGCCAACTGCTACCACTCTGCTAGGATTCACCTAAGGATGGGGATTAGCATGGCGGACAAAAAAGAGGTATTATCAACATACCAATATTTGTGACCAATAGTAATGCGTTTTAATGTGATCGAAATTCGTCGTCGACTGGAATGCATCGTTGTTCCAGTAGAGCTTTTTCATCCACCTTCATCGGTAGCATATATATCAAAATCTGTTTAAAAGTCTATATCATGAAACGTACGAATGGATAGCAGGATAGCCATGACGGATGGTGCGGATGTTGCACTTGAAATGGCCAACATACACAGGGTCGAACCGGATCTTGTGAGAATGTATTAGCCATGGGTCGACACATGGAGACGTATTGTGAACATACGATGGTTACGAATAGCCTGACATCTGCCTCTGTCAGTGTATTTCCAACGAGGTAGTCTTTGCCGGTCAGAATTTTCTCCAGCCGATCGAGGGAATTGAAGAGGGGCACGACGGCCTTCTCGTAAGCTTCCTGGGACTGCGCGAATCCAGATTTATAAACGCCATCTACAAAGGTAAACCATATATGTCAATCTTCAGGATCACCATACCTCCAAGTGTTAACATACTGTTCACGGTATCATAGACCCACTCATTGATGGAGTCAATTTCTGCACGATGAGCTTCAGGGTAAATGTCAATAGCAGCTTTGTCTGCTGGGATGATATCGTTAAAGGCGGTGTTGAACACGCGGATGATTTCCGAGCTTTCGTTGTTGACAATCGTGTGGTTCTTCTTGTCCCAAAGAACTGGTACGGTGAAGCTGCGACGAGAGTGAGTCTTGCACGCGAGACATGGTAGTTGATGTACATACCGGCCAGTATAGTCGGGATCAGCCTTGAAATACAGATCTTTGACATGACTAGCGTTGTAAAGAGGATCTACGTCTGCACCAGGGTATGCATCAACGCTGGCAAAAGGCCATCCATCTTTGCCCATGTGTGGAGATACTACGGTAACAGCTTATCGAGCAGAATGTGACGTCAGACTAAGATGGAAACTTTTGAGATCATTGGGCTCACGTATGATATCTTCCAAACCCTTGAGTTTCCTTACAATCAAAGTCCTGGTAGCCCAAGCTAAAAAAGTGCTCAATACTTCAAGAAGTTGAGGTCAATAATGGCAGTCATCTCACGGCAAGAATACGAGACATAAAGATGATAACGGTCTATGGATGTCAATCAATACAACATGGCCTGAAATGAAACCCGTGATAGAACGTACCTCTCTCTGCCTCGAACTTTCCTCCTTTCTCAATGAAGTGCCTAAAGACAGAAGCAGCCCTTTTGAAAGAGCCATCTGCCTCCGTCTTCAATTTAGCGATATCAGACTGGTGAGAGGTGTCTCTTTTGGCAGTCATGTGTAGAGATCGAAAGAAAGGGCGATAATGGAATAGAGATGGCGAAGAACAGGTAGCAGATAGGGGAATGGCATCTGAGAGGCCTCGACTTATATGTCGCAACAAAAAGGCCATACTAGGAAACTTGTTCTCCGGGTATCGGAACAAGTTGATGGCAGCAAAAGAAGCCTTGGATGACGAGCTTGGATGACTGTTGGCGGTCCTCACATCGCTTTATAATCCACTAACATGCATGTAGACTTTGTTACATGTGCACATCAAAGTTGCAGGACTAAGACCACGCTAGGTGCGTAGGTGCCAATTTCATGCCAGTGAATAAGCTCAAGAAGTGGCACCGCAATCCTCTTCAGACATCTTGTTGCCATTTCAGGCTAGGAATCCCGATGTAAGCTCGGTGCACAAGTAATTATAACAGCAAGACAAGTCACGATATGATCGCAACTAACGTCAAGCTGATTCAGATGTCGGCCTTGATGACTGGATAGCATTGGATCATGAGCTTGCGTTCGTCTTGGGAATCATCAGATACCAATAAAATGGGATTTGACGCGCCTTATAGCGACGTCGCAGTCTATAGTAGTACAATCGAATTAACCTTGTAAGTATAACACCAAAACCTGCTGTAGTTTACTTAGCGATAACGATCGCATGGGAGAGCAAGAACTTAAAGCCACGTGGAAACCTTCAATAAAACCCTAGAACCACCCATTCAAATCAAGTGCCCGCCATCCCCACAACGCCTACGTGGTCACGAATCTTGGCTATTTCACTAGCAGTCAAGCCTCCTTTGCTTGCTCGAAGGAAATCTTCGAAAGCAGTCAGTGCATCCCCATCCGCAGCAAACTCCGTCCTGGAGATATGTCAGTATATGAGAATTCAAGTATGCCACATCGATCGGGCTTACCTGAGGAAAGAATACAGGCGGTCCCAGAACGGCGGTTGCGAAATAGTTGTTTGGTATGTCGAACGTGTAGCATTCGACATTGAAGCCGTGGGAATGGACGACGTGTCCAATGTTAAATTGATATCCTGAGGCTTCTCAGATTCTAACGATACCATGGATGGTGAAGGAGACAAGACGACAGAAGGTATACGCTGGTGCCTGCGCCCTGGTTTAAGATTTGCATCGGACATTGAGGACTCTGAGGGTGGTGTTACTGGTTTCATTTCAAGAGACGGCGGTGGCGATGGTGCTTTTGAAGGATCCCAATCAAAGCCAGGCTTGATCATCAAATTGACGGTATCTCCCTCCTTAACGGTATATTCCTTCAAGAGCTTGGCGTCAGCTAGCACTTTGCCTTTGATGAGAAGACGTTGGGCGTCGGCAGGTGGTGCTCGGGGCTGAGAGGCAAGCTGAGCCTTTATATCTGATATGGTGTCCGTTGGCTGGACAGAGAGCGTGAACGATTGCGGTGGTTTAAGCGACTTGAAAGTGACACTGATAGCTTCAACTAAAAGCACAGATTGCAAAGATAAGGCGATGGCCTATCGCGTCAACATAGGGTACATACCAGAGGGAAATGGGGCTTTGACCTTGCGCTCGGGGACAGGTGGAACGTCGATCTATAGCAAACACTGCAAGGTCAGCTATATACGAGATATGAGGAAAGGGTGAACCCACCGAGAGAACGGGGACTTTCTTGAGAGTGCTCTGAGGAGGTTGCTGATAATCGTCCACGTATCTGACGGGATGGGAAGAGATGGTGTTTATAAAGCTTTTCACAAACACGAGCTCCGCTTGATCTGCCATGCTTTGGTTGTTTTTGTTACGTCTCGAAGCAGGGACAATGGGAAATTTGCTATGCGATCTCGTATGCGGATGTCTTTAGTGCTGTTCTGATAGTCTAGTGCAGTGGCTGTGTCATATGTACAACCCAGGCTGTGTGACAAACGCTACCATTCTTGTCACACTCGTATACAACGTTTACCCTCTCATGGCCGTATGTTGTATTTTTTTTGTTTTCTTATTTGTCCATTCAGCTGATTGTCATGTCTAAAGTCAGGATTTAGCTACACGGGAGGTGCGTGCAATGCATTTATCTGAACTTTACCTGTGCTGACACGGAGCTGCAAGGCCGCTCACGGTGCTTTGCCTACTGGCAAGAATTCTCGAAAGTAATTATAAAGCAGTGAAAACTTCCTTGTTCTTTCATTTGACGGATAATCAATCCAGTGCTATGCAGAAGCAGATACCCCTAGCCAATGTCGCCTGCAGGCCGATGACTACCTAGAGTGCTTGCACCACACGAAAGAGGTGTGTTTGCCTGTACAGCCTGGATGAGACCACACGGTGTAACCTCTTCGCGGCCCCTCTTTCTATTAGGTTGCGCGCGCAAAAACTGTCAAGGCAGAGTTTATCAAGCAAGCCGAGCATCAAGCCAAGGAAGGGCGTAAGGTGGCCGACGTGCTTGCGGACGGAGTCATTGTCAGCGTTGGCTTGATTCAGAGAGGCAAGAGCACGGAAAGCCCTAAGTAGAACATTCCATCCTCTCCTCACTTGGCAGCACGTATTGCGCAATCAGAAAATCTTCACAAACGTTTACCATGTGCCTCCGACTCTTGTGCCACAGTGCCTTTGACATCGGAGCATCATTTCCTGCGATGTACCAGCATACTGCCAGAAATGTTCTATAAAACGGAAACTAACAGGATTGTATGGATAACATTCCCCTGTATACAACTTGTATACATATATGCACAAGCCTTTGTTGAGCATGGCAGGTAAACCTTAACCCTAGGGGTATGAATGGCTTTTTTTGATGCGGACTTCGATTTATGATGCCGCATGTCCACGCTCAGGCTTTCCCTTGAGGCAGGTTGACAGGAAAGGGACATTGCAGTTTCTTCATATCCTTGACTTTACTTACCCCAATTCTGTTGATGACAGCACAAGGTGTTGGTTCCAAAAGCTCACCTATCATAATATCTGATGACGAGGAGGAAGAAACCATCGTAGAACAGCAATTGCAAATAACACGGGTACACGCAGAGGTCATTACCCAAGAATACAAGAATACAAGCTCAGGCGCAACATCCGAGTACGCAGGCAACATAGGTTATAAGATGCTGCTAGGAATGGGCTATTCGCCAGGTCATGGTCTTGGGCGTGGACTTGACGGTGAGTAAACCATACCCCGAATTTTTACGGTCACCCGAAGTTGCTCCAGGCGAAATCCAGCCACTTGGCCTCACCTTGAAACGGAAACGAAATGAGGGTGGAGTAGGATTTAAACCACCTGAAGTAGAAGATAAAAGTGTACGAAGAGCTCTAAAGAAAAAACGGAGGGAGCTAGAACGTCAGACATCGTCTATTCCACTCCCAACCACGCCCATCAGCCCACCCCTAGACCTAACTCTCCCCCAGCGCCCAGATACATCCTTTTCTCAACGTCCTCGTTTGGGACAATCCATGTTCCCTGCTGTCTCTTCAATATTGTCCCAAGACCCCTTGGCTTTACAACAAAACCAGGCGCTGTATGGAGCGCCGTTGGGTTCTGACCGATTGCCATTCCGATATGGGATATTACCTATGCAGCCCATGGTACCATTCCCCCCACCATGGCCTGCTCAAGCAGGCCCATCATTCAACGGAGCGGGGGCGCGATCCGTCGGCCAACTTGCACAGGTTATTCCGAACGAGCCTCCTTCCCAGCATGCCCTCCCTGCTCCTCCAATCCCCGAATCTTCACGTAAAAAGAAGAAAATCATCGAACAGATTGGCATGTCATGGAACTCTGATCCACATTGCCGTCATGGCATCTTCGAACTCCCCCTCTCTTTTACACCCCATCATGCCCGTACGCTTGTGATGGAACAGATTCCCAAGAATTTTCGGACTCTGGATTTCATACGTACCTGGTTGGGGAACCTAGGCTCCAAATCGCCATGCGTGCAGGTTGACGGCGCGCGCGCAAAAGCCATCATGCAACTGGAGACGCCTGAGTTGGCGCAAAGAGTATTTTCCAGCAGAAAGATGAAGAATAAAGGGAAGAGCGCCATACAGCTGTGGTGGTACAGATCTTCTGGGATAGGATCTAGTAAAACCGTGCGTGAAATGGAGGAAGGCGAAGTGGATGAGGAGAAAGAAATACCCCCTCCGAAGCCCAGCAAGGCACAGAAGAAGTCGAACGCCAAAATCAAAGCTCAAATCGAAAGAGATCTTGCGCAGATGGAACGGGAGAGACAACAACACACGATCGGAGAGAGTTCATGCACTGTGCTAGGAACTCAAGGCTCCAAGATTCGCCGTGCCAAATCAAAAATCAAGTCGTTTGCGTCACAGGTTTTTCTTGCAAAGTCTGACGATGATAGACTCGACACACCTTCTTTGGTGGATGACGATGATAAAGCATCCTCACTCAATGAAGAGTGCCACGATGCCAGCAATGCTATTTTAGTCGGCGGCACTAAAGCGAGCGAAGGCCGTTCTCGTGTCTCCGACGTGCTTTCAAGAAATGACCTGCATGTGACGACGGAGCTCCCAGAGGCGCAAGGCGACGGGGATGACATGGAAATGTCTCCCACAAGTGCGCGCGAGATAGCATATATCGATGATATGGAGATTGCTTTGAGCCCTATTGCATCTCATAACGAAGAATGTGCGCTTCAAGGCCACCACGATGCCTCAGAGGCCCTTGATAAAAGCACACATTCTACTATTATACCTCTTTCAGTGAAAGGGGATCGCTCACAAGCACCTCTGCCACTAGTGGCTTCTCCGTTGTCTATAATAACCACGCCCGCTGTCCTCACCTCCGCCAGCGTTTCCCCCAATACATCGACGTCCTTCTCTGATTCATCATCCTCCACTCTACCCACTTCATCCGTCGATTCGATGCATTCTCAGTCTTCCAAATTTGCAGCTTTGGCTTCGAGTTCAATCAAAGATTCGCTTATAGAACGCCAGCGGGAGCTAGAAGAGAAAATTGCACGCACGAAAGCGGACCTCACACACCTTCAAGACCCTAAGAAGTCACCATCCCCTACGCCCAACCTACCTCCGTCCTCACTGCCGGTCGATGTTTCTGCCCCCGCTAAACCTGAGGGGGTTGACAAAGTGGCTATGGAGAAAAATCTACGCCGCTTAGTTTTGGAAAGCAAGAAAAACAGGCTTAATATCGTCAATCCACAACCACCCCCCACCCCCTATGATCCCCCGGTTTCACCCACACCAGCGGTAGCTGTCACTCCCCCGATGTTAACAACCACCAGAGTTGAAACTGTGACCAAAACAGTGGGAGCGATTTCATCTTCCGTGAAACCTGCCTCTGCGATACCTTTCTCGCCCTCCATGGATGATCTAGCCGTATCATTCATCACTGAAACCATTCAAACTATCAAGGCTCCCGCCCCGCGAATCCCTCCATCCGATGCCAAGTCTCAGTTGGCTCTTAGACAACAGAGGCTTACAGAGTACATATCAGAAAGCAAAGCGTTAATGGCCCAGTTTGAGCGGGCACAGAATAAGCAAGAGAAGGATAGAATAGGGAGTGCCATACGAGATTTAAATCGGTGCGTGTTGAGGATATATTTTCTTGGGATGTGAGAAACGCTAAGTGGTTTCCAGTATTTTGGAACTTGGCACGAGTTCGACCGAAACCATCAAATCGCGTAGCTTTTCCTGGCCCGAATCTTGTCAGAATAGTATTCTTATCATTAGTGACGACGAGGACGAGGAGTGAATATACATGATACAAATTTCTATCTTAGGTATGTCTCTTTTATCGATTAGTGGACTACTCGGAGGGAGCGCAGTTGTTGGTGTTGAAGATATACTGATTTAGGGATACTCGATTGGATAACCTGGATGTTCGGGAGTACATGTAAATTTCTTTTAATCCTATTAAAGGCCACTTAATCTACTGAAAAACAATATCGAGGGACAGCGAGCATGAGTGTGACTGAAAAACAGTTGAGTGTTTCTTATTGAGTGTTTGTCTGAATTGCTGATGACATGAATTGGGTAGCCGTATGTGACGACCTGTCTAGCGCTTCTAAGCTTTGGAAATAAGACAGACGGAATGTATAGCTATTGCGGTAGCTGCATCGGATGCATTGGGTTCTGGGTTGTTCACAACCCTGAAAGCTTTCAGTGGTTAGTTTATGTTCGAGTTACATATACTACCGGGCTTGAAGGTCCCCAGTGTACATTGCAAAATAGTAAACGTGATCACTGTTTCACTCTACATCCTTACGAACATGAATGTTTCAAGCCCAACATCAACTGTCACGCTGAAGAGTAAGAATCATTGAAACATTACAGTAGGAGCTATGTTCTTGGACGGATAGTTGTACGAAAGAGGCGTCGCCGACGACGAAGATGTCAATGTCAGACGTCAAACCATGGTGGCGGTTAGGCCGTGGCTCGGGGTGGACTACACCCGGCGTCTCATCGTCAAGCTAACTGCCAGTGGGGAGCGCCGAAGAATGTAAAATATTTCCGAGCGTCTTATCGATATTGCACTCATATTTCAGTTTTCGTTATAATCACCATCCCCTTTGAGGGGCTCGGATGGCCTGTGCAGGTCGACGAGGAATAACGTAAAAGGCTAGAGAAAGGTAGATGCATTGGACAATTATTCTGTTATTGATGTTGTCTATCTTGTCTTGTATCTGCGACAGAAAAGATAAGAGAATAGACGAGCGGGAACGGAAAAGGGAAGAGTGAAGCTTTGAAGGCTAAATGCAGAGATCCTTACCAAACCTGTGCTGTTGTTGTCGAGACCAAACAGCTTACAAACATCCAAAAACACAATCGCCAGGATCGAGTCCCTTGGCTTTCCACCACCATCTTGCTCGTCGATCCGCCAGTCCATCGCCCCAGAAACCTCATTGTAAGTCCCTTCATAAACATCATCACCAGCTTCTCACTCACAACCCCTGCTTTTCTCTATCGATAATAACCGTTGCACTCACATCTGTATTCTTGCACTGGCGTCCTGGTTGCATCTCTGTCATCGTATCCGATCGCATACGATTTGTACTGATCTTCTTGCATCGCTTACTTGCACAACAGTCAAGTCTTTAGTCTACTAGACAATTGTATCACAATGGCTCTCAAACGCATTAACAAGGTACTTGTCGACTTTTCCTACTGGCTCCCAGAGCGATGCCAGTGGCGCTTCTTCGGGCGTCTTTCTTTTGATGGTAGTCGCCTCTCTAACCACTCGTTTCGCTAGGAATTGCAAGATCTCGGGCGTGATCCACCCTCATCCTGCAGTGCCGGCCCTACTGGCGATAATATGTTCCAGTGGCAAGCGACGATTATGGGGCCGGTGAGTAATTTGACTCTGATATCGGTATTTTGCTAAAGCCGCCGTTCAAGGGTGATTCACCATATGCAGGCGGTGTCTTTTTCCTCTCCATCACGTTCCCAACGGATTACCCATTCAAGCCTCCCAAAGTCAGCTTTACGACGAAGATCTACCACCCAAACATCAACGCGAATGGATCGATCTGTCTTGACATTCTCAGGGACCAGTGGTCTCCTGCACTGACTATATCGAAAGGTTCGTTTTGTTCTCACAGGAATTCATTAGGAGAATCATTGATTTCTCCTTGGCAACAGTTCTACTTTCGATCTGTTCGATGCTCACAGACCCTAACCCCGATGATCCTCTGGTACCTGATATCGCACATCTGTACAAGACTGATCGCACTAGGTATGAGGCTACCGCCAGGGAGTGGACAAGGAAGTATGTATGATTTCATCAAGCCTTGTTGATTGGTGTTAATTGTGATTGGTATCCACAGATACGCCATGTAATATGAAGTACACCAAACTTGCAGTTTTGTGATTGGTGCATACGAGTTGTATCGGTTGGCTGTATGATGATGATGTGTATCAGTGTTTTTTCTATCATTGCATGTGTCTGTTCTAGTACATCCCCTTCTTCTTTTTGTCAGGCAATAAGAGCGAGCACTGGCTTAATCTATTATTTTGGTTGTTGAGATCTGAGACAAAGGTCCATCTAGGTCCCGATAATGCAAACGAACCGAACCATCACATCAAGTTGTGAGATGGCAAGATTCAAGTACGTAAATGAGTAGTGTGCTGGCGCGTGTGGGATCGCGGACTTGGGAGTCAAGGTTAACGGCAGTGTAGCACTGCCTCTCTGACATGTAGAAGTTTGTGCATACTGCAGCGCATTGATGTTTTCGGTGGACTTTCCGATTTTGTTCAGCCGCAATACCGCTATCTGACTTCTTGGAGTGGGTTTCGTCAGACGTGCGTTTGCTTGAAACGTCGCAAGTTGCCAGAATGGACCTGCAGTGGAGACATATTGTCTCACAGATCATTAACGCGGACAATTGAGCTGGATACACACCGCCCAATCTGCCAGATGGACGCTCCTGTAAAGGTAATACTCTGTCTCACTCCTGCCATCTCCGCTGAGTCGATAGCGCTCAGCATTCCCTAGAGCCCTTCCCCACCGGTGTACGCAGTATCATGTCGAGGTCAATATGTATTGTGCCCCGCCATCACACGGCCCTTTTAGAGGCTATGCTCTCTTTTGTGGGCAATGTATGTCGCGAAGACAGAAAGACTACGGCACAGCTTCTCGCTTGACATCATCTGGTTCTAGGCAAATAACTGGCAAATACATTTACTTATTGCACATAGCGCTGAGTTCAATCCAATGCACCGCTGATGACATCCATCCTCCTACTGCGGGCCGTCTCGGGCGATCTTCCTGTGCCTTGCTTCCCCTGAAGACTCGATTTTGTCAAGCAGTTGGCCACGGGCACCGACGGCGCCTGTACCAGTACAGTTTACTACAGAGTTTCTTCTTGTTCGTCACTTTTATCTTGACCGTGTCTATTATCAGATGCTATTCCCTTACAATTGGGTGAGCCATTGCATCGATACCTGCTTTTTGAACCGAGATGTCCGTCTAACAAGTTACCTCGCGTACTGCGTCTTCGACTATACAGCGCTCAGCCTCGCGATATTTTACTGCCGATGTGACTCCACTACGTTTACAAAGGTCACTGCTCTGGCTGGTCTCCCTCTACGGTATATTAACCTCGACGCCATGCTGACGAACTTCATCTGAAATATCCAAGAAAACCCCAAGCTTCCTCCTCTACCTTCTTACCTGTTTAATTCCTTTTTTATATTTATAATGTTCCCAGCCAACAACCCATTCACTCAAGGCTCATGGCGTTCAGGCAACGCCCCTTCTTCTAACGGCTCCTGGGACTCTAGCGTGCCGCCCCCATCGATATTCGGCGCACTCCCTTACCCCAACGCTCCTTCTCTCGATATCCCGATCCGCGACCTCATCACATTCAGATTTTCCTCCTTCAACCCTACCATACTTAATTGTCAGGTCATGGGCCCTCGCAGCCAACCTGTATTCTATGTTATCACCGATTCGTCTTTGCCAGGATATACCCAGCTGAAAGACGCCGCCGGCGCAAACGTCGCGTTAGTGGAATGGCAAAGTCACCCACTGGTTGAAGCGCGCGGCGCAGTCGCAAAACAACCTATTCGCAACTGGCTGAGACTTTCTAGCGATCAGAGGTTAGTCGTCAGTGCCGATCATCGCGTTCTTGCGGGCTGACAAGCTTCTCGTCCAGACACCGACTTATGGGTGCACATGGTATTAACTATTATTGGGCTCCCAATGATCGCTTTATTTGTGTACGTTAACATCTCCGCAAGGAACAGGTCTCGAGTTGCTGACTTTGTCATTTCCTTCAGCTATATACCTCGGGTTCTTCCACTTCTCCTTTGGCCAGAATTTCCAAGTCTTACAATGATGTCATCCTGGAGATGACGCCGCAAGCTATACAGTTTAAGCTGTTGGAAATCTGTGTCGTGGCAACTATTTTGCTGCAGTGTGGCAGGAACATAGATTAAATGCTCCCTGAGCTACAGTAATATATGGGGTAAAACGGTGTTTTTAGGGTAACCGGCCGCTGGCGGTTTTGTGTACTGGTACCACTACTGTATCGATATATTCCTTTTTAGATTTGTGACGTAGGACTCTACATTATTTATAGTATTGCAACACAGCACCACATTATTTCACTTTGACCGTCTCATTGCAATCTGCCTAGGCTCTACACTGCTTTGCCATCCATACCAATAGAAGTCTTACGATTGTTCAGTACGTTCATTGTGTCAGTCACTTGCGTATTAGATTTTTTCGGGGATACCGTATAAGGCAAGTGTAGTAAAGCAACGATCTGATCTTGGGCATCTATTTCTTCATAATAGTTTTCTGGCAGTTCACTGCTATGTTATTGACAGGGCGATCGGAGAGCATTGGCATGGTGCCCTCTGGCATCGTCATCCATTCAAGGTCCAACTTGTCAGCTACACAAAAGGACAATGTTCGTGAACCACTTCATCTCAAAGTTGTAAAGATCACATCAAAAAATGGTTGGATCGTCGTCTTCTGTCGAAGAAGATTCATTGTTTCCCGTAACGTAGATTTTAAAATATGCTAAACTGCAGTACAGGCCTAAAATTAGACATCCAAGGTATCCGAGCTGTTGGGGTCCTGATACTGCGAGATACAGATAGCTATAAACAAGTGTAAAGAACAGCGCTAATAAATACTGCTTTTTTTATAGTTACGAGACTTGAATAGACTTCAAGAATCGATCATACGCAGTCGTATGAAGGTGGCGTAATTTGGTAGTCTCGTCAGCCACTATTAGCCGGAAATGCGGTTGTGACTGTAATCACAATGTATGAATGGGACAGGAAATCGCAAGCAGAGCCAATAGACACATACCAAGGCTAGAGGTTTCACTAGATCAAGCATGGAGGTAAGACCAGATATCATTTCGGCAAGAGCCACTTTATGACGTGGATCCAATGGGCTACATAGAACGTCGGGTAAAATGCCAATAAGCTTGGGTATGCTGCGCGAAAGTTCGTCCAGCTCGAGCTCTTGAGATGCATCCGGGATGGCTGTATGATCACTCAAGTGTTCGTGTAGCTCAGGAAGACGAGTCATTGCATGTGCATAGTCAACAAATGCCTAGAGCACGAGTAGTCAATAATCATTGCCAGGAGAAATATATGTTTGGTTACTACCTTGCCCCGTAGATGCCATCCATCGATGGATTTGTTGACCATTTTGGCAAACAATGATTTGAGGAGATCGAAGTCTTGACGGATAATGGCTTCTGGTGCAAGCTCAGTGACAGCGAGATCATGCGCTGCCTGGAAAAGACCGGCTGCGATATACAGTTCGTATGCTTCAAATATTTTTCTGTTATGAATTGCATACAGCGCCTGGAACAACACACGTCAGCACAGGTAACGTTTAGTAAATGTAAGTGGGCTACCTTTGCTTCGTTCACCCACGACAGGGGAATCTTTAAGCTACCGAGCACGCCCAGTGTCATCCACTCATCCAACTTCTCGGCTGATCGCGAGAGTAGATCCTTGATCGCCTTTTCTCTCCTACACAGCAACCAGTTATTCAAGAGAAAACAGTTAAAAAACAAAATTACCAACCCAGTGGGTCCTTCGATATGCAGTAGGACGAATATTGCCTCCTGTAACATACCTAACTGCTCGAGCTGCTGTGCGTAACTACTCGCTAAGAGATCTGCACTGGGGCTATGCCCTTCTAGGCGTACTTCGTCGTCCTCATCGCCGCTCATCGAATCCCTGTGTACCCCACTTCGATCTGAGAAATCACGTACGCGCATACAGCGGGAAAGGACAATATACATGTGCCAAGGTAGAGAGTAATCCATGGGTGACGGGCCGAAAGAGAGTGGTGCAAGCACCTGTGAGAGGGAGCACGATGGCTGTGCGTGCAACCTGATCATCGAAAATAGAGCATCTGGGTGCGCTGAGGATGGGGATATAGGAGATGGGTGGCCGCGTGCGTGCTGTGATTGATTTTGTAGATACCAGGGATATGGGCTTGCCACCCGTGCGGGCGATTCCTTCAAAGAGCGTTCGTATGATTCGAATACTTTGGCTATAGGGGCATCCATCGGCTCGGAGAACCACAGGTGCAATCCAAATGCACGTTTCCAATCGAGTCCACTGATCGGATCAACGTCTATGCATCGCTCGAGACTGCTCCCTTTCGATCCTTCTACTACATCTAATATTCCTGCTAGCAGCGCATATATTCTCCGTACGTTCTCGTCGACGTGAACATCTATACGTTGCTCCCGCCATACTTGCAACTGTTCCCGCAAATCCTCTCTAAACTCGAAGTCACCTGAGGCTTGTGAGATCAAGATCGCCAACTTGACATTACCACCATCCATGGCAACATCACAGGCTTTTTCTATCTGATTTCCCGTCAAATGGGTATAAACGAGGGCTGCAGAATTTGCTGACGTCTGGCGCTTGATCTCGGCATCTACTGAAGGTGTTACGGCCTCTTCCAACCAGGCGGACAATGCCACCTTGCGGCGAATGGAAGTTATGCGATTTCGGACGTCAGCAGTAAGCTCTGTCCCTACTCGAAGATCCAGTTGGTCAAATAGAGCGTGCCCAAGTCGGAAAAGGGAAGCTTCGTAGGAGTGATCGGTGGGTGGGTAAAGTGATGCGAGAGAAGCGAAGCACATGTCACTCGATGGGTCAGCGAATGGAATATCATACTCATCCCGAGCAATGACTGTACTGCTAAGGTGGTATTGTAGCAGCCGCGATATCCGACTAGTAGACTCGTCTGCTGATCCATGGAATAATGGCACTGAAGTTTTAGAAATAGCCGATGTGTTGGCTGATATTTCTCTATAAGAGGGTCAACAAATACACCTCAAGAAGCTGCTATTCGACACTCACAGCTGGCTGTCAGGGCCACACAAATGACCCAGATGAACAAGTGCGCCTTTTGGACCCCAGCCTGAGCGGAAAGAGCGACCTAAGGTTAAACCAGCATCAGCCAGAGCATTCTCGTTGCCCACCACTGATGATGCCGAGCTCTCCACTCTAGAATATTTTCGTGTGGGACGAAAAGGGAGAGGATCTATATCGTGCGCAAAAGAAGCCCTCTATGTAATCGCAACGGTCAGGAAGCAAGAAAAGTTGTAGTTGTACTGATGCATACTTCTCGAGGATCGATTCGCAGCCCGTCTCCTTCCGAATCCCGGCTGTGTTTGCGGCTTACTGATGGTGAGAGTTGAAATCGTAAGCGTGCAGGACGATTCATGGCCTTGAGTGCAGCTGCCTCCTCTGGCATGCGAAACAGCGAGGTCTGCATGACATGCATCTTTTGAGCGTCCACACCTACATGTCTAGCCCATGGAATAACAGCAGAGCTTTCGTGGCGTGGAGCAGACGGGGAATCAGAATCTGATTCAGAGTCTGACCTTGATGAAGTGGGAGACCGAGTGCGACCGTTGACTTCATGAGCGTAGCGGTATTCGCCGTCCGAGTCTTCGACGAGCGCGTTTCTGTTTTGCTTGCTAGAGCTGCGTGAACGCGAAACGACAAGTTCTTCTTCGTGCATGTTGGATGAGCCCGAGACTGACGATCCGTCCTCTGTGTCTTCATCCTCATCCTCATCTTCGTCCTCATCCTCGAGCATTTCGTCGTCTTCACTCTCCTCTGACTCCTCCGAATCACGAGCCCTTGCTTTGCTTTTCACCGCATACCTGGAAGAGGACTTGTTCGTGTTTCCAGCTGTGTAAAGGTTGTCTTCGTCGTCGCTGCTGTCGCTCACATTGGCACTGAAACGGGCCATTGTTCCAAAAGAGCATGAAACCTGAAAAACCAGGTTTGCTGTTTAGGTCGACGCGTTAGAGCCAAACAAGCGCATACTCAATCCAGCAGCACATAAAAGCGCGTCAATGCTTTCTCAACAAAACTATCACAGCGCACGGATGCTCGTGTCCCTCTAGGCTTGTCACGGATAAGACTCCATGTCTTCATTCACGAGCATGCACAGTCCTCGAACTCTTTTCGTACTCTGTTGCACCAGGGCTTCAGTATTATGGTCCAGGCTATTCTACAGTCCACCGTAATAACTATTCTATCGGCATTGCATATCGTCCTTCGATTATGGAATGAGTAGCCTAATATCAGGTTACTTTTCTCTGCTCACATCGGTCGGGAAGGGTAACAAACCCTTCACCCTGCACCTCCAACACTTCGTGGAGAATTTGAATAGCTTCAGGTTGTAGTCGGTCTTCATGGTTGTACCTCTTCTGTTATTGCGGACGTGACTGGTGCAGTCGCACTGTGGTTTCAGGATGGCGAAGTGGACACCGCATCGTGTGGGATGTACGAAGAACCAGTTGCGGTTGAACGGATCCGCTTGGAATTTGGCACATAGCTGCTTGTAAACCATGCTAGGTTTGCTTAATTTTTTTTGGATCTCATTCTCGCCGAGAATTAGTTGCATGAGTTTTGGGATTTACCTTGCTGTGGCTATTCAGGAATGCTTACCACTGTAATCTTTTAGTTTTCTCGCTAGTTTGTCCTTAATCATGGTCAATGTGTTTCGTCCTTCTGAAAATATTGACACGACTTTCACAATGTTCACTTGTTCATGCCCTGGTTGATGACTTGTTGTCATGTCTTTAGCAATGACTGAACATCGTTTTGTGCCCCATCCTGATGCTCCTAATATTCTGGCCAAAATGTTTATTATTATGGATACTAATGGGTGACATGTTGATGCAAGTGGGGAAGCTTACTCTGGCTGATCTCGTGAATGTACAAGATGACTCGGGAGTAAAAGTGAGTCACAAGGAAGTCGTAACCATATAAATCTTATGATTTTGCTCACTAAATGTTATCATGCTTACAGGCGCACGTCTTAAATCAAGATGTCCGAACAAAATACACAGCCCGAACATCTCTGGTTTGAAACACCTCTGGTCTACTCCAGCCATATCTCGCAAACGATTGGTCATTCAGTATACCTCAAGCTCGAGGTAAGTTTCCAGCGTCCATAATACCTAACAATCATTCTAACCTACTGTAGAACCTGCAGCCTTCACAATCCTTCAAATACAGAGGTGTAACCCACTTTGCACAGCACGCAAAGGCACAACATGGACCTTCCGTGCATTTTGTAATAGCTTCAAGTGGAAACGCTGGAGTGGCCGCTGCAATGGCCGCTCGTGCTCTTGAAGTACGCTGTACTGTTTACCTTCCAGAAGGAGTAGGGCAGGAAACGCACAACCTCTTACGAAAACATGGCGCAGACATCATCATCGCAGGAGAACGCTATTCACAGGCTCTACAAAAACTGCGGGAAGACATGAAGAACGACCCTACCGCGTAAGTGTTAATGTTAATTCCAGAACCGTGACATACATATCTTCCACGTTGTTTCTGTTCTGCAGTGTGCTACTCCCTACTTATGATGACCCGCTGGTTTGGGAGGGACATGGCTCTATGGTCTTGGAGATTAAAGCGCAGCTCTCTAAGAAACCAGACGCAATCTTCTGCAGTCTCGGTGGCGGAGGCCTTTTGGGCGGTATCATCCATGGATGCAAACAGGTCGACTGGGAGGACGGTAAGTTTATTCAGTATTATGGCTGAAACAGGGACACAGAAACAAAGCTAAGAAGTCATGTTCAAGTCCCTATTATAACGATGGAAACACACGGTTCCAACTGCTTCTACCATTCTATCGCACTGAACACACAGAATTTTACTGCGGCATCATCAGGTCCAGACGACATAGCCGCTCGAACAACCAATGCACCTTATGATATCGTCCATGATAAACAGCACGACGTTCTCCTTGCCTGCATGCACGAACTTACATCCCTTGCAACGTCCCTAGGGGCAACATCGCCTTCAGCAGGTGTTGTCAGGATGGCACTAAACAGGCCTGGTGGGTTGAAATGTGTCTGTGTTCCTGATGAGATGAGTATGTGGGCAGCGAAGACATTTGCAGGTGTGCATTAATTGTTCAAGCTGCCTCACCTCACCAGTCTAAATGCTCTGTGTCTATAGAAGACCACAAGTTTCTCGTTGAGCTGGCGTGCTCAACGCCACTCACCGCGGCATACAATCGCGATCTGTTTTCTCGCCTGGTACCCGGCACCCCCACGTCTCTATCCGAAGCATCCTCCCCGGATCAGAAACGCGAAAACACGAATGAAAAGAAGACGATCGTTTTCATTGTGTGCGGGGGTGTAAAAATATCTCTCGACGAAATGAAGGAATACCGCAAACTTGAAGCTGCGGTAGAGAAGAACAGAGAGTGGGAAGTAGTGTGCGATGGCGAGAAAATGCACGTGTCGAAATAGAAGTTGGAAAATTTATTACCACTCAGTATATTCAATGGTATTACAGGACGTTTTTGCGTCAGCGTCATGAATACTGTGCTTGCAAGCAAGTATTATCTTTGTAAAGCTCGAATTTGAACTTCATGGTATCGGTCACGTGATAAGCTCAAACCTCTATACATTCCAAGTTGCAATGACTCGGATCCTTGTTCAAATTTTAAGATACATGAAGACGTACCAGACCGTTGCTTTCGTTGTGTTCTCTTACACAACCATCGCCTATGCGCTCCCTAGATGCCCGACCTTAATTTTCAGCGCGGGCGCACAAAAGCTATCCAACCGAGACTTGCCAGTGTGGGGCCTCTTTGGAGATAGTACGTCTGACACAACCAGAGCACACACACCACACGCCCCTTTTAGTTCTTACATCGACACCTTTTCAAGAACCGATGGACCTGGCGGGTTCTCCACTGCAACAAGCGCAACACACGGAGTGTTATCCAGCTTCACGACAATGGACGCGTCTTCAAACGTTCCTCATACAACATCCGAAGCTAACACATTGACCACATCCCAGCCTATTCAAACTACAACCTTTGTACCGACACAGGGAAATTCCGCATCGATATCGGCAACGGCAACGAGCTTGTTGACTGAGGGTTCTTCTACAGATGATAAAACATGGAAGGTCGTCGGTGTTGCTGTCATCGCGGTCACAGCAGTCGGCCTGATTATTTCTTCCATCATGTTCTTCGACCACTGGTGGCGAATTGTGCAAGACTTCCTGTGCTGTCGCGGACACTCGAGCGGGGAAGAAAGTCTCGTCCCGGACTGGGAAAGGGGGATTTGGGAAATCAAATCTGGACCTAACCTCGATAACCATCGATCATCGAAAATGTTTATAAGTGACGACTTGGAGCACGGGGACCAAAAGGCGCATTATTCAATTCCTCGAAAGCCAGAGTTGGTGGTACTTCCCCCAGAGAACTCCTCGTCCTCCGAACAACGGGTTCTGCCTTGGGAAATAAATAGCCCCCTCCATCGTCAGCCATCTCATCATAGCATTCACACATCACCCTCACAATAACCACCCATGCATTTAACCACACATCTTCTCTTTTGCAATACCTCAGCCATAGCTGTGACAAACTTGCAGTTTCTTTGCATAGCCACCCCTCATGAATATTTGGTTTGTCCCACCGCGATGTTATTGCAGAAGGCACTACACATGTTTATCCACACGTTCATTATTTTGAATCATGGTCTGGACGGTGAATCTCTCGGCTTGCTAGAATCACTAATATGATTGACTGGTGGGATGTTTTGTTCCAAGAGTTCGGAAACAGCGATGCCTGTCAGGGCGACAGCGCATACCCCTAAAGAAAAGTAAAGGCGAGTCCGAGCTGGAAGAGCTGGCTTTCGCGTGAATCAAGGATTTAGGACAAGATAAAGTTTAAGAGCTTTACCTTTATATGATTGCCACAGAGTTCGACTCGTTACATGAGTCTTTGATGGATCGGAATTTTGGGGCTGTTTGGAATACGACAATCCTGTGTGTTTGGCCATTTCTCCAAATCTGACCAGACGAATGATTCAAAGTGGACCTGCAGTCAAAAGCAAATGATGATCGAAGTCCAAGGCCCTGGGAAAATTAGACTCGTAGCCAATGTCCCGGTGCCTTTACCCGACTTAGATCCGTCTAACATCTTGATTACCACTTTCAAGTTGATCGCATTCCGAGTCAAGTCTCGAGAGCAAACAAGAAAGCATCCCTGGTACAATGTTCACAGGCCTAGTACGCCTCAATAAATATAATCATTTCATATCGTGACGCTAAAAGTTAATTAGATTGAGCATCTTGGAACTATTTCTTCAGTCCATCACGACTCAGGGGGATGTGCTTTAACTATATCGCAAAGCGCTCCGGTCCTTGGCGATTGTCATGTGGGGGATTCTATTGCAGTTAATGGAGCCTGTTTGACGGTAACTGAATTCGATAAAGAACAAGAAGGAGGTTGGTTTAAAGTATGGCTGGCGAACGAGACTCTTGACAGGACTGATCTAGGCGTGTAAAATTGTGACTATCCTGTGCCAAATCAGATCTAAATGGTCTTTAATGCAGGTGACCGTAAAGTTGGTGACCAGGTGAACCTGGAGCGTGCGATGGGAGCAGACGTCAGATTTGGGGGACATTTCGTACAAGTAAGTATTTTCATGGGGACGCCAGTCTGAGGCTCACGGTCCGTTCCCCCATTGGACAGGCCCACGTCGACACCACCGCAACTATTATCGACAGCACTCCTGATGGAGAGTCGTTACGTCTCACATTTCAGCTCGAAGAGCCCACATCTTCCAGACCATCTCTTCTTCCTTATCTTATTCCCAAGGGATATGTGACAATCGACGGCGCCTCACTCACCTTGACTTTCGTCGATGACGCACATCGTACCTTCGGTGTGATGCTCATCAAGCACACCCAAGAGAAAATCACTCTTGGTAAGAAAGCGCTAGGTTCCAAGGTTAACATCGAGGTCGATATGGTTGGCAAATATGTCACAAAAAGTGTTCTAGCCGCGCTAGAAGGTGGGGGCGGGCAGAGTATGCGTACTCTTATAGAGAAAATTGTTGAGGAAGTACTGGAAAAGAAGAACAAACCTTGAATACCTGCCAGTATAAGTGTAGCGATGACATTCAAATTTTCTGTAGTTTCCGATAGCTGGCCCATCCAAAATCTAAATTGACAAAGTAGGAGCCTATCCCTGACAAAGGCCGCGGAATTGAATACTAGATGCCGAATGTGTGCCGAATGACTCGTCGATCGCTTATTAACGCGAAAGCATAAAGTTGTAGTATCGATACAATCCCACTGCAATCAGCTTGCGGTTTCAAGACATAGACACTATAACAAGTCGCTGGAAAGCTTTATGGGCCTTGTGGTGAATATACGAGACCTCAGCTACATTGTGTTACCAGTGAGTCACCCACGATTTCTCTGAAACCGACCCACCCAATGATAATCTAATACTTTGTTGAAACTTGATACATCTGTCTTCGAATCCCTTGTGCTATGGAGTAGGATGTCTGCAAATGTATTTCCCGAAAAACTTTGGCTTGAAACGCCCTTGATTTACTCCAGCCACATTTCAAGCAAACTTGGATGTTCAGCATACCTCAAACTTGAGGTGAGTCCACCGCACTCCTGAGCCTTATCAACGGACTCTTATAAATCAAACAACTAGAACTTGCAACCCTCCCAGTCTTTCAAATTTAGGGGCCTATCCCACTTTGCTCAGCACGCAAAGGCACAACATGGACCATCCGTACATCTCTTAGCGGCTTCGGGGGGTAATGCAGGTGTAGCTGTAGCCCTTGCAGCACATGCCCTCGGAGTACGTTGCACCATTTACCTCCCGGAAGGCGTCGGACGAGAAATACACGACATTTTAAAAATGCATGGCGCGAACGTCATCGCCGCAGGGAAACGCTACTCCGAAGCTTTGCAAAAGTTGCTTGAAGACATGAAAAAAGACTCCTCCGCGTAAGTGTAGTTTCGAGTTTTGCTGTGCATATTAGTTTTTGAGATTTCCTCCACCCTGCAGCGTGTTGGTCCCCGCATACGATGATCCACTGGTGTGGGAAGGGCATAGCTCCATGATCACAGAGATAAAAACGCAGCTCGCAAAGAAACCAGACGCGATCTTTTGTAGTGTGGGTGGCGGTGGCCTTTTGGGAGGTGTCATCCAGGGCTGCAAACAGACTGGTTGGGAAGATGGTGAGTTTACTGACTAGAAGCGAAGAGACCAGAGGAGGAAGCTAAATATCGCATGACAGTCCCAGTTGTAGCGTTGGGAACACATGGGGCCAACTGCTTCTACCACTCTGTCTCATTAAACACTTGGAACTCCACTTCAGCATCCACAGACCCAGTTGATATAGTCGCAGTAGCAGAGAATGCACCTTACGACGTGGTTCTTGACCCAGAACACGACGTCACCATCACTCATTTGCGTGAACTTACGTCCCGTGCATCTTCCTTGGCAGCAACATCACCTTCAGCAGGAGTAGTCAAGTTGGCCATAGAAAGACCTGGCGGAGTAAAATGTGTATGTGTTCCCGATGAAATGAGCATGTGGGCTGCAAGAACTTTTGCAGGTATGCATCACTAAAGGTTCACTATTTTTCCAAACATTTTATGACTGACCATTCTGACATTAGAGGACCACAAGTTTCTCGTAGAGCTGGCGTGCTCGACGACGCTCACCGCCGCATATAATTGCGACTTGTTCTCCCATCTTGTGACTGATGCCCCCACGACTGTTTCTGGAGCATCATCATCTGAGTTGAATAAGGCGAAGAGGGAGAAGACTGTCGTCTTTATTGTCTGCGGCGGTATCAAAGTATCCCTCGACGAAATGACAGAATACCGTACACTTGAGGCTGCGATAGAGGCCGATAGAGAGTGGGAAGTAGCTTGTAACGGCGAGAGAATACGCGTGAAAAAGTAGGAAGTTTTACTTAGTAGAATTTGATACCAATAAAAATACAAATACACACAAGGAAATTAGATGCGCATTCTGATGATGTATATGCATGTACTTACCTATATATATATCTTCAACGAACGAGATTGGCGTAAGGTTCCCAGACGGGCTTCGAGATGGAATGCACACATTATGTAATGAGTGAATAGTGTATGATTGCACGATATCGAGCGAGTGCATGGTGAGTAAAAAAAATAACTTGGTAGATACTGCGATTAATACATTTCTATGTAGATGGACCAGTTGTTACCAGTCGGTTGAGGCATTAAATACGAGTACTCACAACTAACAATTCACCACCACGATTTGAACCAACCTGTACTCTGTCCCTGGGCCTGGGGAGCGGCATCTTGATCCTGAATACTCTGCAGTCTCTCACGTTCCACACGACGCGCAAGCTTTTCCGCTTTTATTCGTGCAAGCTCCTCTCGTACTGCAATCTGGTCCGTAGGGATGCGCTGCACAAATGGACAGTGGTTAAAGAGTTATTACATCAGTTCCCGTGTATCATATTGGATGGTGGAACAAGGAAAGTGAAGGTACTCACGGCATTTGTTCGCTCCATAGGCGGAAAGAGATGATCCTTATACTTTCATTACGAAGCCCAGCACGAGTTAAAAACATCTAAAATTACATTTATTTTCACAGACACTCACTGGAAGGACATGATTGTGATACCATTTGGGATCACCGAAATGTAGTAGCGCAACGATGGGGACAAAGAGGTACAGTCCAAACTTGAAGACTTCTAGATTAGGCCCTGCCATGGCTGGTGTGTGCCACTTATCAATTTGTTAGGGCTACGCTGAGAAGAAAATATGTTTTGGAAAGCGAGTCGCAGAACTGTAGCACCGAAGTCGCAATTACAATTACGATTCTGCAGGTGGTTTTTTGGTAGTAGGTCACGTGCTCTTGACGTATATTATAAGCAGACTTGGACTCGGACTGGAACGTCTCCATCGATGGTCTGCTCATAGGAGACTAAAATGTGCGTACCACTAAACTTGACGTTTTCAATAGATTTGGATTGAGATTCCCAACATATCGTACACGCGTAAATTCCTACATAGCTGCTGATGATACATTATATGCTCTTTTTACTGAATCAGTTCGTCTCCAAATTCCCACTGTTTTATCGCAGCGACACATGATCTAACAGGTTTTGGCGTAGGTACCAGAATACTCTGACGCAGAACCTTCTTCCATTTTTCCTTCATGAGATTTCGCAGATGTGCTTTGACTGTGTGACCCAAGTAAGTCAAGAGCATGCGTGGACGATGCACGTTTGGTTAGATCTTCAGTAATTTCAACCTAGCAAATGAATACAGTGAGTGATAGCATACAGAGCTCTCAAAGTATATTAAACTTACGATGTCTGCCACGAGCCGATCAACAAGCTGATTACACCAAAAACTTAGCACGAATCATCATGGAATCAAACTGATGTGAAGACGTACAGCCTCGGACATATTCTCTCTAACTACCACACGCAAGATCTGTACATGTTCAAGGTCGGGTGCAAGCTCATAATTTGGGACAATCCTGTTAGGCATTTTTAATATTTGTCCCAGCATCAATCATATAATATTTCACTTACCATCCTTTAGAACGTAAGAGCGTCTGGATCCACTTTTGCTGTATGTCAGCATACTTAGCTTGGAAATCGTCCGAGAAGCGGAACGAGACGACTGGCAGCCCATCCTCATAGTTCTAGTGTTGTACCGATAGAATGTCAGCACAGTCCAGATCCCATGAATGAATTATTTACCTCCGCGTTCTCCTCGTCAAATCCTATAGCTTGCTTCGCTCCCTTCGCCAGCAAACCCGCGTCTTTCACTCTGTGAATGTCACTCAAGACCGTGTACCACCCGGTCCTTTCCAGGGCACGACTCAATACACGGGCATTCTTAAGGTCGTCCAACGCTACTGCACGGTAGCCTTCGAATCCTAGGTGCAAGAAATTGAAGTACTGCGCAATGATCGGTGCGGCGGGCCTGGAGAAGTTCAGTGAAAAAGAATATTCCACAGACCCAAGGTAATGCAGCTCGAAGATGAGGTCTTTAGGCAGGTATTGTTTTGACCGCCATATTACAAATCCGACACCAACATACGCAAGACCGAATTTATGTCCCGATGTGTTGATAGATATGACACGAGGAAGCTTAAAGTCCCAAAGCAGCTTGGGTGACGCAAATGGTGCGACAAATGCGCCTGAAGCACCATCAACTAAAGGCACAATTTAGTGATCGCCTTGTCAAACCGCTTTCAATAATACATACCGTGAATGGGTACATTAATACCCGATTGTTTCTCGTATTCATCCAAAAGGTCGGACATCTCCTTAACAGGTTCGTAATGACCAGTGTACGTGCTCCCGAGGATAACGTAGACACCAATTGTGTTCTCATCGACATATTCCATTGCTTTTTTAGGGTCGAGCCTGTACTTGCTCTCGACGCTCACAGGGACCAGGCGACACTCTACCTCGAAATAGCGAGCAAATTTCTCAAGGGCGACCTGAGCATTAGCCCCCATGACAATGTTTGGGCCGGGTTCATGGATAGACTTTCCAGCAGCTTTTCGTTTCTCTTGCCAGATACGCTTCATGGCGAGACCTCCGAGTTGTATTGCTTCAGAGGAGCCTGTTGTGGCAGTCCCTACGGCCTCATGGCTATGTGGCGCATGCCACAGATCAGCGAGAATGTTAATGCCTGTGAGATGTAGCTTAGTGCGAGCGTTAACACTTGAAAAGACGCAACTTACAGCGAGTGTGAATGAGTTCTGGAAGATTGTTACGTTGTGATCAAATGTGGCTGGACATTTCGAAGAAAAAAGGCTACTGACGGGTCATGGGATATTCGTCCTGGTCAATCAAATTTTTGGACATATTTTCCATCATGAGTTTGTTAGCAGGATCAGGCATCCATGTGTGAACGAAGGACGCAAGGCTGATGTCATGGGTCAGACGATAGCACACGTCATAAACGCGTATACTCACTTGAGACTGGGAGATCCATCGAGACTGAGCTCGTCATGAATGAGCTGGTACGCGGATTGGGCATCTGTGCCTTTGGAAGGAATGTGGAACTTTGGAATGGAGGCCGTTCCGTAGCGGGCACCATACGGATGGGTCACTTTGTTTGGGTCACTTTTCGTAAGACTATGGTGATGATTTTTTTTGTCCTGCAATGATATTAGCGCGATATAAAATTTTATTGGCTGCAATGCGAACTCTTGATTCCTGAATGAGTCTGTCGGGATTGACATGCTGAAGAAGAATAGAGGTGGGATCAGAACATTATGGCGAGGATAAATGAAGAAACAGACCTTTGAGAGAGCCATTGATATGTGAAGTGTATTTGTGAGGGATTGGGGTGAGGGGAAAACGGTGAATACAAGCCATGTTATATACTCTGAGACAGGAGTGAACCTATGACGTCGGAATGAGAGTAGAGTGAGCTTAAAATAACACAGCGGCTAGGTCTCACCATTCCGGGACCTATAGCATAAGAATCATCTGATACTATTCTGAGCAGAATACACTTTTGACATATTACAAACAGCTTCGAGTAAGATACATGTACCATATTTTTGACAGACTTACACGGTCTGTATCCATCATGATACAACACTTCGGAAAGTGACCTCCGTTCCCATATAAATCAGGGTACTTTGTACAAATAAAGTATTCTTGCTGCATCGCGTTCCGGACTTTCCTACTCCCCGCAGTTGATGCATGTTGCCTTGGAGGCTGGAGCACTCTGAGATTGGATCCCAAATTAACTTGGAGCAATGAAGCTTCAGTGGTCTAGGTTGCCGTAGGACCCCAACGTAACCGCATCAACAACATGCAGATGAGGCTGAGAATTTCACAAAGTGAGTTTGACAGTCGCATATGCTTCGGCCTACAAGGGCACGTCGAAAGCCTATAGCCGCGAGAAATCGTGATCATGAGCGGCATGCCTCGAAAGAATAGGTTAATTGATTTGCTCACCTTGCTCAAGTTCCCGTCCAGCCACCAGCAAACTAAGGAAGTACACTGATGAATGTGAAACTATAGTATATTCCATACCATCGAATTCGACCAATTCAGGTATCAATGAGGACCTTTAGCAGCTACATTCCCCGTTTCAACCAGAATTTGATACATGTGGTCTGGACCTCAAAGTGCCTGCTCAGGAGTATTGTGTTTTTGATAACTAGTACAGACAAACGTGTACAAGCACACATAATCAATGTTCGCTACGCCTGTTTTCGTGTTCAGGGATATATAATCACGCTGACGACCAAACAAGACATAATTCGAGTATACTTATCTTCACGAACGCACCTCCACCCATTCGTTTACCCACATGTATCTGGAAAAGATCATGTACAGGTATCGGAACCATACAAGTTGCGAATTGTGCGTCTTGATGGCGCGGGCGGTGATAAAGAACTCAGAAGTACCGGATATAAATACTGGCATCGTTGGAGCAAGTGCCTGAGCCTGGGTCTTGGAGATTGACGAAGCAATTGGTGGTTCCGGGGTGGATATGGTCGTTGAAGGCACCAAGAGATAGGTTAAGCTTTGTTGCAGCAAAATATCAAGTCTTGCGAGCAGTGCGGAGATAATACCAGAATACTTCGTGAGTACTGGGACTGTGATGAGCGTAAAGAGACGGGGACGTGGCAAGGTAGAGTCCGGCATAAATGACCACGACGAGATTAGGTGGGACACGCCAAATGGAAGTGAGAAGTGATTCGGGTGCAAGGATATACCCTTTCCATCGAAAGTAAGAATCTGTTGAACAATAAAACACGTTGGAGGGTACGCCTTCAATAATAGAAACTGTAGAACGAACAGTGGTTATACGATTTTCGAGTATGTAAGGTGTTATGGTTTCTGCGATTACTTCGGCATTCCATTGCATAGTTATATTGTCCTGAAGTTCTCTAGATTTTACCTCGTCAGCAGGAGACCGAATCGATACTTTACACAACTTACGGGTGATCAACGACCCATCTTTTCTCCTGATCTATTCCAAGTACATCTAGGCTACGTGAGAGTTCGCCTCGCCTCCGTTCGCCCATACCGTCCGCATTACCTGTCGACAAACAAAGTGAGAAGACCTCTGGCGTTCGCGCGTCCCTATCATGACTGGCAAGTAGAGAGAGTACGGTGGGTGCAAAAAAAAAGCATTCGTCGTCTGGGTGAGCTGTCAAAAGGAGAATTCGAGGGGACAAAGAGGGCGAGGAATCTGCATTATCAACATTAGGCTGCAGAAACGCGTCGATTTGTGAGCTGACAGGGCCAAGCAATCCTAGTACAACAACAAGCAAAGGAAATGCAGCAAGGAGTGGGTAGAACATTGGCGCGAACTGAACAAGATTCGTCACAAAATTGAACGAAAAATGCAGACTAATAATTGCTTATTTTGGTAATTTGGCAGCATTCCCGCCAGTGGCCCGCCAATTTCCGAGTGCTCACCACTGTCGACGACGATGAGCAACCCGTCGTTCGATGACTCACATGAGTACGAGTACGATTTTCCAGACTATCCCTCTCACCACAACCGCAGACACCACCATGAGGTGCCCGCTCCACCTCCCCGCGCACGTTTGCCTATCCCAGACCTTCGCTTCGAACAAACATACCTCACGCGAATAGGTCCATGTATTCACATTGAGCCACGTCCTCTGGACATCAAGAATGATGAAAAGAAGAAAGGAGACCTGGAACTGCTACTTGCAATGGCGGATGAGAGCAACGCGGATGCATACGTGACCGCGACGCATGCCTCTCCCTTCCTCGACTCATCCCACAGCATCGTACGAATAGACTGGGCACCCCTCGCATGGATCACTGTGCGGGACCAAGTCATATTTCCTCTCCTTCAGGGTATCCTTTGGTGCGTTGTTTTGTTATATACCATGTTTGCAATGTTAAATGATGTCACCGTTCAGGGGAGTGGTTGGGCACTATTATCGTCCTTTTTTCAGCGCAGCTGGGGCTCGATTACGTGGGAAATCAAATCCACGTCGCACTACCGAGGGCGAAGGTGTGGGATGGTTAAGGAGCTGGGTTAAAAATCTGGGCTTGGGGGATATCACAGGAGGGTTGAGGAGTAGTAGACAATAAACTATGACTTGGTTATCCAGCAACAGGTGCCATGTTCACTTCACACATTGGATTTACGTCCCATATTGAATACTACACTCCTGGCCCAACAGTGACGCTAGTAAGGGTGGAGCTGGGAACCTACTTGTATGTGTGATCTCGCAGACGCGCAATGCCACTGCACTCAATTCATATACAGACAAGGACAGTTTGAATATAGTAACTCCAATGAGATTATTAGGAATTACATGCACCACACAGTTAAATCAGAAGTCCATGGATGCTACACAACGTTATACATAACACCCTCAAAGTCCCGAAAGCCAAACGTAGCTTGAATCAATAAAAGGCATCAGACACCAGCTTATATCGGCAAGCTTTCAGGTGTGACAGAACCACCAAAGAACCCTATTGGTTTTAAGATCTTTCAGTAAGAAAAGTATAAGATTCACGATGAAAATCTTACAATATTGCGAGACATATTTGACAGCGATCGGTGCAGTCCCAGGCGTACAAGTTGCGGGAGGCTGCCCACCATTGTTGTTAACACGGAATACCGTCGTCGCCAATCCCCCTTTTACATTAGCCACCTCCAGACTATCAATGTTCACCTCGGTGTCTGGACTCGGGATGTCTCCTTTTTTGACACCAATCATATATGCATTCGAATTGCCTGTTGTGTATCCGGATGAGGTGAAATCCCACTTGGGCGAAAGTCCACTACCGACAGGGTTTGCAACGTAGTAATGCTGGCCAAGGACCACCGGAGCTTCAAGTAGGGACAATGTTCCTATAATTTCTTGCGATGTGATCGCAGACGAAGCATTCCAGGCCGTATAGGTCTGTGCGGGGGTCGACTCGAAGGCTGGAGTGCCGTACAGGCACGAAACGTCGAACAATTCTGCAACGGCGCCAACTAACCTGTTCACATGCAGAGGTAAGGTTAGATAACAAATTGGATCTTTGGCTATATCACTCACTCATATGTGGAAGAAGTGGCATTGCAGCTGTAATTCTGGACACCAACACCCATCCCGATGAAGTTCGGGGCAAAAGTAGGGGCAACCAATTGCGTCTGGTTCGCGGGGACTTGCAAGACTGCATGCGACAAGTTACAACTTGACAAAATGCTCAGGTTGGAAAGTAGAGAAAATCCTGACGTAGAGGAAACGCCGAAACCAAATAGCAATGGGAGAGCAAAAATCATCACGATCAACGAGTTTTTGAAGGAAGGTGAGGTGGTAAAGACCGAAGGGGGCTTTGGGGGAGTGAATCTTCGTGATAGTGGAAGTTAAAAGGCTCAGCTCTATGACAGCTATTATAAACTCTACGGGGACTATCATAGATAATTTAAGACGCAGGGCCTAAAATTAGGGATGTTGTGATCGACTGACCGAAGTCGCGACGATGACTTCGCCGTTGCCAGTGCCGCTGGACTGTACGACATCTTTACCCACGCGTAAGACGAACTTAGTGCCGACATGAAGGTTGAAGCTAACCACGCATTCATTGAACATTGAACGACACCAGCAAGGTCTGTGCGTAGAGTAACAGGAAAAGAATGGAAAGTCTGGGTAAAGGTTACTGAGTTGCCAGCCTGAATACTGTCATAGTAGGGTATATACATTATGTCATAAATGTACTCGAGCACACTATTAAAAAATCGTATGAGAATTTGAAGGTGTCGTGGAACTGGGAAGCATACTATTTGTTACGGGTATAATGTCATGGCAATGGTATTATGTGGATGTAGAGAACAAATGCACTGGGCGCCGGGTACAATGCTTTAAGGATCAAATGCTTCATCAAGGTTCTGCGAAAACGCATGAGAATTGTTGAGAATGAACAACACGCGAATACATACCAATCTGTAATGACTTGAGTACTGGGTTTTGAAAGCGAGACATATAGTAAGGTTAGTCGTGAGTGTTAGTCGTGGTGAGAAAAAAGCTGTCTCAACTCACTTGAGGCTCTTGATACATGCTCGCATCTTTCGAATCTGTCTGCTTTTCCCCTTTATTCACCATTGAAAGTGTTATTTGACTCGATAAGGCGTCGGAGTCGATGTCCTTGGGGTCGTAGATGACTGCATTCCGACGTTTCTTGGGTTTCACTTCCATGGGCGACTCTTTGAGGCGACGACGGCATAAATCGCCTATGCGCTCCCTAGGAAAATCAGACATCAGGATTTAGAAGTTTGTAAGGAATACCCTGGCATATAGAGCTACCTGAGACGTGTTATCAAATCCATCAAAGATGGGTGAAGATCTTCCTCTGCACAGGATTAATCATTCACGCTTGTCATAATTGCTACGGGAACTCACCAAGAATATCTAAGAATATCTGCAAGAGCTCGATGAGTAAATGATCGATCCAATGTAGGACATTTCCCTACCCGAGTCATGGTTTGACCCTTGACACAGTCATCATACGCCCCTTGATTGTCTTTACACGCTGATAATGAAATCTTCGCAGTCATAAGCATAATCAATGCATCACAAGTTGTGATACATACTACGTGTGCATTTTCCCTCTGAGCTGGCATCTTGCAATTGCCTGCGCAGGGAAACCACGACTCTGGCGATAAACACCTTTGGATATTGATATTGAAGTCGGGATCAAGGAATGGCGTCCAAGTAGTGAACGACGAGCCCGTGCTACGACGCGTAGGGCTGGATGCGGGGGGATAACCGGCATTGCAGCGACAGTGTTCCAGATCTACGTAGATGGTAAGAGCCGCGGTGTTGTGGGCTAGGAAATGACTCGCCCAATATGGTCTCAGAATGACACGAATCCCATAGCGCCTGGATGACACGTGAGTAGAAAATAAAAAATCCAAGTTTCACCCAATGCTCACAAACAGCTGGCTACCCTTCGGTAGATTTTTGACAAGACACTCCTTGAGTTCCTGAGGAGCCTTGTGTTAGATGGGACCGTGTCAGGTGGAATAGAGATTACATTGTCGATTATTTCTCCGCCGTTACATCCTATAATCACTGCAAAGTGTTCGTTTTGATGGAAAAACTGAAAGAACGAGGTGCTATACCTTCATCTTTACCATCTTCCTCGGTATGGTTATAATTTGTCCTTTGGCGGGCATGTCCAGAGACTGTAAGCGCATGAAATAGTTAGCAATACCGGACTTCGTCCCACGAAGAACGAAGATGCTCAATAACAATGTACTCACAATAAAAAAAGAAGTGATCACCAGCTTTTGCACCTTTGACAAATAGTTTGGTTTGCGCCAACTGTAAGGTGAAATGTACGTCTGCAAAAAAACAAATGTATATTCATACCAAAGACATACCATATTCTTGTGTGTTGGCCATAGATGACGATGACTTTTATCCCCATCATCAAGCATCAAAGTAATGTCGTCTGCCGCATACCCATAATTTTCTAGAATAGATATGATAAGTGACGAATATATGGGAGGGGGTATAATACTCACGAACGCAGAAATTTCTCAATAGTCTTGCATCATCATGGGGATATTTGAGAGACTCGTAGCCCGATAAACGATGTCGTTTATAGCGTATCGCTATAAAAAGTCCTGTCTTTTTCCCTTGAGTATTTACAGGAGAAGAAAGATTAGTGGGCGCCATTGAGGAAGGTCGAGGGGGGATGGATCAAGGACGGATGCCATTTTAACATGTCGGATTGCCGGTCACGGTATGGTGAGGCAAAGCACTAGCTCATCAGCACCGGTGCACTGGCACTGCCATCAAAAGGATAGCGGTGAGGATTAAACATACAAGAAATAGGCAGACTAACCCAATTGATCAACCTTTGACAGCATGAAAGTTGCCCATATGTCATCGTGACTAGCATCGTGTCCCTAGGGCAAGAGGGGACAAAATTTGATGTTAGAACTTCATGTTATGGTTGCTGTAGATTGTGCGATGGAATGTAAAATAAAAAGAGGGAAAGAGATAAATGTGCGACTACAGATATTGACTTGCCGTCATTATCGCTGCTTACCATCCAGCCTGCCCCGCCCATCAGAAGGGAATCATAGAAACTTCCAAACGAGCCCAGCATTATCGATACAGAGATGTATAATTCAAGGTAGGGCATGTGATGTTTGGACTCGGAATAATGTTTTTCCGCCCCTGCCATTCGACCGTGGCTGTCGTATAAATGCCTCACAAGGACCTTGACACCGCATTGTAGGCTCTTATGGGTCCGGGTCAGTGTCGAAGTGTAATGCTGTTGATGTGTGACCAGTTCCAGTGTTTCAAAACGTAAGGAAGAACAAAAATTGATACTCCCATCGATCGCTGAAGCTGCAGCACCCATACAATTGTTGCTCGCCAATCCAAGAACTTGAGAATTAACTTAGTGAGAACTGTGTGTACAAACACAAGAGATTTATGCTAGCATAGTCAAGTTATCATGGGACTTGAAAGTAGAAATATCGTATCAAGGTCGCCGGAGAATGACTCGGAGGCATTCTACCGGACTCGGAGCTGGACCAGGAAACAGAGGAGAAACGACATCGACATAACATGAATAATCTGTTCTGTCAGTAAGGAGACCACGTGTAAAGGACTACAATATATCAATATACACCACGGGCATGAAAGGGTTCCAGTAGTCTCCCCTAGGCATACCATTTAGGAGGAAGACAGTCATTCCTCCTATCAATGGTCTGCTTCCAAACGCGCCCAAGTAACCGTCGTACGGGAATCTCTTCCCATCAAGCAGCCAAACAAATGTGGCATCCACGGCATGCCTTCCAAAATGGTATTGTCACTTGGAGCGGCAGCACTACCACAAGTTTGTTAATGTTGTGACAAAACCGGATAAACCCGGTCTCTGCCGAAGCAGCCATTGTTCTCCATGGAGCATAGCCACCACTCCATGGAGTAACCATTGTTCTCCTAGGAGCACAATTGTACTCCTAGGAGTCATTATACTGTAGCGAGTAGCACCTCCGACTATAAGTAGTAGGGGGTTTAGTATAGGAATACCTCAGTCGTTTCTATAGCCTCTCGGGCAGCGGCTGAGGTATGTTACATTACATTTATTAGAGATCACCTTAAATCAACATCTATTGTAGTTTCACTTAGGTAAATAATAAAGTCATTTCTATAGCCTCTCGGGCAGCGGCTGAGTTTCACTTAGTTTTATTAACCTTTACTTTAATCTTAGTCCCTCTTCCAACACATTTCTCTCCACTTCATTTCCAACCAAGCTAGTATTCCAACAACTCACAACCAGCACCAGACTTTGAACTGTAGCACTTCACCCAATATATGATTGGCCTTCAAGTGTAGTGTCAAATCTTCAGAGAGAGCCTGTATAACATGCATGAGTCAAATGAAAGTGTTGGTTTACCTGTTCCTGTAGCAGTCACAAAACAGCACATCCCTGCCATCAATAAGGCTTCTAGTTCGTGGTTATGTATCATGGGGCATCCGGGTATTGAGAATGTGTCAATTAAGTGTATGGCCTTCATAAGACGAAAATAAAAAGGTAGATTGGCCACATTTACAGGACTGAGCGACAACTGACATTGAGTTGGATCGGCAGACACGGCAATATGGATGCGACATGTCCCCGCACGTGACTTTAGCTTAGGGAGATTCCTGTACTACGGTTTTTGTCCTCACTTTGGATGCAGACTAGGGTTCCAGCCAAGCCGGGAGAGGTATGATTCGTACACAAACAGCATAATTTCAGCCACCTGGCTGGGATACTTCAAATATTATAAATATATACTTTGTGATAGATAACA